GAAATGTCTGGACCTATTAAGTATTATAATTATTTTCCTTTATTGCTACTTTTAGTATCGACATGTCACTCCGCTAATATTATAATAATTATTTATTTGGTGTAATAACGCTCGTGTCTCCACATACATCGCAATTGGAGCGATAGATCATGAATAGAATGAAAAAATACAGGCGGCAATTTCTGTAGGATCTTTCATGTAGGGTGGTGGCGTTCCTACGGACGCGACACACTCGGCCTCCAGCTGAGTCACGCGAACCGTGGTTTGTTTTCCTAACCCAGAGGTCTAGCCAGGAATTTATGCCAGCCGGCCAACGTTCTAGTTAAAATGCATCGTTCTGGGGGCTGCGCCCCCAGACCCCCGCCATCAGTCACGGATCCACACAGACACACACACACCACTACAAATCTTTCATTGCAGCTTGCATCTCCTTTCGCTTCGTCCAATTATGGGCATTCATCAGGCAGTTGTGAACGTGAATGTGATTATAGGTAAATTAACAAAATATGAAAAAGGAAGCAAACAGCTACATATATGAGCATGGATCATGACATTGTGTTCACCAACGTCATGTCTGCATGCAGTGTACATTGGTCATCTGACAAGACCCAGCCTAGCCACAGCCATGTACACCACCAGAAGCAGCGAACCATGACCCAACCTGTTACATTTTACTGACGTACTCAAGTGCATACTCAAGTGCATTTGAGCTTGAGTGAAGAGCTAGCACTGAGCCTGAGTAGCCAGTGCTACGTACTGTACTGTTACTGTTACGTGTACGTACATACCTACGCCTAGGATATGGGGCACTACAGTCTACATGGGAGTGACTGCAGCCGGCCAAAATTACCCTTGGAGCTGTCTCAGCCGGCAGGTCGCCCTCCCAGCCGGCATTCTGCCGGCTGAGCCGGCTTTGGCTAGATCACTGCTAACCTACAGTGTATATAAACAAACGAAGTTCAAGTTCTACAATCCGCGACTCTTGCCCTGGAGCATGACTGTTATCATCCCAGAGCACATGTCGTGATTTACCAATATAATAATTATGTGCACGCCATTCCATGCCGAACATTTTCTCTTGCAGTTACTGCTGATGGTGACCTGCACGATGGGGTACCACTTATCAACTTTGTTCCGAGTCCTTCTCAATGGCAAGTATGAGCAGCAGGATGCCTAAATAACACCTGTTACGTAGATCTACGTGGTTCTCATTCTCGTTCTTTCATTCTCCCAGCAGATAAATCGATGGTACTAGTATTTAAAAAGGAACTTCCATCTTGAGATTACAATCATGTGAAGGCGCAAGCTCTGTCTTGAACTTTCTTCGGAACTCACCGTTCCTTCTTTGGAAGTGAGCACTGAAAGAACCTTTGAACCTTTGTTGCAGCTTTGGCAAAACTCACTGCTTGTGACTGGGAGTCAGCTAAGAAATTCGGGGGACCATCTGCTCATACCTAGATCTACCAGGGTCCAGCCGGCGGAAGACGCCTGCATCTAGGCCAGGGCCTGGGTGTTAGAGCATCTGATGTTATGCCTTATGGTCAGTTATGGATCGATTATTTACTGTTAGAACAAGCGCTGAGGACGCTCCGTCATTCGCACCGCTGTCACCTCCGAACCAGCTAGTCGCAAGCCCGCGACGCTCAGTTTCTTTTCTGGCGGCAGGTCGGTGGAACACTCTTCCTCCAAACTGTCGTCAGGCACAATCTGCTGGTACTTTTGCTCACCTCACAAAGATTCACCTAGGGTTCCCTGTAACAAGGCCATGCCTGTTGGGACTCCCCTAGTCAAATAATAAATACTACTACTACTACTACTACTACTACTACTACTACTACTACTACTACTACTACTACTACTACTACTACTACTACTACTACTACTACTACTTCAGAGATAGTTATACGAAAGTTCTGTCCTACAGCCTACACATCCATGAGCGACACTGACTCACGCTGCTATTACGCTGCGTTAGCAAAGACATTTTCATTCTAGACTAAAAGTGAGTCAGTTGCTGGCGGAGAGCATAGCTCAGGTGAGAGTGTCATTATTGTAATGCATGATCGTACAGTACTGTACTCTCGTGTATACAGTAACAGCATGGCCCATGATCCAGTTTTCAAAGGTAAGACTGGTTTGTTTGTTTGTTTGTATTTATTTTGATTCGCAAATTCAAACGGGCATAGAACCCAATAACATGAAAGCGAATATGAAAATTATATGAAAAGGCGACGAGGAGACAATAACTTTATTAATGCGATTAATAGTATTAGTGAAGCGGACATTACAAAATGATGAATGAGAATACATGTATCTAAAATGGTTGTTCCTAATCGATTTTCTTGAGACTATCATCAGGGAAAATCGTCTCACAATAGAGGCTATACGGAGAAACAAACTACTTATAGGTTATCGGATAGTGGGAAGTATACAAGGTGAGGTGTGAAAAAAAAACTAAAGTGGGAGAGAAGACGAAAGAAATTAGAAGAAAAGATGTGAGAGTGTTCTGACGGTGTGAGCTACTACACAAGGTGAGTGAAATGAAGGCGTGGAAGCAGGTGAATGTGATAGAGTGAGGAACTGTGAGGTGTAGGTGTATGCGAATGAATACGTGTGTGAATGCTAGGTGAAGAGTCTCAGTTTTGTGACATTTTCTTTCTGAATGCATAGATTAGGATTGTGTTTTGTGTCGTGCTCGTAGGTTTCGTGAACTTAAGGTATTAGAAGCTGTTTTCATCCGTAAACACAATCCTAATCTATGCATTCAGAAAGAAAATGTCACAAAACTGAGACTCTTCACCTAGCATTCACACACGTATTCATTCGCATACACCTACACCTCACAGTTCCTCACTCTATCACATTCACCTGCTTCCACGCCTTCATTTCACTCACCTTGTGTAGTAGCTCACACCGTCAGAACACTCTCACATCTTTTCTTCTAATTTCTTTCGTCTTCTCTCCCACTTTAGTTTTTTTTTCACACCTCACCTTGTATACTTCCCACTATCCGATAACCTATAAGTAGTTTGTTTCTCCGTATAGCCTCTATTGTGAGACGATTTTCCCTGATGATAGTCTCAAGAAAATCGATTAGGAACAACCATTTTAGATACATGTATTCTCATTCATCATTTTGTAATGTCCGCTTCACTAATACTATTAATCGCATTAATAATGAAAATTATAATGAGAATGAGAATTAAAATACTTCGATCTTCAGCGTAGAGTCAGCGGTACATCAAAGGGAGATCGGGTACAACAGAAAGAGAACAGAAAAACAGAAGATTTCGCTTGTCTTCAGCATCTACAGGGCACAGGTATAGGGGATTACCTGCGTGCGAAACTGCCGAAGCGTGATGGATGGCATGGATGTCGCTGGGGAGGGCATTCCATAATACAGCACCCTTGCAAGCAAAGCGCCCCCGCCCCGCAACCGAATGGGAAACTGGCACGCACAGGCCCATGGCAGATTGTGAGGATTCGTTCCCTCTCCAGATGGTCTAGCTGGCCGAACAATGGAGGAGACGAGAAAGAGAAAGGGCGATGGGAGAGAAGGCGCTGTACGCAACAAGGACATAATTATCGCGAAACGTATTGAGTTTCACCTGTCATGTTTGGATCGTTGTACTTCACAGGTAAAGGAGAGGACAGTCCATGACAATGGCGAAGTGATAAGACAACTCCCTCAAGAGACGATTGGATGGGTGATCCCAGTTTCTAATGATAGAGGCGGTGGCACCTCCTCCCAGCGGGCATAGAGGCGGTGACACTTCCACGTGGTTATGCGTGGTACCTTTCGCGTTCCACCTTCTCAAGCTAGCGGATATTGAAAAAAGGAAATGCGGAAGACTAAGCCCACCAAAGATATCATAACTTCAAAATAGAACCTTCCAAGTAATAGTTAGTTGGAAATGGAAGGCTGCTGGCTGCGCATTTGAGACGTGATGACTGATGTAGCTAAACATCAGGTCGCAGTTCGGACCAAGTGCGATCTTCCAGCAAAAGACGTACAGACTGTCAGTGAGGGACGCATCCCACCAGCATGTGTGGATTCATATCACAGGAAGCGAGAGTTTCGAAGTCTGAAGAATTTTTTAAATGTTGAACGGTCGCCGCTTGGATGACGACTACACCTTAGCTAGGAGTTAGAACCAGGGAGTAGTAAATACTAAAATACTACTCCCTGGTTAGAACTAACTTAGGCCAGGGGGGGGGGGGGGGGTGATTATGGTGATAGAGCATCGCTGGCATATAATTATTTAAAAAGCGAGAGTCCCTGGTTCGAGTCCTGGTGGTGACTGGGTCAAATGTTTCTTCAGACTTTTCCCGTTTGCACCTTTCCCACAAACCAAAGAGTAAAATTGGCTTTTGACTGTATTCTTGGTATGGTACTACAGCTGTACATGTGCTGGTATTTTTTCAGGCCCTGCCATTTTGATGATACTTACTGTACTACAAGTCATGCAGCGCTGCATTCAGGCAGGGGACCCAAATAGTACAAAGTAGTACAATCAGTTTACCGTGACACAGTGTCGGCAGCCTTTTTGATTGAGTAGTATGCCCAAGGTACAGCCTTTGCATCATACGAAAACAGCGAATTGCCAGCACCACCGGCGGAGGCCTTTAGGGGCAGCACTAGCGCTTGTCTTTCTGGCTAGTAATGTGAAGAGCACCTTGGAAGTCTCACTGACTGGCTCCACACACGTGTTGGAGATCAGGTCAAAGTCATGTCAAACCGTGGGTGTTTATTCCTTCCACCCTTCCCTATCTGCTTCAGTACTTCAGTGCATAGCATGGCACGCATGTAATTGTTGACTGATTCAATTTTTCACGGGATCTCAAGCAAAGAGTCAAGGACCGATGCGAATGTATTTGCTTGATGTGTTCCTAAACACGTCAAGTGATGCGGCCGCGAATCCGGCTAACTTTACTTTTAGGACAGTACTGAGGACCATCTTATTATAGAAATAGAGCACAACAACAGCAACAGAGCAGAGTGGCGTTAGTGGGTAGCAAAAGGCACCATGGTAACCGTTGTCACGGCGAGATGCACAAATGCACAAACTGTCAATGTGATGATGAACTGCACATCAGCCAAAAGCATTGCAGCAAGATGTCCACTCAACAAAGGAACAGCAGCAACCAGAAATGTGATACTGATAGCGTATTGAGCTGCCGTTGGAATGAGTATGAATATATCTTCACAAGCTGAAACGGCTGAAATTTTTTGCTGAAATGTAAATTTTGTTAGATTTCGAGGCTCAGTAGGGAGACCGTTTGGGAGACAAAGAGGAGAGAGAGAGAGAGACACACACATACACACACACACACACACACACACACACACACACACACACACACACACACACACACAGCACACACACACACACACACAGAAAGAGAAACGTATAAGTGTCTAATCGGAAATAACAACCAAAAAGGCTCATCTGTAAGAACTATTATGATACTACTTCAGTATTATGTACATCTAAAGTAGAGAAGGATATAAAAATCAAGTCCGATGATGTCATTGATGACTATAAAATAATATGATTTGAAGTATGCGAACAATTCATGTGTGATTTGTGACTAGTCTTCGAGACTCAGCAGTTTTTTCTGCACAAACACACACAAAGAAGAAGAAGAACAAACATTGCAACTCAAGAAAGGAAACACGCGTACACGCAGAGAAGGCCAACACAAGGCAGAAAGTAGCGTGTCTAAGGTAAAGGTGCAAATGCAACAAGACTGCCGCCGCGTTTGCTCCTGCTCCTAAACCTATGTGACGGTCAAGACGGGCATGTGGTTGGTAAGTCAGTGCCGGTGCAAACCTGCCATCATAATGTGCTGTGTACAAGTACTCCAAGTAGCAGTAGAAGCAAATGCAATCATGGACGAATGGCCAGACGTGACTTACTTTCGGAGGCTCGCTGTCACCCGAACTCGATGACACCTGGCTAGATTCAGCTCCTGCCGGCTCTCGTTGCTCAGTGTACCAGACAAGTCTTGAACCACCGAGCTGAATGCTATACTGTTTGGCGTCCAACACTAAGTTCTCAATGCATGCATCCACTGCTCTTCTTGGACCCTTCAGGATGACCTGGAAAAACACGATCAACACATTTTTAGTTCTAAGACAATCAATTGTGCCCGCATCATAGTGAACCAACACAAATTGAAGTGAGTTTACTGTGATATTTGTATGCCAAAAGCGTTCTGGTTACCTCTCTCATCCACACCTACAAACATGTGTATGTACGCTCCACACCCACACCCACACAAGCATGCATGCATCATGTGGCATGCACGCTCACAAACAAACTAACACACACATATGCCTGAATACACACACACACACACACACACACACACACACACACACACACACATACAAATACACCAACTGACAAATACCCAATACCCCCCCCCCCCCCACACACACACAACAAAAGACACACACACACACACGCACGCACACTCCTACACAAGTATGATGTACACAGGCATGTTGACATGCACACCTCACAATATTGCAGCACCTATATACACTTCGATGTGAATGATCTTACTTGATGTGTGACCTCTTCATCTCCCTCACTATCACTATGTTCTCGCTTCACTGGGACGGGAAGAGACAGTGCTGGAACAACATACATATACACACGCGTGCACACACACACACACACACACACACACACACACACACACACACACACACACACACACACACACACATAGAAAGCAGCTAAGCTATAGGCGGCAGCTAAGCTATAGGCAGTGGCTAAGCTATAGGCAGTAGCTAAGCTATAGGCAGCAGCCAAGTTATAGGCAGTGGTTAAGCTATAGGCGGCAGCTAAGCTATAGGCAGCAGCCAAGTTATAGGCAGTAGCTAAGCTATAGTCAGCAGACATTTAAAGTTAGCAGCTTGACTGAGACTCAAAGTAATCGCACATACGGTACATCCATGTACATAATGACATTCTCAGCAAGCGACACTAACACTAATCTAAGCCGGGTTTCGGTACCACTTTGTGGGAGAATTAGATTATTATTATTACATACCGAAGGTTTATACAATGAATAAGAACAAATGCAAAGGAGCCATCAAAACTACGCTCCTTTCCGCACAAAACAGCAAGAACGAACTAAGGAACAAAAGAGATCGCGTGCCTTGCTCACGCAGGCACGACAGGCTAAATCAGGTACAGCAGAAGAGAATACGTCATGATGTACAAGAATGCATAAGTACTGACGCAAGTCAGTACGACGTAAGAAGAGCAGCATGAAGTAGTACACTGTACACATCAAGGGGGTCATTCTACTTCACGTAGAATAGCTACTGCGGTCATGTGACAGTGACTTACTGGGAAACGGTGATTCTGCATACGCTGATCCACCCTGCTCTTCCTTTTCCGCTGTATCCCGGCTTTCAAGGTTGATTCGATCGCGGCCAGGGCATGCACAGACTCGCATTGTGACGGACGTTTGACACAGCTCGCAGCTGCAATAATGAAAGAGAACAAACCCACAAAAGTGGATCAAACTCAAGCCACGGTCTGCACGGTCACAAGAGGAGAAATACATTGATGGCCACTGATTGATAAAACAGGGCATCGGGTACCACTTCTCATAAGGTGCCATGTATAAGCTGGGATTATTTTCTACAACCGTGAGAGAGTAGGGAGGGGGGGGGGGGGTGTTGACAATTGTTGAAATTGCACATATGCAATGCACTGGCCAAGGTCTTGTTGCATTTTACGATATGCAATGCACTGGCCAATGTCTTGTTGCATTTTACGCCAAACTGCTATCAGCAAAACTAACCCAGCACTTTCCACTTTCAATTGAAGACGCAGCTCTTTGCGGCCGATGGTGCTACACGAGGAGAAGCACATGAAGTAGAGTATCACCGTGTAGTCGCAGGCTGAACAGAAGCAAAACATCCGCAAACACACCATGGAGGCCGGAGGGATAGTCGGATCTATCAACGTTTTACCGTGCAGGAGCGGAACACTAGTCCTAGTAAAGCAGGTCAATGGCAGCTGAAATAGGTGCTGCTGCTGCTGGTGTTCAGAACGCTACAAAATACACCAGCAGACTTTCTGGTCGGGAATATGCAGAAGAGTGATCAGTCAGCCTCTCTCCTGCACCTCCATGTGAGTAATAGGGGAGTGATTACACAACTTGCCATCTTTTTCACGAATATACACTGTTATACCCTGCCCCAAGATGACTACGGCAAACCCACCCTACCCCAAGATGACTACGGCAAACCCACCCTGCCCCAAGATGACTACGGCAAACCCGCCCTGCCCCAAGATGACTACGGCAAACCCGCCCTGCCCCAAGATGACTACGGCAAACCCACCCTGCCAACAGGGCGGCGTGCATTCGAAAACAAGTGGCGGCTGATTTTGCGAATTGGAGGAACACAGAGACACAGTACCATTGTAGTTCAAAGACAGCTCAAGTACACCAGCATACCACTTGGTGAAATTAAGAATAGAGGGCCTTTAGAGTGTATGTTGCAAACAATGACATGAACATTTCCAGGCAAGCGATATAGAGATTGTCCCAAAGAAAATGTCTGGGGAATGAAGGCGGGAGAGTGATCACTATCCTAAAAAACCTAGGGTCGGACAGTACAAACACACACACACACACACACACACACACACGTGCACACACACACACACATGCACGTGCACACACACACACAAACATGTTTACAGCACTGATCACTTACTAAGTCCATCACCTATGGGTAAAACCAGGTACTGGCCTCCGTCATCCCTCTGAACGTATGTTGAGCCTTCAGCAACGATAAACTTACTGCGATCTGTGTCAACTGCATGGTCACGCATTCATGCAGCCATATATATTAGATGCATGCGGACAGACACAAATACACATGTGTTGCTACAGGACCAATTATACACGAGCAAGACACCTGCGTTGAGTATGAACTGCAATTTCTACAAAGCAAAATAATTAGTGGCAGAGTACGGAGTGCCATTGTGCAGGCGCAACAAGGAAGCTTGCGAGGTGCATGCACGCAACATTGTTGTGTCCGTTTCTCCTCAGTGGACACTTTGGATTGACAGAGGAGTCTTAGCTTTCCAGAGAGTCCAAGATCGTAAAAATCAGTGACTGGTTTTAATGAAGTTGTGATTTTTATGGACGACCCGAGTCGATCTATCGTGCAGCATTGCACATTATAAGATGAAATCAGGCACGTTTCCGTGATGGCATGTTGGCGGTGAATGGGGTTCCGTGATGGCATGTTGGCGGTGAATGGGGTTCCGTGATGGCATGTTGGCGGTGAATGGGGTTCCGTGATGGCATGTTGGCGGTGAATGGGGTTCCGTGATGGCATGTTGGCGGTGAATGGGGTTCCGTGATGGCATGTTGGCGGTGAATGGGGTTCCGTGATGGCATGTTGGCGGTGAATGGGGTTCCGTGATGGCATGTTGGCGGTGAATGGGGTTCCGTGATGGCATGTTGGCGGTGAATGGGGTTCCGTGATGGCATGTTGGCGGTGAATGGGGTTCCGTGATGGCATGTTGGCGGTGAATGGGGTTCCGTGATGGCAGCATGTTGGCGGTGAATGGGGTTTCCGTGATGGCATGTTGGCGGTGAATGGGGTTCCGTGATGGCATGTTGGCGGTGAATGGGGTTCCGTGATGGCATGTTGGCGGTGAATGGGGTTCCGTGATGGCAGCATGTTGACGGTGAATGGGGTTCCGTGATGGCATGTTGGCGGTGAATGGGGTTCCGTGATGGCATGTTGGCGGTGAATGGGGTTCCGTGATGGCATGTTGGCGGTGAATGGGGTTCCGTGATGGCATGTTGGCGGTGAATGGGGTTCCGTGATGGCATGTTGGCGGTGAATGGGGTTCCGTGATGGCATGTTGGCGGTGAATGGGGTTCCGTGATGGCAGCATGTTGACGGTGAATGGGGTTCCGTGATGGCATGTTGGCGGTGAATGGGGTTCCGTGATGGCATGTTGGCGGTGAATGGGGTTCCGTGATGGCAGCATGTTGGCGGTGAATGGGGTTTCCGTGATGGCATGTTGGCGGTGAATGGGGTTCCGTGATGGCATGTTGGCGGTGAATGGGGTTCCGTGATGGCATGTTGGCGGTGAATGGGGTTCCGTGATGGCAGCATGTTGACGGTGAATGGGGTTCCGTGATGGCATGTTGGCGGTGAATGGGGTTCCGTGATGGCATGTTGGCGGTGAATGGGGTTCCGTGATGGCATGTTGGCGGTGAATGGGGTTCCGTGATGGCATGTTGGCGGTGAATGGGGTTCCGTGATGGCATGTTGGCGGTGAATGGGGTTCCGTGATGGCATGTTGGCGGTGAATGGGGTTCCGTGATGGCAGCATGTTGACGGTGAATGGGGTTCCGTGATGGCATGTTGGCGGTGAATGGGGTTCCGTGATGGCATGTTGGCGGTGAATGGGGTTCCGTGATGGCATGTTGGCGGTGAATGGGGTTCCGTGATGGCATGTTGGCGGTGAATGGGGTTCCGTGATGGCAGCATGTTGACGGTGAATGGGGTTCCGTGATGGCAGCATGTTGGCGGTGAATAGGGTTCCGTGATGGCAGCATGTTGACGGTGAATGGGGTTCCGTGATGGCAGCATGTTGACGGTGAATGGGGTTCCGTGATGGCAGCATGTTGACGGTGAATGGGGTTCCGTGATGGCAGCATGTTGACGGTGAATGGGGTTAAAGGGGAAGCAAGCGGCGACTTACACAGTTGTACTTCAGATTCCGCGTCTTGTTTGAACTGATGATTGGGGCACCGAGTAACAATCACTCCATTTTTCCAAGCCGCCACATGTAACTCACTGCCATGAGGAAGAGCTAGAAATGCATACACACATATACATACAAACACACGCATAAATACACACACACAATACATAGAAGATTTCCAGTTTGCCAGGTTGCAATCATACTTCGACCTGGTAACGTTTTTAACACTATCGATTCAGCCAGAGAACAAAATACTATCTAGCGGTGTGTGCACAACTCTGTGTGTGTGTGTGTGTGTGTGTGTGTGTGTGTGTGCGTGCGTGTGTGTATGTGTGTGTGTGTGTGCGTGTGTGCATGCGTGTGTGTATGCGCGCGTGCGTGCGAGAGAGTGTGCATCTGTGTACATGTGTAGCACGGCAGATATTGCTGCTACATGCACTTACGACTGTCTGTATGCAGCTGAAACGTGACTGGTGTAACATTCTTGCAAAATAGCTTGTTTAGCTTGGCTGAGAACTGTAAGAAGCAGACAAAAAATGAAAGAAGAACACACTAGGCTTGTTTCCCTGCAAAAACACAATTGCAATTGCAACTAGCTGCGAACATGATTCTGCATGAAGTCAGTAGCCGTCGATCATAGACTTCATTGGTGAGAAAGCAGTCAACACATCATCCGGGTATGGGAGTAGTAAGATGGCATGGGGTTGGGAGTAGCAAAGACTCAGCAATTTTATTCAGCCTGCCTGTTGTGACATCAGTATCTTAGCATGCATTGAGCAGCTTTACCCAGCGAGGCAATGATCAAGAAGCACTACATCATACCGGTAGAACATGAAAAGCAACACAATCATAATATCATGTCAAGACTGGAGCATGATGAGCATTTCCCAGCTCCACTTACCGTCCAGCTTGGACTTTTGGACACTTTCTGCTAGCAAACAAGCACAAGCACGTAACCACGCACACACCAACAAAGCCCCCCCCCCCCCCACACACACACACAAACACACACACACACACACATACGCACAAACACACACACACACACACACACACACTCACTCACACACACACACACACACACACACACACACACACACACACACACACACACAAAGAAAGAGAGAGAGCAAGTCACATCACCTTCCTGCAAGCAAAGCATCACTCAGTGTCCAGTTACTCATACATGTAGTCTAAAACGAATGTTTGCAAAAAAGAACAATTTGTGCCCAAGAGTATATGAAAACAGTGAGTTGTCGCCGGCACGACAGGCCTTTTGGGCAGCGCTGGCGCTTGTCTTTTCGGCTGAATCTGAAGAAGGACTTTCAAGTTGTACGGTATATCCTGTTGCAATCTGCGTACAGAGATCTGTAGATGTCAAGCATGGTCAACAGTTGCACAGTTGCACAGTTGCACAGTTGCACAGTTGCACTCACCACGTGTCACGCATGCATACTGTATGCAGAGTAGAGTGCACTGCTTTCGCTAAAATTCAACGTTTCTCAGTATTTGGCAATGGCGCAGTCTAACACGTTGCGTGCTCCGTTAGTATTCGGTTTCAAGGATAACAAACCAGACATGTCATTTGTGAAACTTTTCACCGTTCAACATACAAAGCAACAGAGGTAAATAGAAGATTTCCGTAGCTCACCTTTGCTTCGCTGAACTTAACACTCAAAGTATTGTGCTGAGCGAAATTGCTGCAAACAAAACACATGCACATACACACACACACACACACACACACACACACACACACACACACACACACACACACATATATACACACACAGGTACGTATATCATCATACAGCCCATACCCAAATTTGACATCATGTCAGAACTTCCAAGATGGAAGGCTGTTGGCTTCAACCACTAGCCGCTAGCGCTGAAGCTAACGGCCTCTGCATATTCGACTATTCGTATCACCTCAAATTATCGGATATGGAGAGGGCTGCTGCAAAAAGGGCAATAGCCCGTGGGATATCCCAAGTAAGGATCATATGACGGCGGTTATTGCTCATATTCTGATGACCTACAATATAGTGCAATGGCCGCTGATTGATTGATCTCTATGACAACACTACAACTCGTACTACAACACGTAGGTATATGTACAAGGAGAGCCCGCTTTCGCCAGTTTCTGTAATGGTCAACTTTCTTTCCTGAGTGATCAGTGTTTGTCTGTAGAGAGTCGTAGAGTTGTAGAGACGTTATGTCGTTATCATTGCAGTCATTACAGTCATGTTCCCGGCGTAAGACCGTAGACTATGGACCAAACTGTACTTACAACAGCGATGGTAGGTATGGTGTGAAGGCCGCTGCGGGCTCGACTGGTGTCTGTGTCACGGATCTCTGACAAGTAGAACTTGCCGATGTGACTCCCGGTCCGGTCGTCAGTGGACTTGTTGTAAGCGATGACAAGCGAGGTGTGTGCACAGGACCCGGTGCATGCTGTGACATTGCTACACTGCCTCCTCCTGCAGCAGCCGTGTTCAACTGCAACGAAGTATGGCTGTGTGCCGTTTGTTGATGATGATGATGATGATGCTGCTGCTGGCCTGGTCCCATGTTCAGCAGTGCTGAGAATGTCTCAGCTGCACATGTACACACACCCATGTACCACGCACACACACACACACACACACACACACACACACACACACACACACACACACACACACATACACACACACACACACACACACACACGGTGGCACACACAATCATACATGATCACCGGGGTGAAATTCCAGCCACGGTCAGAACCGCAATAGGAACATGCCTCCACCGCTATACAGGCTGCTGTAATACCGTGAAAGCCCGAGAATACGCCCACCGCCCAGCCACAACGCCCACTACCGTGTACGTGCCCTTTTGCCGGGTGTCAATACTCTTGCCCCATTTTCTAGCGCACCTCTGTGTAAACGCCCATGGACGAGAGCACAGGCCCAGTACACAGTGCAGTGCATGCACAGGCCCAGTACACAGTGCAGTGCATGCACAGGCCCAGTACACAGTGCAGTGCATGCACAGGCCCAGTACACAGTGCAGTGCATGCATAGCTCCAGGTGCACTGTAGTATATCTATAGTATACGGTACACTGTACTAGCCTGGCTTGTACGCACCTGTGATTTGTTAGCGTTCTTACTTGATCTTGTTCGAATTTCAGACTGATTCAAAGTTGAACCATCATACATGGCAATAGCGGCATAGGGCCATCGTGGACAGGAAACATTATGTGCATGCGCTAAAGTGTGCTTATCACTCCAGGGAATATGGTAATCAGTATCGACCCAAATGCCATTTACAGAACAACTGCAATTATTTACATGTGAATTACTTGTGAGCAGCATTGAAAATGCATAGTAAGTTGCTGCTTCAGCTACTAATACTATCAGATCCATTGAGTGTATCGAGTACATGACATTGTATTGCCTACCATCGGCACCAGAGGCAGAAGTTAGAAAATTCAGTGACAGTTGATGATGCTGTCTTTGCTCCTGCTGCTGCTGCTGCTGCTGTTGCAGGTCGGTGGGCATTTGGTCATCGCTTCCTGTGCCTGGGGCACTGCCCGCACCGAAAAAGTAATTTTTGTTCCCGCTGTGCACACACAGGCATAACCATTGGTACAAAGCCATGATGACTTAGTCAGTATCGCATGCATCGCATGATGTGAAGTACATCAACTATCTCATAACTATCTGTTGGATGCAACTAAAATTGCTCATGGAGCGTCTCGATTACTGTGGAAATACATTGTAGTAATTCTTCCTCAGCTTCTCTCAGCGCGCTATGTCCAGCACTCACCCAGACATTTCGTTAGTCCGCTCGGAAGGAATAACACCTCTTCCGCGCCAAGAAGTTAGCTGCTATGATGTTATCATGGCCGAGTGCTAGCTACAGGGAGGATAACTGATTTTGTTTGCTGCGATGCAGTAGTGGCAATAGCAACTAGTGCCAACATGTCATGCCACCTCTATCTCATTGTACAACTGTTGCACAACGAAAGAAACGTCCGATAATCGTCGAAGCGGGTTTCAACGTGTCAGAACAAGCTGCTGGCACTTGTAAGTACATGTAGTTGTACTCGTACTCGGACTACTCGTAGTCTTTCTGCTTTTTTACTGCACTGCACATCATTCCACATGTCACATGACCATGTATGTGGCGTGGATTTGTATGTAACTGGTAATCCGTAAACAAGTTACATGATCACAAGTCAGTGAACATGGTGAAGTGCTGTGCAAAATGTCATGAAGTCACATGTTACGTAGCTGTGCATTTTACTTTGTACTTAGTTTGTAGTCCAGGTAGATCTACTACTACTAGTAGTAGCACTACAGTGCTGGCAACTGAAATCCGACCCCCTTGCCGGGGCGCCGCGCCGGCAAGGGGGTCGGATTTCAGTTGCCAGCACTACACTTATAGTACTGTAGCCTGTACTGACATTGACAAGTGACAGTACACTCAGACGTCTCTTATCCGGGCACCTTGGGACAGGGCACTGCCCGTATCTCAGTGCCCGTATCTCAGATTTGCCCGTATCTCAGGATAACTCATCTACACTGTACCATGTATCATTATCATTTTTGAAGAAGTTTTTTTTGGTGCATATTGCACATGTTCAGGTTACAAAAATAATCCATGGATAAAAATGCATGGATTACACAGGTTGGCAGTGACAAATAAGCACTTGCGCATTCGGAAAAAAAGTTCAACCCCCCAAATTCGAAGCATTTTTGCCATAGGAACTCAAGCTGAGGGTGGCCGGTAGAGAGACGTGCTCGTATCTGAGGCGTCCGGATAAGAGGCGTTTGCGGAGTGTACCTGTATCTACTGACTACACAATGACCATGAATCATGATGACATGCTGCATTGGCTGTACAGCTCAGTACAGCCTGCAGGTCAGACCTCGCTACAGTCAGGCCTCGCTTATCCGGTCCTCTTTTATCCGGATCCCTCGCCATCCGGAAGAAAATCGCTGGTTGCCGATTTACATCATATGCCATGCATACATACAGTGTGTGTGTGTTCGATTATCCGGTTCCCTCGCCTATCCGGATATTTTTGTGGAAAACGGTTGTGTGCGGTTATGCGAGGTCTGACTGTATAACGTAATCTCTGGGGGATGGGGAAATTATGTTATAGCGAGGTTTATGTTATAGTGAGTTGGGCACACCAATATGCAATATGTATGTCAAAATGACACTCTTCACTTACTAATTACAACTGTACTGTTTTACATACAATGTACTTCGAAGTACAGGTATGATGATGCAAACTGGCAAAGATGTGTCACAGGCTTGTCGGCAAAGTCATGCAGAGCGTGTACGTGTACATGTGAAAAGATTAGGTGCATTTGACTTGCACATGTACATGTACGTAGGTTTACGTGTAGACATGTAGGGACCGAGCAGGGAGTACTAGTAGTAGAAGGCATTATCTGCCAAATTGGCAGATAATGCTCGAAAAGGTGGCAGATTCTGCTCGAAAAGCAGTGAAATTGGCAGAACCATACAAACCTTATGGCGGGCAATTCCTCGAATTCTGCTCCATTTCTTTATCCACATACCAAACATGCATGAAACTTACCAGAAAAAGTACCGAATTCTGCCAATTTTTCTGCCGGCATTATCCGCAAAGAGTACCCGGTATTTTTCTACTCCCTGCTTCCAAGGTGCACCGGTGGACAGCTCATATACATGTACATGTATCAGCCTCGAACTCGTCGCGAGAATCGCATGAATGCAGTGTAGATCTACCTAACCTAAGTCATTTTTAGACGACTTTTACGTTATGCCGAGGTCTCCGTGCGCCTGGGACCCAGCAAACAGTGCGTTATAACGAAAATTACGCTAGCGGATTATGTTATAGCGAGGACATTTTGTACAGAAGTGATGCGGTTTCGGCAGGGACATTCACATTTCGTACGTTATAGTGAGGTTTATGTTATAGCGGGGGTCGTTATGGCGAGGTCTGACCTGTACGAAGTGAACGGTTCTGGGGCGAACCCCAGAGTTCACCCCACAAATGTGCCGTTGTGAAACCTCTACTCTACTCTAGTACTAGTAGTGACCTGGTGACTAGAGACTGCATTTTCGTTGAATACATGAAAAGACAGAAACAAGCGTGCACGCGCGCTCGATTAGAGTAGGGGGGGGGGGGGGGGGGGGTGGGGGTGGTCTGTGTGCTTAGCACCCCCCCCCCCCCTCTCTCTCTCCCTTGCACATGTGTACTCCCTCTCCCTCTCCCATGCGGAGAGGTGGGCCACTGTCGTGGATAAGGAGTACTCCCCCCCCCCCCCCCCCCCCCCTGTGTTTTCCGGTACGTGCCGGTACGAGTGTGAGTGCCTCCAAGTTTGTTAGCTGATTTAGGCGGAACATTCTGGACTGCATTTCAGGCTCTCGCTACAGAACTGTCATGGTAACCTGGTTAGTTCATCACAGCTTCCGTATCGTGGCCACTGTAGCGGCTTGTGGCCTGGTACGGTCTTTACTGACTTTAGATTTATTGTATATTTGAGGAATTCCCAAAGACAAAGTCTAAATAATTGAAGGGAGTTCCATTATCTGTCACGACCTTGATTAGTACCCAGGCGCATGCGCCGGTGCCCTTCAAGGGGGGGGGGGTTCCGGGGGCCTCCCGGGAAAAATTTCAAAAAATGAAGCAAAATCCTGCATTTTGAGCGAAAAAAGGGGGTTCCGGGCACCCAGGAACCCATACGGGGCACTCGCCTGCCTGGGTACCGGTAGTTCAAATCGGTACGGTTTGCGCCGGGTGCATGGTTGCGATTGCCACTGTGCACTGCAATCATGTTGTTCTCCGCCTTCACCCAGACTTTGCAGGACAGGTCATCTCCCTTTTCACATCTCCGACAAACCGTAAGCCGGCGTATTCATCCTTTTAGTAGTTTTTACAGAGTTTGGGTTTGCCTCGCGTAGGTCTACCCGTCGACCAGGTGGAGGCGAGCCACACGACAGCAAAAGAAGTGCTCAGCGCTGCAGCGCCGAAAAATCAAGCGATGAAACCGTGCAGTTGTGTGACCAGGTGACCAGGTGACCATGGTGACTGCCTTTTACTTTTAGTTTTACTGCCATACTGCCACTGGATCAGTGGATGTCGAGATGGCTCGCGGCGAAGTGTCGTTGTATCACGTGCCCGAGAATGCTCGACGCCATTGCGGCTCCAGAGTGCAGACTCATGAACTCATAATCAGCCTTTGTACAAAAATAATGATTATCAAGTGTCATGACGTCAGATGATCAGTACCTGGCCTGGCACGTAACGTCGTTACCTGGTTACGTAAACACAGCCCTAGCCTAGGCAAATGTAGTAATCAGGTAATAGAGAGGTTCTGCAAAACGAAAATGTGTACGAACTTTCGCTCTACGTCACGAAGTGAGAAACTTCGCACGAACTTTCGCAACTTTGGACGCGAAACTTGCAGGGAACGCGAAATGAACTTTCGTAGGAAGTTTCGTGAGATTGGGTCATGTCGTACGTGCACTTGGCGCGTGCAAACTACGAAAATGTGCAGAACACAAAGTTCGTGCGAAAATTCGTACACATTTTCGCAAGGCCTGTCGCGAAACTTCGTTCGAATTTTCGTTGTGCAGAACCTCTCTAATGACGGCAAACACATCGATGATACGTTCCGTGCCCCGGAACTTTTCACTGCTCGAAAACGACGTATAAAATATCCGTAGCGCCTCCACGGATTTTGGCACGAAAAAAAATCGTACTCCGGAACCTCCCTACACGGCTGTTCGCGCACCACGGCTGTCAAGAAGCGGCAACTTAGAAAGATGGCGTCGGTTCGAGATGGCATGGTAACCGCGCACGTGCCGTGGTCCGTGACTTGCTCATGTATGCACGCAAATGCAAGTCACAAACTCACAAAGATCGTCTTTGCATTTGGAGAAAATATCTTCGACTCTCTTTGGAGGTTGGCGAGGTTTGCCTAATCTTTACTTGATTGCGATGCCGGTATGTCCTCTCAATAATTAGAACAAAGAGAGCTGATGATCGCTTCATTGCTGAGCAGAAGTAACAATCAACTCTCCTCATGTCCTCAGTGCCAAAGGCAGACGACTGCAATTCCACAACGAGCATTTCACGATGATGGAAACAATAATCGTGTACTAGTACACACTTGGACCATTTGGTCATCCCTATTCTAGCCGCTAGTCCGTCCAGCAAGCAGATATTGACTATTACAATAAGTACAACTGCGTGAACGAGGGCTCACGCAGCAAATTCAATTCAAGACGTGACTCCAGTCAAGAATTAGGGTCTTTACTCGAGAACTTCACAAATACAGGTCAAGGCACCCCACAAAACTGATAGATGGCACGAACGAAAGACAAATAGGCTAGACAAAGTGTCCCAAGTGATTGAAAACAGCAGATGTACCAAATAAGACAGCTACATGTGTCTAAACAACGATTCCCATACAGTACAGAGTAGTATCAGGCAGAATGAAAGCCTTGGAAGTGCACAAATACAGCCACGACCGCCACAAAAATTGGACGACCGCCACAAAAAAATTCTCATTGCTCTACCTCCTTGAAGGGTGAAAGTTACCAGTTATCCTATAGCGATGTCAGTTTATGCCTGTTGGAACCCCCCACAGCCCGCACGAAATACCTTTCAAATAATTCCAGGATGCAATTGCAGCTCCAGACAGGAGGAAGAAGAACACCGTGAAAAATAACGGCAACGATGCCCAAACTCTCGGGAAACGGCTGAAGTCTTCCTGAAGATGTTAACATTGAATAGCCATCGATTACCAGCGTGGTTTGGTGACTTTAGAACTGTTTTGAGACTTAGAACGAAGCGATATCTTAAATTTGATGGAATTGTTACCTGTCAAATGCGTGGGCGAGCAGGCCAGCTGACTGGTTATGCATGAACATGCATGAGCATGCATTGATTTTTCATGGTTCACGTGCAGAAAACTAAGTTGCCGCGATCCAAGTGCAGCTAACAGCCGTGGCACGGACATCTAACAATATGGAGTCGTTCGGTGCGATTTACGTAACGCGGTACAAACCTCCTGAATACGATTGGAGTTTGCGTTTTGGGATGAAACTCATGTCACTCTCCGTGTGGTTCCACGATTTCGCAAGTCAAACCAGGATTTATTATTTGAAAGCGCTCGAGCGAGATACTCAATATCCAGACAATTTGAGAGAGAAGGAAGGTAAAAGGAACTCCTGCCGTGGTCAACCAGCATCCTGACCTTTTCGAACCTCTCCAAGCTGTCCCTGGTAGTCTGGATATTGACGCACGCACTGATTTTCAGCTTCTCCTCGCCGGGATCACGGGTGAAACTTTCAAATTTGCCGATATGCACTCGAACAAACGCACAATTGGATCTACATCACAATTTCGGGGCTATCTGTGTGCTTGCTGCCTTTTTCAGCAATACCCCACATGTCTACTGGGCAGTTTCCACCAGGCCTCGGCCTCCTGGACTCAACAGCGACTCCAGCGCCATGCCATCTGTCCCCTAAATCGCATGAAAAGGTAGCTCAGCATCGAACGCACGGGACCTGAAGTTTGTGCACGGGACGTGATAAAACTTGGTGAAGATAGCCAGAAGATAGTCCTCTACCTGGGAAAACTGAAAGCTAGACTGGGAAAACTCCTGAAAGGGCTTCTTGACGCAGGCATGTCAACGATGAATCAAGGAACGAGCGAGAAAGAAGGCTTGACTTGTGCAACGCGGAACAAACTGTTCCTGAGACGAAGTTGGCCATGTGAGGTACCAGCGGAAAGCTAGTTTCAAGAGGAACACGGAATACCTGTTTTCCGGGTAAACCTGGCCTGGTAGCTTTCTAAATCGAGCGAAAACCACAGCGAAATCGGCTGCTGAGAATTTGAAAATTCAAATTTCCTTGCCGATCCAGCCCAATCGAGACTTTTGGCTGCCATCTTGTTAAATGTCCAAATTTCGCGAAAAAAAAACAGCCGTGCCTACTACTATTGTACTACTCCCTACTAACACTCACTGATTCAGTGCTCAGCCAAAAAAATCCGAGTGTCGGCCTCCTCTTCTTCCTCTACGGCTCTAGCTCTTACTACTAATTAAATTTTTGTAGTCTGTGTCTGTGATAAAGAGGGTGTTGCGTTTTTCACTGGAGATTCAGAAGATCAACAGTACACTGTACTAGTGATCAAGAGCATCGCATTTTTGTGAATAAAGTGGCCCTGCTGTCGTCGGCAGAAATCTACCTTGTTTCTGTTGTTGGATCAACAGAAGAACAAAAAACAATTTTCAAGTGCCAGATTTTTATTTCCTTTTGAAAATAGGTCACTGGCATGTTATTCGGTCGACGCTCACCATTGCGTCTGGGGAGATGGAGATGGCCCGGCGTTCTTGCAATGGTCTGCACAGTGCTTATTATGGGTGCAATGCGACCCCTCGCCACCGCTGGGTGAGGTGTTTAGTGAGCATGGTCCTCTGAGGAAATCACTCACTGGGAGAGCCTTGCTCTGGTTATCACCAGCATCGTCCTCATCAGCAGAAGCATTGGATTCTAGTCAAACGGAAGATGTTTCATTCATACCCGACTATCAGTATGCGCGTGATGGTTACTACCTGGACCCGGGTAGTAACAATACCAATGCAACCGTGAACTCCACAGCTGACTGTCGCCGCCCACTGCACCATCACGATGGGTATAACAGCACTTGTGACTACGTACAGGACATGTGTGGCGATGTGCCAGTGCTTTTTGACTACTTGAGCCTGGCAGCTTGCAGTCTGCCTCATGCCAAGGTGAGCTAGGGATAGGTGGCTCAGGCTTCCTAGAAAGGAATGTCCACGTGCATATGTGTAGTTCTGGCTGCGTAAGGTCATCACAGAACAATACGAGTATAGCCCTGGACACTGCGGAGACTGAGTTCCACTTCGGTGCAGTGTGGCTATGTGCTGTAAGTTCACTTGCCGGGGTTTTAGTTAACGGTAAGGCCCGCGGCACAGCAGTCGTGCCACCCAGTGTAAGAAGGGTGACACACACGCACGCGCGCACACACACACACACACACACACACACACGTAAGCATACACAGTTGTACGAGTACAGTTTGCAGAGTAGCACCGGGGCATGGGTGTCAGGTGCACTGTGACCTGAGCACATGCAAGCTTCACTACCATGAGTCATGACCATGTTATTGTAGGTGAGAGCAGGTACCACAACTGTTGCGTAACACCATGAGAGGTTGTATGCAAGACATGCTACCATGCTCTTGAAAGGCAGCAATAATGGTAATAATGTCGAATGTCCACAATTGAAGTTTTCGGATTGGTACATATACAATGAGAGTTGCACTACTGAGCATGAAGGAGTACCCATGGTACTTTGAAGTATAATGGTTGTCAGTGGTAGCACTGCTAGTACTGAGAATGAATCTGATTGCTGCTGTTTTGTTTTCTGGTTTTGCAGTGGTTTGCATACATCATCATGGCGCTATGGCTCTTTGTTCTTGTCTCACTTCTTGCAACCACGGTGAGGCAGTGTGTAGTGTGGGTTTGTCCTGTGACATCATCTTGTAGAGCTAAAGGTGCTTCTTGTGCAGTGTATACACGGTTGAAACGCGCCAATGATGCCCTTTGTTGGCAACAAACACGGGGGTTGAAATTGTGCCTTTTTGAGTGAATACGTTCCGGGCATTGTAAAAGGCTGAGTCCTGGTAATATACACTAGGGTGCATGATGAATAGCATTTCGCATGTGATTTCGCACAATGTGGGCCGGATTTTGTATAGGGTGAAAATTTGGAGTCGAGACGTAAACCATTGTCAGGACTTGTTTTGAGAATTACGCCATTTCCCGTAGCCAAGATGTTGCGATTTTGGTGGTAATTGCAAAAGGTGGCTCCTCCTAAAGTTCGAGCCTTTCTCTCTCTCTCTCCCTCTTTCTCTCTCGCTCGCTCTCTCTCTCTCTCTCTCTCTCTCTCTCTCTCTCTCTCTCTCTCTCTCTCTCTCTCTCTCTCTCTCTCTCTCTCTCTCTCTCTCTCTCTCTCTCTCTCTCTCTCTCTCTCTCTCTCTCTCTCTCTCTCTCTCTCTCTCTCTCTCTCTCTCTCTCTCTCTCTCTCTCTCTCTCTCTCTCTCTCTCTCTCTCTCTCTCTCTCTCTCTCTCTCTCTCTCTCTCTCTCTCTCGCTCGCTCGCTCTCTCTCTCTCTCTCTCTCTCGCTCGCTCGCTCTCTCTCTCTCTCTCTCTCTCTCTCTCTCTCTCTCTCTCTCTCTCTCTCTCTCTCTCGCTCTCTCCCTCGCGTGGGCTGTGTGTATACATGCTTGTTTGTGTTTAGGCGGATTACTTTTTTGTACCTCCTCTCAATGTCCTCGCAGAAAAGGTGAGTGCTGGCGGATATTCTAAAATCTGCGTGTCATGAGATAAGGATGCAGCGAAAGAGATCCTTGTTTCGTGACACGTTGAGGTTAGCTTGCTGAGGTGCAACTGTAAATGTGTCCATAGCTGATTCTAATTTCTTTTCCTACTAGAAGTTGTGATATACATGCGTAGTACGGCTTTACGTGCAGCCAACCCTTCACCGACTTTCTTTACTTCTTTCCTGGACATAAATAAGATAGCAGAAACTTGCAGCAGTGGGGTGGGAGTGTATTTTCCTACACCTTTTCTGATATTGCTGACTTAGAACCAATGCAAAAAAAAGAAAAAGAACACATACACACGAAAGAGAAAGAAAAACAGCTTCATTCTCGAGTTCTCTACCGCCTGTGGGTAGGTGGAAGGGTTCAGTTCCAACAAAGAAAGTAGGCCACTGTGAAGCGAGGCAACCACGTTGGCGTGCGTCTGCTTTGCGCAGACTCGCACCGGACTACCCAGACCAGAATTGAATTTGGGTATATTTGGTTGTCCGAGACAGATTTTCACCGCTCGTTTTTGATTTGTGATTCACTCAGTAAACGTCACAATGTAAATTAAACGATTCCACGGATATGTGTTGCGGTGCTATGCTCTATCTTTGTGCTGTGAACAGTTGCAACTCACTCCGGCTGTTGCTGGCATTACTCTGCTGGCTGTCGGCAATGGTGAGTGCCTTTTTCTGATAACACTTGGTAGCTCATCCTTACATGACCATACGGACACTTCAGTAGCGCTCTCTCTTTCTGTGTGTGTGTGTGTGTGTGTGTTCTCTCTCTCTCTCTCTCTCTCTCTCTCTCTCTCTCTCTCTCTCTCTCTCTCTCTCTCTCTCTCTCTCTCTCTCTCTCTCTCTCTCTCTCTCTCTCTCTCTCTCTCTCTCTCTCTCTCTCTCTCTCTCTCTCTCTCTCTCTCTCTCTCTCTCTCTCTCTCTCTCTCTCTCTCTCTCTCTCTCTCTCTCTCGCTCATGAGCATAATGTGCGGATTGTGGCCATGTAGCCATGTAAACGAATAACTGGAGTTTGTACGTACTCATTATCCATTCGACGAAGCCGTGGGAAGAGATCATGTGTACAACTCTTTGTACAAAACAGTAGTGCTAGCATGCAGCAAACACGCGTGGTGTCAAGAAAGCGTACACCAACTTCGGAAATTCCGGCGGGAGAACTAGAAATTCCGCCTTCACTTTGGAATGGGCGGAATTGGATTCCGTGGATTCTGATGAAGAAATCTTTGTTATCGAATAGTGTGAGCATCGCGGGGAATTCTAGAATGGACGGAATTGTGTGTAATCGACCATGCGTGGCCGAATGTGAGAGGGAGGAGAGAGGGAGGAGAGAGGGATGAGAGAGGCAGGAGACAGGGATGAGAGAGGGAGGAGAGAGGGTTGAGAGAGGGAGGAGAGAGGGTTGAGAGAGGGATGAATGTACCTGTTCCATGCAGTATTCTCGCTGGTAGGCTTGTCAAACAATCTAAACACCATCTGATCCAAGATGTAAAGGAAAACGTCTTTTGTTCTGGTGTTTCAGGTGCTCCTGATGTGTTCACAGCATACGCTGCTATTCATGGTGCAGACGACTTCCCTCTTCAGCTATCGTAAGTCTTCCACCGTAGTGCTACAGGGCTCTTCATAACGCAATGAAGAAGAATGAATGAACGTGATCTGTTATGCTTCATCCAACGAAAATGTACAATGGCAGCACAATGACATTGTTGATGCGGTTTATTTAGTTGGTTGTGATTATTATTGTATAATAATCACAACATTTTGCTGCCTATCAAATTCAATCAATCTAAGCCTTAGCAAAACACCTGGATGTGTGTGTGGGGGGGGGGGGGGCAGTGTGAAGCCAAGACATGCGTGTGTGTGCGTGTGCGCGCGTGCGCGCTCGTGCTTGCATTGGTGTATTTGTGCCAGCAGCTGTGGTAAAGGACAGCTGCCATAGCTTGAAGTGGCACACATTACATTTTTTTGCGTGCAGTATTTAGTTTTTAGTTTACCGTCACTTGTTTGTGTTGAAGTGCCCCTCTCTCTCTCACTAGCTAGAGAATAGGTGTGGGGTAGTACGACATGACGTAGTGTGACAGTTGATATACATATAGCTCCATACAAGGCGTCGCACCTCTTTACTACATGTACTCAAGTATAACTTAACGTGTACTTGGAGTAGCCTTGCAGTTATCACCTGTATGTATCTGTCACCCGTATGTTCTCACCTCTACACACTGGGCTTAGTTCTCAGCTCATACACTGCTCAGTAGCCAAAAGGGCAGGGCTTCCTTTTTGACTGATAAGCGAGCAAGCGTGAAATTCGAGTCGCAGCAATAGAACTTTGCTCCACCTTTTCTGTCATAGCCTGTATGTTTTATGTGTATGTCATCACCAATAAATACAATACAATACCTGTATGTGTATCACCTGTTTGTCGTTGCCTGTATGTTACCACCTAGTACCTGTATGTTATCTGTTCCCTCTATATGTACCACTTGTGTGTGTGTTTCACCTTGCCGCACTGCAATGATAATGCTGGTTATGGTCTCAGGCGTGGTTCACTAGAAACCTGTTCACTAGCTCGTCACACTAGCTAGTTCGATTGATGGGTGGTGCACTTATGCCAGATAGTGATTGGGTCTGTTGCTATCGGACTATCGGGCTCAACTACTTGAATGTGTACTGTTGTGTCTGCCGCCTGTGTTGGTTTCAAGTTGGGTAAACCTGTTGAGAGTTGTACATGTACTATATCTTGTGTAGTCAATGGTGCCAGTGAAACCTATCAGGTCTATACACGGATCTATTACCCCACACCAGTGGTCGCAAGTATTACTTTCACTGGAGACGTGGGTGAAAGCAGCTGGACCTCGGAGCGGGTAGCCTGAATCAACCATTCCTTTTTTGCACCTTGTCCTCACCCACTCACTACTTTGCGCTGTGAGCCGATAGGGGTGTCAGCCATTGGACGCATCTTTCCAAGATTCATTCTGAATCACTTTCTCTCTCTCCCCTTCTGGGGATACCCATGTGACTAGCTTCTGACAGTGAGTAAATGTGTGTGTGTGTGTTTGTGTGTTTGTGTGTGTGTGTGTGTGTGTGTGTATTTGTGTGTGTTTGTGTGTGTGTGTGTGTGTGCGTGTGCGTGCACACGCGTGTGTATGCGCGCGCGTGTCTGTGTGCACGTGTTTGTACACACAATGTTATTTATTCTATCACAGAGCTCTGCTGGGTGCGTCAATCTTCATTTCGACCGTTGTCCTTGGGTAAGTGTGCCCTATAGTTTGTACAAGTGTAGTTAACACGCATGCACTCGCTATTGCAGACCAATGGAGAGCACACATCATATGGAGGATTCATGGAGTGCTGGGCAACCGAATCTGGCATGTGATAATCATGTAGGATAGTCCACGCACGAGGTGCAGCCCATGAAATGGGCACCCATGAACTGGGCGGAGTGTGGACAGCCTGTATGATAGTGTGTATGTATGTCCACGCACAAAGTGCAGCCCATGAGATGGGCGCCCATGAAATGGACGGAGTGTGGACGGCCCACGCACGAAGTGCAATGCCCGTTAGGAGGCAGGAGTGTGGGAGTATGAGTGTGATGGCCGAAGGCCGTGATAATTGCCAGATGAGAGGAGATAGCTGGCCCAGCACTCCTATTTATTTTCGTCTTGTATGAATTATGATACCTGTGTTGAATCAAGGATATCAATATTATTCATAGATGGGAAGAGGTGGGTGGGTGAGAAAGGAACAAACCGGTGTTCTTCTCACGGCGCAAGCAAAGCAAATATGAAGTAGCAATGTGGCCAGCGCGAAGTATGGTGTATGCGTTACGGGCTCAAGCTCCGATGTGTGCTGCAGCCGCATATGGCTGGTTGGCTGGCGAATTCAGGTGAGTTCCGGTGTACGCATGTTACATGCCACCGCAGCGTGCATGTGCGTGTTACTTGACATGCATCAATGAATAGCGTGGGATCTGCGGGCTCTTTGGAAGCCGCTGGAGCGCGTGTGAAGTGGTGGCTTGTGCAATGTGTTAACCTACATTACCGCAAGCTCTAATGTGCTAATAATGAAATGAAGGATGTAACGTTCTTGAAAATTCGGAGGCTCCACTGCAGCCAATTAATCACCTCTTAAAATTATCACCACCACAACCTCAGTCTTATACTGCGATTTCAATTATAGTTACAGGTCTGCCCTCGTTAGTAGACAACTCCAACGTTTGTGTCTTGTAACAAGTATTATCTACTATCCGGACGTGAATGTACGTGTTTCAGGCGTCAGGGGATTTTTGATCATTGTCTAGTAATGCAGTTTGTCTTGTAACCCCGTTGTTGTGCTAACCAGGGTAGACCTGTATGTACACTAAAAAGAATAGTGACCCCAGGATTGACCCCTGCGGGATGCCAGAATAAGTGGGCTGGGCAGCCGCTACGATAGTGAACAGAGCAGTTTGCCGCAATGCCAAAGGCAGCCATCTTAGCAATACGGCCTCTGTGCCACACGGTGTCGAAGGCTTTCGCCAGGTCAAGGAAGCACATGCCGGTATGTTCTCTTTGATGTCGAGACTGCGTAATGTCTTGGATGAGGTGGACTGTGTATTTCAGTATAATAATAAAAACCCAGGTGCAGAGCTGTTGAGTCTCCTTACCGGAAACCAGACTGCATTCTATGCACGCATGGGGTATATCCTTAACGCAGAAGCTGGTCATTCGCAGCATCCGCAATATCAAGAGGCGTAGTGGCGGAACTTTGGTCAGGCCGTGTGATTGCTGCTGGACGAAAGCACAACGGCGATGCAGGTTTACAAAGAGTTGTTAGAAATGAGTGTAGTGATGGACGCTGACTGTCGGTGAGAGAGTAGTAATTGACTGGGCGTACTCCTTATGGGCTAGACGTGATGGCGATTTTGCTATATTTCTCTCACGTTTGTACTGTGTGGCATTTGCCGGCGTAGGGTATTTCTTATAGACGCTGTAGAGGTCATGCTTTCTCTGCGCTGGCTGCCCTGAGCACTGATGTCATCCATGGCGGATCCCGGCGAGAAGAGCGGCTTCGGTTGTTAGTGGATGATTGGTGATTGCGTTGAGAAGAACAGACTGAGAGGGAAGAGTCGAGAACAGACAAGAAGTTAGAAACAGTGGTGTCGATATCAAGGCCGCATAAGAGGTCCCTCCAGTGAGTTGAGGCTATTTCGGTTTTTCAATATTGGGGCACGCAGTAGAACCTGGGCATTCTCCACGTGTATTCAAGAATTATTTCAAAACGAAACTCCTAAACCCAACCCAAACGGAAAGCGTTTTCATTTTGAAAAACAAACAAACAATTGGTAACCCTGGACGCGGCCTGTAATATTTTATAATTGTTTTTCACAAACAAGGCCGGTCTAGGCAGGTCGAGGTAGAGTGCTCAATGCACGGATGTGCAGGGCAGTATACACACACACAACAGAGGCGAAACACGTGAATGCTGCTGTCTGATGATTGCTGAAATGCGTGAAACTTAAAGTTACAGCTTCACAGCCTTCGTCTCTGTTGTGTGTGTAATTGTTTTTCATGTACTTGTCGTAGGTGATACGCACATATTCTACGTCACTAATTGAGGGCTATCTTGTGTACCCGGTTTACCCTGTATGTGTGCCTGCCTATTCAGATCTGTTATGCTGGTTGCAGAAGTATCTGCCAAAACAGTTAGTAAGTGATCTACAATACACATGTTGCCTTTTTGGGAGGTTAATTTCATTGTGCAGCATCGTTCGGCATTATGTTAAACTTGACAGCGCCAGTGCTTCAGTAATACACTGCTCTGGAGTATCGATGTGTGCTTTTCTGGTGTGCTGTCTCTGTGTGCCGTTCCTGTGTGGTGCTGCTGTGTGCCGTTCCTGTGTGGTGCTGCTGTGTGCCGTTCCTGTGTGGTGCTGCTGTGTGGTGTTCCTGTGTGGTGTTCCTGTGTGGTGCTGCTGTGTGCCGTTCCTGTGTGGTGCTGCTGTGTGGTGTTCCTGTGTGGTGTTGCTGTGTGGTGCTGCTGTGTGGTGTTCTTGATGAGAATGATCACAACAATTTGATTTCTGATCATATCGTACTCTGTGGCTGCTCAGTAGATGGCATCACATGCATGCAACTGCATGTCCGGATAGTGTTATTTGTTGAAACAATGGTTGTCCCCCAAGCTGTTCGTGTAGCCCATTCATGGCTGTCCGGGCGTATTATGAATGTCTCCCCGTGCAGTGAAAGCAATCACACGCTGTATGTTCTCATTGCTATGCTGTTTCTTCTAGAGCGTGTGGACATGATCCGTGACATCTTGGTGTACATGGTGGTGGTTGCAACTGTCGTAGGCGTATCCTGCGATTCCAAGGTACAGTTTAATCAGTGCTGTCAGTATACATACCGGTACATGTACTGTGGTATCTCGCAATTCCAACCGCCTCTCTGATCAAGCAAAGTAGTCTGATCTGTGACAAGGACCACTCTGCATTCGGGCTTATGGAGGAAAATTCGGGGCCTAGTTCGGGGCATGGTTGGAATGGCGAGGTGGCCGGTTCACTTTCAGTGAGGTTCCGCTGACCTACAGTGTAGTGTGTTAGACTGCAGTCCTATGTTACGGTAGTATGTACTTGTAGCAGGATCAAACAAGCAACAATGCACTCAAAGTGTACATCAAACTGTTCGACTGTACACGCCAGCTAATATTAATCATAATATCGTACCGCCGTACACGACTAACGGATACTCGTTTGCTAACGGATCAGCAGCTAATCAGACGGGTACCCAGGTGCCCGGATCACCCCTTTCACCCCTACATTGGTGGTAGTTACTTGTGTGTGTGTGTGTGTGTGTGCGTGCGTGCGTGCGTGCGTGCGTGCATTCGTGTGCATTCGTGTGCATTCGTGTGCGCTTGTGAGTGTGTGTGTTTGTACTTGTGTGTATGTATGTGCATGTGTGTGTGTGTGTGTGTGTGTGTGTGTGTGTGTGTGTGTGTGTGTGTGTGTGTGTGCATTCGTGTGCATTCGTGTGCATTCGTGTGCATTCGTGTGCATTCGTGTGCGCTTGTGAGTGTGTGTGTTTGTACTTGTGTGTATGTATGTGCATGTGTGTGCGCACGCGTGTATGTTTAGTAATTGTTTACTGGGCGGCAGTGGTAGTGCAATTGGGGCCAAAGACCCCCCCCCCCCCTCCTCGCACACTGTGTCGTGTTCTGACACATGTGCACCAGCAACCTGCATGACTTGTTCACATGGTGGACGCTCACTAGCATATATTTGTCTACCGGTATATGGCTGCGTGGTGCAAAGGTTGTATTTCTTTTCATATATAGTATAACTGTAGTCACTAGATAACGCCGTAATGCTTACTGTGTGTGAATGCTTACTGTGTGCCGTCGACTGTTGTGTACGTATTGTTTGTTGCAGATTGAGCTGTGGGAGTCTGCCTTGTTCCTGGCTATCTATCTCATTTACATTGCCATTGTCGTCGGACTAAGCTTCATACAGGTAACGAGAGAGCTTGGAAGCTCAGGGCCCTGCACTATGCTTTGTTGCCTAGCTCATCGTGCATGTTGTTAGAACTGATGGAAATGTTTTTTCCTTTGATTAGCTACATCATTGTATTGCAAAAACGTTTCAATGAGTTACTGAAGTAACGTCTTCTGCATAGCTATGGGACCGGCGCTGACTCTGCCGATCACGGGCGTTCTGGAGTCGACGGGATGTCTGTCCTGACGTTTCCGGGGACCGGCGCTGACTCTGCCGATCACGGGCGTTCTTCTTCTTCTTATTATTATACTGACGGCAACTAACATCCATTCTAATTGCATTTACTCGTCTCCCTACTTCGTATTTCTTTCCAGAAAATCTCCCCATACAGCAGGGAGTCGTTTACATTATATGACTCCCTGCTATACATCTACATGACTGTATACACGTTATAATTATTATGCTATCGGCCTACATGCGATTCCCGGGCTGGTCGACAGGTGGCCCAGCCAGCCTGCTAGTGGGATCTCGGCCTCGCACACAAATCCACACAAAATGTTACTGCACTGAATGCATTCCCCCGATACACTTCGCATATATACTCATTCTCTTGATGGTACGGGACAGGTACGGGATAGCGCCAGGCATGCCGATGGCACAAACAAACAAAAATATTGTGGCCAGCTGTCTTTGCTGGTTGGGTACGGTACGGGACAGATACGGGATAGCGCCAGGCGTGACACAAACAAACAGACACCAAATTAAAGCTGTGTGGACCCTGGCTAGCGCCAGACGTTACTGAAGTAACGTCTTCTGCATAGCTACGGGAATGAATAGTGATATATCTGATCTGATGTACATTGCCAGTGCCGTTGGACTAAGCTGTATAGGTAATGAAGTGGTGGTCGCATAGGAAAACGATGGCAATTTTTTTCGGGCATCAGGTCGCTGGTGTACAGTCAACTTTGCGAATAACGACATTCGGCGGGGCATCAGAAAAGTGTCCTTATTCGCGAAGTGTCCTTATATCCGAAGTCCCATTTGAATGTATGTGAACCCATATTTTGTAGTATGACATGCATATCGAAATGAAGCTCTTTTCATGCTCTACGTCAATTTGTACTTTATTTTCGTATTGCAATTGAAAGGAACAATAAAGTCAATATCCAAGGGAAATAAATTGAAAAATTAACCTTTTGGAGCCATCTACAGGGACATGTTCATGTACATGTACATGTATGAAGATTAATGTGCAATCATGTACAACTACATGACCAATACAATAGGTGTGCTGATCATTCCAACTATTTTGAAGAAAAGAAAAAAGAAAAAGCACCCCCCCCCCCCCCCCCCCCCCTGGCTGTATCTTCTTGTATGTGTGCCTTGTCCATCACCACCGGTTCTGGTACTTCTGCATGACAGGTACTTGAAATACATGTAGCTGTAAAAAAGCCAGAAAGTCGTTATTCAAGCAGTGAATATGACCTCGGGGCACTAAAATCATGTCGCTATTCGCGAATTGTCGTTATTCAGATAGTCGTTATATCCGAAGTTAAATGTATACAGTCAGATGGGACTTTGCTCTGGGCATGGAAATTCTGTCGTTATTCGCGAATTGTCGTTATATCCGAAGTCGTTATTAGCGAAGTTGACTGTAGTTGTGAAACAAGATAGCTAAAGCAGCTTGCACTTATGCCAGTTATGGGTCCTGACTTTTCTGTGCCGCGTTTGCAAACATTTTAAATGTTTACGGGATGTGTATGATGGTGGGCAACGTGTATATTGGATACTGGAGCCAGGCAGGCATTGGTGTAATGTGATCAACTTATCACTACATTTACCCGTAACTCCATTGGTGTCTGACGGGTGATCTAGGTCTCTTGGCATCGCATACGTTTTCTGCTGCTCACCAGTAATCACTTGGTCACGTGCTGCATCCAAACAGCAAAGCAGCAAAACCCAATCAAGTTGTTATCGATACGCAACGAGAGAGCTGCCAGCTCAGGGCCCTCACTATGCTTCTTCTTCCCCACATCATCATCATAGGTGTTAATCAAACTGATAGAGATGTCATGGCAAAACAGATGGGGCGGGTGCACGCTTTATCATTCAATCATGTGGTGCGTGTGTTACACGCCAGGGGTATTTTGACACATGACTCTGTGTGTACTCTTCTGACATGCAAACACTGCGGGCTAGTGGCCAGTCATGTGTGTACTTGGTAATGACGTTGTTCTTTTTGCGTACTCTCTCTCTCTCTCTCTCCTCTCCCCTCTCTCTTCTTGCCTCAAGAAATACATGGCACGGAAAGCAAAAATTCTGCGCGTCAGTGAGAAGACACCTCTTGTCAATGAAGAGCTGTCGGCATCTGAACCAAGTATGTCACTACTGTTGATGCTGTTCTAAGGTCTATTTCCTGTAGTTGACAGTTTGTTCAGATCTAGACAATTCATTCTAAAGCTGGATGTGCATGTGAAGTTAGAAGTGCATTTTATTTCTAAACTGGCTACCTTTCTGCCTGGGAAAGGAGCACAAACACAATCTTACTCATAACAGCTCTTGTAGCCGTAACGTTGGGCTTTCCAACACAAAAGGCAACAGTGAGTACAGCACTGGTTGCTGGTGTTTCAAAATTGTTCGCATTATAAAGTGTTGTACTCAATAAGGCATTCGGGCTCGGTGCAAAAAGCTCTTTTCAATTCTGGTGGTACTTTATGCATTTGTCAGAGCATGCTCTGTTGGATTTGGGGGAAATCCACGAGCATATCTCATTGCTGTACAAGATATTTTGAGGTGTCTTGTCTGCTTCATTTGACTATTTTCTGCCTTGTTTTATTGCTGCTGTTGCTGCTGTTGCTGTTGCTGCTGCTGTTGTTTTTGTCCTCGTTCTCTTGTTTTCCTTTGTTACGTTCACATCGTGCCTTGCCAGTAGTGGGTATGACTGCGAGCATTAATGAGCCGGTGAGTGAAGTCGTAGTGTTCTTTTGGCGTGTTTTTGCTCTACAGCAGCAGCAGGGAGAGAGAGAGAGAGAGAGAGAGAGAGAGAGAGAGAGAGAGAGAGAGAGAGAGAGAGAGAGAGAGAGAGAGAGAGAGAGAGAGATTGTGTGTGTGTGTGGGGGGGGGGGGGATTTTCGATGATGGTGGTTCCTACATTTCTCTTGCAGACCGAATTCCCGGGAAGTGAATAACTCACAGTTATTTTACTGGTGGAGTGGTCGAAGCACGCTGCATTGTTCTTCAAGTACTAGTACTGTGGTCGTCATGGATGGCACCAGCTGATTACTGGCTCAATACTGGGTATATGCCACCTTTATCTGTGTATAAACTTTACTTACATCATGTGTTGTATCCAGTATGCACTTGTAGTGGAACCCACGTTCGACCAGCCAGCACTAACGCAACACTTCGGATTAGGGAATGAATTATTTACAAGAGAATTGGAAGAGACATAGAAGTTAGAAGTAAGTAATCAGAACCAGACTGAAGCACACTGAACTAAAGGATCGACTCAACTACTGAAGTACAGAAAGACGGGCATGCAATCTGAGAAAGGAGTGCAGCTACGCACGTGGCTAGACACATGCACAGCATGAGAGGTGTACACATAAAGCAGAGGCGCGCGCATATGGGTGAGCGTGTACACAGCATGCATAGCAACATACAGTGTGACACAAGAGTCATAAGGCACCTAATATAGCAGTTCATAACACCACTCCCCTAGGTGCCATTGATCATCCACTGTATCTAGCTGGCTGTCGTCGATTACCAGGGCCTCGGAGGTCGTAGCGCTGAGTCGGCATGTCAGCCGCAAACTCGATGCTCACCACATTATCACAGGCAGCTGGCTCTGGGCGATCTTCGGCAGCATCATGGTTACCATCATCTAGTGTTCCATCTACCTGCTGGGCGTGTCCAGGCTTCACGATATCAACGTTCACGACCTTCTCTCTGCCGTCAGCATGCTGGATCACCAGGGTCGATGGCGAGACTATCTTCAGCACCGTCCAGCCACTCTCATATGGCGTCATGAGCTTCTGACTCCGCTCTGGGCGACGTAGCATCACCGGATCATCGACACGGTATGGTGACTCTGTTGGACCGCCTGACACAGAGTCATTCGAGGACAGTAGCGACTCAACAAGGTCTCGAATTCGAGCAGCGCGCCCGGCGAGTCGGTCTACCCATTCACTGGCGCTGTATGCTGTCGGGTCGTGATCAATTACTAGATCGCGCCCTTCCCAGCCCGTGATGGCCAGCCTTGGCGATATTCCGGTTGTAGCATGGCGACGTCCATTGTAGTAGAACAGAACCAACTCCAGCTCAGACGTCCAGTCACTGGTTTCCTCGAGCGCCTTACGCAGGAGACCGATGATTGTACGGTTGAGCCGTTCAACCCCTCCTTGTGATTGAGGATGTCGAACTGCACCCGTTTTCACCACCACACCAAACTGTTCCAGGAGGGCTGCTACGACCGCGTTCCGGAACTCAGTGCCGTTGTCCATGCGAATGACAGACGGCGGGCCCCACCGGCAGCAGATCTTGGTCAGTGCGGCTGCTACGCTCGCTGCATCGTGTCGACGTAGTGGCTGTACCTCCGCCCACTTGGTGAACATGTCGACGCATACCAGGCAGCAGTGGTGCGCTCCACTCTGGCCAAGCTCCAACGTGTCGATCTGTATGACCTCCCATGGTCGTCCTGGTACGTCTGGACGCGTTGGCTCAACAGTCGGTCCCCGTGCCGGGTTAGCTGCAGAGCAAGGCACACACGCTTGGACAACACTGTGGCATTTCTCGGCCATCAGCGGCATATAGCAGCGCTTGCGCAGTGAGTCATGCATTGTCGTCCAGGTGGCATGGCCAGAGGTCTTGTGAGATGCTTTCAGTACTTGGTCTTCAAGCTCAGGTGGTATGACTGGCACTTGCACGACACCGTCGAGTGGCAGCTTTACTGAACGCATCAGCACACCGTCATGGTCCAACAGCTGATCACGGACCGGTCTGTACAGCTTCGACGACAGGGGGGTTCCCGACTTCAGCTCATCCAGCAGCTGTGATATCTCGGTATCGGCTTGCTGCGCATCCTTTATCTCACTGAGAGTAACGGGCCCGATAGCATGCTTGTGCGTTGCCACAGAAACAGAACAAACATCACTCGGCTCGGCTGTACCCTTGGGCCACCGCCTCGGGACACGGGTGAGCTCATCGGCCGGGTTCTGGTCAGTCGGCACCCACTCCACTCGGACCTTGAGGCCGACCGTTTGGACGAGGTCAGCAATCACTTCCAGTCGCCGCTCAACCAGTATCTTGTGCAGCCCACCAACTTTCACTCGGCGCACATTGTCGAGGACCTGCTTCAGCCAGCCGTACACTGTCTTTGAGTCGGTGACGAGTCGTACCGTCTGCAGGTGCCATTGCGCTGCAAGCGACAGTCCACGCACCGCAGCATCTAGCTCCGCCACATTGATGTGCTTCTTATCGGCTGTGTCCCGCAGCCATGTACCGTCTTCGATGACTTGGCCGTTCAGCTGGAGGACCACACCGACTGCCAGATCCGAGGCATCGCAGAACACAGCCCAATCTCCATCGGACTCGGCTGATGCATGCCACACACCACGGACGGGGTCTTGAGCGGACAGCTGCTCAGCAACTTCGTCAGCACACTGAAGAACGCTAGGTGGAACCGGCGTGTCCCATCTGTCCACTGCACTTGATAGCCGCTTCAACATTGAGCAGGCTGGGCGAAGCCATGCGCACACTGGATAGTGGCTTGTGAGCCGACCTGTCCATTGGAATACACCACGCTTCGTCAGCGGTTGGCGGAAGCTGAGGTCGACTCCATCGCGGCGAGCCCACATGATGGTACCATCAGCAGTCGTCGATAGCTTCAGGCCAAGCACTCGCGCCTCGGGTAGATGCTCTGGTGGCTTTGTCGGCAAGCCATACCGTGCTAGCTCTGCAGCGACGGCCTTGCGCTTCTCCGCTGGCGTGAGGACGTCATCAACGTAGTTGTCCACATCAGGCCATCGTCGCGTCACCCACCGAACAATGATGTCCATGAATTTTGGTGCAATCGATAGACCAAAACCCATCCGTGACATGGCGTACAGCTTCCCACGCCACACCACGACTTGGTAGCGCAAGAGGGATGGGTCGACTCGTACCTGCAAGTACGCCTTACGTATGTCGACAAGTTCAAACTGGCTGTCTGCAACCTGTCGCCACTTGCGGATCTTCTCACCGCATGCTGGGGCATCAGTGCCTGGGTTCGACTTAATCACCGCATTCAAGCCACGGTAATCAAGACAAGGACGAACTGGGGTCGACTCCTTGTGGGCTTGGTCCTTGGCGAGCAGCGGAATGATGGCCGCCGGAGGACCGTACGTAGCCTCGTCGTACTCGATCAGGTAGCCATTCTCGACCCAGGCGTCCATCTCGTCACAGAACTGCGACTCTTGCTTGTCTGACAGGTTGTGCCTCGCGTACTGTCCGATCCCTGAGCCGATCGGAGATGTAGGAGCTTGCCCATCACGCCACTGCCAGTGCAACGTCCAATGCTGCTTGTCGTTGTCCCACCGGAGCTCTCCGTCTTCGGCCTTCAGGGTCACACCACGATCGTCCTCTGTGACGCCCACATGACGGAGTGTGCTCTCAACGTCAGCTGCAGCAGTAGCGGCTGCACCGGTATCTCTAGGTTGAGGACCAAAGCACACGCCATTGACCTCGCCGTCCTGGCCATAACTGAGTCGAACGCCACCAACACCAGCTATAACGTCAGCACCGAGGAGGAGGTCTGCTGCCACAGCCGTCAATGAGTCGACAACGCAGGCATTCACACGCACTCTTGGCAGACTAACCGGTTCACCATCCCCTTGGCGCTGCAGTTCCACATCAACTGCTCCTCTGATCTTCACCTTGCTGCTATCCACGGATACAACAGACACACGTGGCTGAGCAGTGAACGGAATCTTGTGAAGTTTGAGGAACTCGACCGTAACCATTGTGTAACTTGCACAAGTGTCCACTGCTGCTCTAGCACGTGCCCATTCGCTGCCTACCACGCCTCGCACGTCAACGTAGATTCTGGGCAGTGAAGCTCTAGTAGCCTCGGCTACAGTGCACAAACACGCACCCCTCGCCAGGGAGCCACTGTCTGCAGCCGTTGCTGCTCCAGACGATTTCCGCTCTTGCCAGGCTTTACGCTCCGGACAGTCACTCTTCATGTGACCTGGCTTGTCACAGAAGTAACAGGTTCGAGGGCCAGTACGCTCGCCGCGCGTTCCTTTACCAGCACCACTCTTGCGACCAGATTTCTTCGCTTTCGGGCACTGCCGCGCCATGTGGCCAACTCCGCCACAGTTGAAACATGCCTGCTCATCCGTGGTGGCAGCTGCCACAACAACATCGCCACGCACTCGTGTCAAGTGGTCCGAGGTCGCAGCCTTCAACGCCCGTACCACGTCCAGGCATCCCGTCACACTCAACTCTTTGCCCGCCATCGTAAGTCTTAGCTCTCGGGCAAACTCTACCGGCAGTCCCTTGATCAGCTGCTCTATGATCATCGGGTCCTTGTCGTCATCAGCCTTGTGCCCCGCCATAGTACTCAGTCGCTGCAAATCGGCAACGTAGGCGTCGGGGGACTCATCCACGCGCATCGTCCGTGAGGTGAATCTGGCGTACGCCTGCGCCTTCGTCAGAGTGAACGACAGTCCCATTTTCGCCAAGACTTTATCTTTGTCTTTCTGATCGCTTGCCGGCATCCGTGAAAATACAAGAAACGCGTCATCCGTCAGGAACAACGGAAAATTCTTCACTTTCTTGTCGTCCGTGTCCCAACCTTGTATGTTTGCAAGCACCAGAAACTTATCCCAAAAACGTCCGAAATCGTCCCCGTTCCCACGGAACGGCTGGAGGAAGTTGTCAAACTTGAGCGACATCTCGCTGGCGTGGCAGGGTTTGCACTCGTCAATACAACACACACGTCCCGGGTTTCGGCACCAGTTGTAGTGGAACCCACGTTCGACCAGCCAGCACTAACGCAACACTTCGGATTAGGGAATGAATTATTTACAAGAGAATTGGAAGAGACATAGAAGTTAGAAGTAAGTAATCAGAACCAGACTGAAGCACACTGAACTAAAGGATCGACTCAACTACTGAAGTACAGAAAGACGGGCATGCAATCTGAGAAAGGAGTGCAGCTACGCACGTGGCTAGACACATGCACAGCATGAGAGGTGTACACATAAAGCAGAGGCGCGCGCATATGGGTGAGCGTGTACACAGCATGCATAGCAACATACAGTGTGACACAAGAGTCATAAGGCACCTAATATAGCAGTTCATAACACACTTGATCGTTGCGACAAGAGTGAAAGGCCTTGAGTTCATCTACGCACACAGTGATGTGTAGAAATGATAGTACGCATTGCAGTTGCTGCGATTGAACACATTGTCTTGCTGCGAGTGTTGCTGCCCTAACACATTGGGTTACTGCGAGTGTCACTGCCCCAACACATTGTCTTGCTGCGAGTGTTGCACTGCCCCAACACATTGTGTTACTGTGAGTGTTGCTCTGCCCCAACACACATTGCCTTGCTGCTGTCTCTGCTGATTGCCGTCACCAGGACCAAGACGATCGTGAAGAGGAAGATGAACTTGATCCAAACGAATTGCCTGGCCTCACTTGGGTTAGAAATTTGCCATCACTTAAGATCTACAATGTGCTATTTCTATGCCAGGGAGCTCACGGGTACCGGTAGTACAATTATAACATTGCGGAGCTACAATGTATGATGCATGTGTTTGTTTATACATGTACATGTATTTGAAGTAGCTGTCTAATTGTTGTGTAAAATAAGCTTGCAACTCCCAGCGTGACCTATCCATATTGGGTAAATGTATCTGAGACTTTGCTTTGGACAACATGTTTTACTTCTAGCCACTCCTGATCAGACCAGCAGACCACCATTGATCTCTTACTTGCCTGTGTTTGAAGTTTGAACCAGGGAGTAGGTATTTAAATTTTACTACTCCCTGGCTTGAACCTACGGCACATCCCCTTGCATGTCTGTACTCCAGCAAAGCATGCATGTCCAGATTGTTCAGGGTCCATAGGCTGCACAGATGTGTATGGAGAACCAACCCTGCTATAGGGAACATACCCACTATAGCCTTTTTATTGGGATCTGCATATACGAATAGGCACCTTGGAGACAGCGGTTTCACTATGCAGTCATTTAGCTGACTTTACACCATTACGAAATGCCGGATGTCTTTCTTCCTTCTCTGAATTATTTTGCACAGCCGGCCAAAGGACACATTGGAGCAAAGATTCAGTTCGTCGTGGAGTACCCGTTCTCATGGCTACGCTGGCTAAGCATACCACCTTGTGTAAGATGAAATGAGGATCTAGTCTGCATACGCCCAAAAGTCTGTATATAAGTAGATACCCTCATAGCGATGCCCCCCCCCCCCCCTTCCTGGTAGACATGATGTCATACTGTAGAACGGCTAATTTTAGCGGGTGAAGTGTTTAAGCCGCGGTCACACCTAGCAAGCCGTTTCCAGCTTGCACTGAAAATGGCGTGTGCTGAATGAAGCGATTGGTCACATCGACCCATGAGACCCGCTGGATTTTTTGCGTGCTGTAGACTGTGTGTAGAGATTTTCTTCGTGCTCATTTTTGAATTTGATTTTCTGTTGAACATGTACGTGGCAATCAGCAGAGTTTTTGGTACTGTACTGGGAGAGCAGCTTCATTGGCACATTGGAATCAGGGTGCTTGTTTGAAAGATTGAGGGAGGTTTGAGCTTGTAGTGCAGTCATGGATCCTGAAACTAGACTCTGTGCCGTTGTCTGCATCTGGCTCTGCACGCGGCGATATGGTGCACATGCTTCTCTTGCAGAATAGTCTCCCTTGTCTGATGCTGCTGAACCAAATCATGTCTCGTAGAAAGCGCACAAGGAAAGATGAGGATAATAACAGACAGCAGGCAATGAGAGAAGTTGGACCAACAACGAAACAAACACCGAAAGCCGGAATATTTCAGAACACGATGCATCGATGGCAAGATGCGTTTTGGATTTGCACGAGTTTGTTTTTCCCGCCACTGCGCCAGAATGGCTGAAAGTGGCTGAATCCATTCAGTGCTCCATTCAGCGCTTCGAAAACGGCTGGCTGCTGAGAACGGCTGAAGCCGAAAATTCTGCCGTTTCTGTAGCAACGATACCGTCAAAAAGCGCTTTTTCCGCTGAATGGCTGAATCACGCCTGATGTGACCGCGGTCTTAGCGTTTTCTGAATCTGGACCAATTCGCGATGAAATATTTTAGCTATCCGAGTTTCAGAGTTTAACCCTTATCCGACCGTCAAAGTGGACAAATTCTCAGGCCAAGCGAGACGCCGCGACTCATTTTGTTGATAACTTTAGCTTCCCTTGGGTGATATTGGCAAACTTGAGCTTTTTGGAAAGCTTGAGCCATGAGGAGTTCTCTAGAAACAGTTTCTAGCCTTCATTTGTAAGAGGAACAAAAATCCATCTCCAATTCCATTTTTTGAAGAGAAGTACGGCTCATCGACATGTGGACTATTTGTAGTCTTAATTTTGTACTTTCATGCTAACACATTTTGAAAATACCATTGGGGAAGCATCCAGGCAAAGTTTTAGGAGGGCAATATAATCATTGCTAAAGTTACACCATTTGAAAACTTGTTTCGTACGCGGTGTGAAAACAGACCTCACTCAGAGACTTATAACTTCTCTTTGAAAGATGCTAAGACACTCCGGTCTTTTGCAAATGAATGGTGGGTCTTTCCAGCTTCTTTTGAGACCAAAATGGTGCAGATTCAATCAAAAATACTGTATAGCAGGAAATTTTCGGACGGAATTTATTTTCGTACGATTTCGTACACGCCCTCTTTTGTACTAAAATTAATTCCGTACTAAAATTTGTTCCTGTGAAGTTATGTACACTATACATGCGTACCGCAAGCAAACAAGTGCATTTAGCATGCACCACTGTACGAAAATAAAATCCGTACGAAATGTCGAAATTCGGCTTTGTCCGAAAATAATTCCGTCCGAAAATTTCCTGCTATACAGTAAGTGAGTTACAGCTTGTTAAAGTCATCGACGGATAGTCGTCGATTTTTGACTGGCCGGTCGGATAAGGGTTAAAAAGAAGGATGACTAGTACTACACCGTACATGCAAGATGTCGATGGGCGTGGCAAGCCTTTAGCGAAAACACTCCTTTCGCTAGAGTCGCTAAAATATCACCGTCGCTAAAATTACCCGTTTTTTCAGTATTCCAAGTGATAGACCTAAGTTCCGGAATATTGGCTGGAGGAGGCTTCCAAGCGCCCTCTATGCTTTGGCAAGACGAGTTTCATCGGGAAACTAGGAACTGTTGATGTTGATCAGCCCTGGCATAGATCATTCTCTACCTTGAGGCTGTCAGACTAGCCACTACCCACGCAAACAGAAGCCATCATACCTTTGTGGAGAGACCGGATCACCTGAAACATGCGCGGAGGCAGAATCAGCCAAAGCGCTGTGAGGGACCGCGTTGTACGCCTTGCAGAAATACACAAACAAGACATATAGATCAGACTGATGACCGGTGGCTTTCTCAAGTACTTGGCGTGCAGCAAAGATCATATCGATGCAACCCCTGCCCTTCCGAAAGCCGCACTTGGACTTGGGTAGCCACTAGCCAGTCCTCTGCAAGCGGCTCAAGACGGTCTTGGAGCATGTTGGAAAACAGTTTACCCACAACATTTAGCAAGCTGATACCACACCAGTTGTCGCAGCTATTTCGGTTACCCTGCTCAGGCACTATTGTATCACATGTTGATGTCCACGGTTGCAGTACCACGGCTCAGGTACTATTGTATCACATGTTGATGTCCACGGTTGCAGTACCACGGCTCAGGTACTATTGTATCACATGTTGATGTCCACGGTTGCAGTACCACGGCTCGGGTACTATTGTATCACATGTTGATGTCCACGGCTCAGGTACTATTGTATCACATGTTGATGTCCACGGTTGCAGTACCACGGCTCAGGTACTATTGTCAGAAGCTGGTCGCCTCGCCCTCAAGTGGGACAAGCCATTTTCAATCATCATGGCTTGGGTGCGATTTCGCAGCCAATTTGCAGTGATCCATGCAGTCGACCTCCGGCTACGCGGGTCTAGAAGGCGCCTGACAGGCCTGTCGACGCAGGATGGTGCTGGGGTAGGCATCGGCCATTGAAAACTGAATTCCGTCTGTTTTACGTGGAATTTCTTGGAGTTTCCCAATGTATTGTACTTGAATAAAATTCTATTTTAACTTTCATGGTATCTCAATTTTTTCACGTCTACATGACTTTATTTTGCCCGTAAAAGAGGCCGTTACCCCTTAAAAAAAAAAAAAAAAATTTGTATCACATGTTGATGTCCACGGTTGCAGTACCACGGCTCAGGTACTATTGTATCACATGTTGATGTCCACGGTTGCAGTACCACGGCTCAGGTACTATTGTATCACATGTTGATGTCCACGGTTGCAGTACCACGGCTCAGGTACTATTGTATCACATGTTGATGTCCACGGTTGCAGTACCACGGCTCAGGTACTATTGTATCACATGTTGATGTCCACGGTTGCAGTACCACGGCCCAGGTACTATTGTATCACGGAACAATATTGAGTAGGGTGGTACACTGTATCTCTTTCCCCTCCTCTGTAATAATGGTTTTGTTCATAGATGGCGCTTGCCTGTCGTCAAGGCAGGATGGCCGATTCATGCCCAAGTGCGTGGCCTGAGGTCGTGCAACATAACAAGCCTGTAGGCTATGTTGCACGACCGACGGTTACCAGAAGGAGGCAAGAGGAAGTCTGCGGCACTCCTCTGATTGGCCAAATGCTAGCCACGACCTAGCAGCAGGCATGTGACATGTATGAGCTATAGTACTACACCCATATTACACACATGGAACGTCATATGTGATGGCTAATTGCATGCCCGCGTGAAAAGCCATCGGCCGTGTACCGTTGCCAGTAGGCATGTGGCCCTTCGGCGACGTTGCTCGACCGCTGACTATGAGAAAGCACATGGGCAAGCAATCAGCCATCATGCTAGCCAGACCATGTGTTAGTAGTATGTGCTTCACCTTTTTAGGGGTTATTATTATTAAACTCAAACTTGTTCATTTTCACCGTTTTGTGTTTTCAGGACGAGCGCTGGAATTGGCAGCGCCGAGCTTTCGCAGTTGCCTTCCCTCTTCCTGCTGCAATTGTGCTCGTTATAGCAGCAGAAGGCTTTGGAGGGATGACTATGGATGTTAGCTTTTCACACCACAACCCTAATGACACCAGTAACGGTACAGATGCAGATGGCTGCCAGTCTGCATGCTTCCCAGTGTACGGACTTGTGCTGATATTTGGTGAGTTCCCTTTACAGAATGATATCCCTCGTTTCTGTTCTTTGTGTGTGTGCGTGCGTGCATGCGTTTGAGTTAGTTCGGTTGGTGGGTGCACGTATGCCATGTGGTGTTGGGTCTGTCGCCAACGGGCGCATCGGCTTGAAGGTGTATTGCGGTGCATGTATCTGCTACTTGACTTCATTGCGGTCAGTTTGCCCAGTCACTTTGATCTTCGCTGAGGTGACCTAGGATGGTTGAAACATCTAGCGTGTGCACTGTCCGCAGATGAAATGCTTCTATTACCTAGTTTCTATACATCTAATTCTTCTCTACCAAACTCCCGTGTTGTCTATTCTAACAACCCAAACAGGCATTGCGCTCACTGTCATGACCTTCTTCTGGTCATTGAGAGTCAAAGTCATGGGTGGGTTCTTCCAAGCCTACCTGGCTTTCTTTGCCTTTATCATGTCCGTCGCTTGGATGAACATCGAGGCAAATGAAGTTGTGGCACTGCTGGAAACGTTCGGCCTTGTCATGGGAGTTGATACAGGTATGTGCAGCACTGGTGTATAACAATGCCTTGTCTGACATTTCTCCCGTGTGACATACCGCATTATCTCTATTACAAGCCCAGTCTCTTGTAGAAGCCCAGTCTCTACTATAAGCGCACTCCAAGAGGGCTTCGAAGATATACAAGCCCAGCCTCCAATATATGCAGAGGGCTTAATGGAGAACTATGTGGATCATGTCCATTCATGTTTGATGTCACACGGTATCACATACGCACATTGTAGCGCAAGTCCGTGATCCCCTTGATAAAAAGTACAGACTCAGTATACCAGGAAGTACAAAACTACCATTCATGGTGCCTGGTGGGATACTTTGTGCAGCACTGCTGCTGGAATAACAAAAAATATTGACCAACATACATGTACATGTACCAGATGGATGAAAAATTATAGGCTTACCTTGTTTCCAGTAGAAGCCCAGTCTCTAATATAGGCCCAGGGTCCGGATTGGTTGGGAAAGTATAAGCCCGGGGCTTGTAATGGAGATAATACGGTAGTTCAACCTGTTCTGTAGCGACAATCACTGCAATAAGGTGCATAAAAGTTAGCAGACTTTGTCTTCACACTTATGCTTGAAATAGATAAAGTGTGTGTCCCGTACAGGTCACAGTGTATAAGTATGTTGAAACCTTGTTGTACTCGTATGCATATGTGTGTGTGTGTGTGTGTGTGTGCGTGCGTGCGTGCGTGCGTGCGTTCTTGGCTTCAGCTATCCTGGGACTAACTGTGCTCGCCATTGGCAACTCCGTCGGTGACTTGGTGGCTGATACTACTGTAGCGCGTAAAACACCGGCCATGGGTGTGTCGTCTTGCTTTGGATCACCTCTTCTCAACGATGTTCTGGGCCTGGGTATCTCGCTGACGGTAGGATACTGATTGGGATACGATGTACATGAGCTGCACTGTATCCACCTTATTCCCCATTACAAGCTGCATCCAATTATAAGTTGCATCGTTAACTTCAGTGTGTTCACATGGCTATTAAGGCATACTCAATTGTAGGTTGCACTCCCTTCTTCGACCTTCAGGTTTATCGTAGAAAGGTTCCTTCCATTTAAGCCTAGTTCACATTCGACGCAACGCCGACGGTACGGGACGTAAGGGCTTGTCGGGAGGGCTGGGGTGAGCTGTAAAATCCTGTACGATTCGTACGACACGACATGCAGCAGTCGTTGCGACGTTCAACGTCGAACGGCGCGAGTCATAAGGCACGGTCCGTGACGGGGTGACTTTCGGACCTAATTTCTCGTTTTTCGGGACTTCTTTTCAATTATTTCTTCTTGAAAGAAGCGGAACCAATTTCACAATACCAGTTTTTCATGAAGATCAAAAAATTAGCCCTGAAAGTTGTGGCATTCAAATAATAGCCCCAGGAAATGATAGAATAGTTCGTCTGTCACGCTTCTGAACTATCCCTAAATACAATAAGTGACATGAGATCTTAATAATAATAATACAGCACGCATATAGCTCATATGAAAAATCAAATGAGGGTCATGCATCTGTCGACAACGTCGAGCCAGTGCGTTCTGTCTGAGGCAAGTTGCTCCGCTTCCAAAAGAGACATATTGAGAAGTAAAAGGTCATTCCTAATGTTGTCTACCCATCTGGTCACTGGGAGATCTTATGTTGCTAAAATTCAACTCAAGTCGTGCTAGCCATTCTGTGAGTTATCATGGGAAGCGCAGTGTCCGAAATGCTAAAAATATCCAAGTACGAATCGGGAGTAGTTGGCGCACGACGCCGTCTCCTGTTTACACTCGAATTGCAGCCGTTTTGTACGCTTGCGTCCCCGTCTACGGTATGAAAAGTTGGATCGATCCAACTCTTCCCGTCGCTTCCCGATCTGTACGGTAGTACGGTTGCGTTCCCGTTCCTGGTGTTCACATTGGACGCTGTCAGACCGTCCCGTCGCTTCCCGTCGATCCTTACGTCGCGTCCCGTCGCGCCCCGTCGAATGTGAACTAGGCTTTAGGCAGCCACCATTACATTCTCTACTGTAGAGTGGCATGGTAGAGAGCACACTAATGTGTTTTAAGCAAGGGTTTCTGTGCGCACACCATACTGGGGCCAGCTGTGTGCGGATGTACAGATGCATTTGCATGCCGCTGTTCTCCGGCAAAAAGCCCTAAATATGATGGCGTTGGTGTCTTGCAAGCGGTTAATGTGTTCATATTGAAATAATTACGTTGGACTCGGTTGACGACTCGTGCACTACTAGTATGTGATGTACAGCATCCTATAGACAACTAGTATAGTTGTTGTTGCTGCTGCTGCTGCTGTTGTTGTTGTTGTTGTTGTTGTTGCTGTACTTTTATTTAAACGTCGCATCACAAACGTAGTGTTCATACTCCCAATCCCCTGCACCCAATTTAGGAGCGGGTCCATTGTTCTACTGCAGCTCAACTGCACTGCCATTCGCCAGCACTTCCCTGTGGACGGTTTGAATTTGCTCGTGTGTGTTTAGTTCAGCCTCTGTAGCATCCTGGCATCGCCATGTCTTTAGCCGTGCTGGACTAACTTGTTTTCATCTAAATTTTACAGTATGTATCGGATGATAAGGAAGCAAGCAATTTTCCCGCTATTGTTTCTGGAAACTGAAATCTTGAATTGGGTTCTGCATGAGCTGTACAAAGTATAACGTGTTCTCTGTGTTGTACTGGTGTGTTGTCACTGTGTCTATAGGCCTATTGCGCAAGCCACTGGCCAAAGCCGTTCGAATTCAAAATAAATGACCCCAAGTTTGCAAAGGTAAGCAGCCCCCACTGTGTTTTCTTGCCTGACTGACTCACCACCCCTGTCACCTGCGGGTGCTGAGGTGAAAGCTCAGCTTTACTCTTACTTGCTTTTACCTTTACTTGCTAGTGCTGTGTATGTGTAGCTTGCTACTCTCTCTCTCTCTCTCGCTCTCCCTCTCTCTCCCTCTCCCTCTCCCTCCCTCTCCCTCCCTCCCTCTCCCTCTCCCTCCTCTCTCTCTCTCTCTCTCTCTCTCTCTCTCTCTCTCTCTCTCTCTCTCTCTCTCTCTCTCTCTCTCTCTCTCTCTCTCTCTCTCTCTCTCTCTCTCTCTGTCTCTCTCTCTCTCTCTGAGTGTAGCTTGCTATTTAGATCAGGGCCTTGTTTACATGTATGAGTAACTCTCGCCCGCACTGGCCAGGCACCGTGCTCTATGAGCCTGAATCTCACCAGCTGTACAGTAGTGGAATTGTGCACTGGCAGTTGATTCTAAGATGAATAATGCCCGGTTCCACGGACCCAGCTCCTAGATCAGCTCCGCCAAGAACCCTGCCAGGCCAGGCCAGTCTGAAATTGAAGAGGAAATACCTACAGCCTGGCTACTATCCCTGGCTACTGTCCCTGGCTACTATCCCTGGCTAGTCCCTAGTCCACAGCACCAGCATTTTAGTTTTTTTAGCCAAGTAGTGATTGTAAATAGTTGTGGGGTGTCGCTCTCGGTCCCCCTTTAAAAAAAAGTTTCTTGTCCACGGGTTGACCCTGGCTGGTGTCCCTATTGTTTTAATCTACTTCCTCCGTTAACAAAACTTCCTGATGGATTTTTGAGGGGCTGATTTGGGCACAAACTGCCGTGAAATAAGTCGCAATCACTTTCTTGGCCTTCCCTGGCATGCCATGAAAGAGGTACGATGCAAGGAAAGCGACCTTTCACAACAAGTCGAGTGGAATCGATGGTTGCGCTGTGGAAACATAGGGGATGACAGTCATGGCGAGCGAAACTGAAATACGGTATACCACTTCTCCGAGGGGATATTGCGCTGCTTGGCCTCTCTACCACTTTAGCACTAAGTAAGTTGGAGAGCGATAAAACGGAGCAGCGAGCCCACACAATGAGCGAGTGAACAAGGAGCTGCCCCGATCCCACGGCTCAATGAAAATAATTCTGAACTCAAGTTCTTGTTCAACCTGCGCAGAGCCCAGATTCGCATGCTGATCACCATGCATTCTTTCAGAAGTCTGCAGTCCGATGCGAGTCTCATGGCTAAAGAAAGTCGACTGGACTTGCTAGCCGCTGCCGTTCAGTGCTGGCAGGAGTATCCATTAGAGAAAATGGAATCAGTTTGGCTGTGCCTTTACTCCTCGTTTCGCGGAGTTCTGGAGAGCAAAGATGAAACCAGGGAGTCGTAAAATATTTTTCACGATTCCCTGGTGGAAACGCCATCGCGGCGGATCACGCAGCTTGAAGGCCAACTTACTTGAACGACGGCGACATCAAGGTCAGCGGAGTGTGATCAAAGAAGCCGAGGCAAGCGGCTGAAACGAGCTGAACAACGACTCGAGAAAGATGACGACTCGCGTGCAGCAGATGACGACAGCGACGCAGGTCAAAAATGAGTCGAGCAAAAGCAACGCAAACTGAACTCTCTGCTCATTCCGCCAACAGTTTCTCTTGTAAAGACGCTGTACATAGGCTGAATCACCTTCGTCCAGTGATTTGCAGTCGATACAAACTGTTCTTGACCTGTTCTAAGCGTTTTCATATCCATCAAAATCCATCACGAAGTTTTTGTTAGCGGAGGAAGTAGGATCATCTTGCTGCTACCATTGTTCCTATGCGTTTCATCAGTCCCCACTGCATTGATGAGGCGATTATTCCTCACCTGACTGCGCATTGGTGAAGAAGCGTACGCAGCAACAGCAATTGCGAGATGAAGAGAATGATGGAGGAGAGGAATGCAGGTGCAGGTGGTCAGCAATGAGTGATTCACACTCCCGGTTCAAATCGTGATTTTCTACCAAACCTTCGCTTTTGTTTTGCTGTCACTGCTGTTGTGGTGGTGGTCATTGTTGTCTTGGTTGTTGTTGTTGTTGTTGTTGTTGTTGTTGTTGTTTTTTTGTTTTTTTTTTAAATTCTTTATTCAAAAAAATTGTTGTTGTGCAGGTTAAACTATCCTGGATCTTCCTCGGTCTCAGTCTTGTGATGAGTCTCGGAGTGTTTGTCTTCACCAAGTTCTCACCTCCAAGGTACCTTTTTTGTGGCTTTGTTAGAAAGAAATACAGTAGAAATACTAATAGGAGCCTCGGTCAGGGTTCGCACAGGAAAATCACCTTGAGTCCTGGTGGTGACAGTCAATTTTTTCTTCAGACTTTTCCCGTTTGTGTCTTTCCCTCAAACCAGTGAACATTCAATAATTTTTCCAAAACTTTTTACAAACTTTTCCATGACCAAACCACAAGCCAAAGAACGCGCACAAGCTGAAACGGTTCACACTGTCCGAAGAACAGGCGAAAATAATTCCGGACGACACAAATGTACGCCCACTTAGACATTAAAGTGGCAATATTTTTAAAATAAGATAAGTTGTGCACTCATAACAACAGCAAAAATGAAGAAAGTTAAGTTCCATAACGTTTTCTTGGGACTTTCATCAGTGGAACGCCGTCACATAAAAATGTAATAACTAAAACACACACTTATATACATGTAGCTAATATGGTTTCAGGTAGGGGTCGATTGTTTAAACACTTAGACACTATTATTAATATATAAACCGTGCAAGACAGCTACTGCAGATAAAACACAAGCCAAAGAATGCGCACCAGCTAAAACCACACTGTCCGAACAGGCGAAAATAAATCCGGACGACGCAAGTGCATAATGATACTCACTAAACCGTGCAGGACAGCTACACCAGATAATGACCATAGCAGAAGATGATCTGAACAGAACACTTAGTTTGAATATAAACGGAAACAAAACACCGGCGCAGCTGCCAGCAATTAAAGAGGAAAATAAATCAGAATCTAAAGTCGGTGGATGCCTCAGACAGTGGGAGAAGAGAATTAGAAAACAAAACAGTAAACCATGAACACAACAGTGAACAAAAACAGGAGTGAATTCAGACTGCAAGGTCCACTCACTGCTTGAGGGCTTCCTGCATTGCAGAAATCTGCGCATCCAGTGCAGCCAGCTCACCTTCCTTCTCACTTGCAGCACGACGCAGTGCATTCCATTCGGCCAGGAGCTGCATCTTACGGGACGACTCAGCTTCAACAGCGGCGTCATCGGCTGACTTTACAGAGCTGCAATGCTCTTTGAAGTCCGTAGACGTTTGGCGGACAATTCTCCCAGCTCCTCCTCTTGCGCCTTGCGCTTGGACGACCTAGTTGTTGCTGCAGCCTTGGCACGCTCCTCCTCGAGATATGCCTGGTAGTGCCGGCGAGCCAAGCTAGCTGATGTCAAGAGCTCCTTCGACAGGACACCCTTCCGAACGCCGCCAACACTGTTCAAATGGTCGGAGGTCAACCTGGGAGCTGTCAGGGAGTGCTCAGCTTGATTCTCCACCGTAACCTCCTTGTTGATGGAGAACCCGCGCTCAACTGAAGCCTGGCGATGTGACAGCAGCAAGAGTTTGCGAACAACTGGCCAGAGGTCACTGTACTGCGGCTTGTCGGCCAAGGCGTTAAACAAGCAGGTGTCGAGCAGGTCCTCTCCAGGAGTAAAGGACACCAGGCTATCATCCATGGCAGCGGAACGGCAAAAGTCCTTGTACTGACGAAGTACATCATCACATCGGTTGACTGCTACAACATGAGCATCCACCAGCAGCTTCAGGGCAATGTTCAGACGGGCGCACGCAGATGCAGTGTCGTCTCCACAGATCATGGCTGGAGCAAGCCATTGCAGGGTACGGACTAGCTGGTACCGAAGAGGGGATTTCTCCAACACTTTCTGGATTATATGGAGAAGGAACAATTTGGTGTCAACCCTGATAGCGAGAAGATCTCGCTCGCTGACCTTCTTAGCTCGTTTCAGCTCCGTCATCCGCTTGTCTGCAGCAAACCCAAGACTGATTTTGGTGCCATCAACATGGTTGCTGCTGTTTGCGAAATCAGCACTGATCAGCTTCGCCGGTGTACTTAGTGATCGGACCACCGTCTCCTTCAGGAAGCGGCCAGCAAGACTGGTGACGACAGCATGTAACTCAGAAGCAACAAACGGCAACATTGGAGCATCACATTGGAACTTCCGAAGAAACGGCTGCAGTTCCCTCGCAATGGATAAGAAAACCTCGACTTTCACAAGAAAGAGAGGATCTTTGCAACATGCTGATATGGCTGGGAAGGACTTATTCTTCGGGGTAGTCACCTTGCCAGCAGTAGCTCCAGCAACGTACTTCTCCACGTTAGGCTAGATATCCAGCAGCCGCTCAGCAACAGGAACATTCTCAAGCCATCGGTGCCCGCAAAACTTGAGGGGAAATGTCGACGAGCCGCTGAGCTCCACATAATCTTCTCGTCGAGCAGGATCATCGTGGAACAGCCAATGCAAACAGCACATGGCATGCTCAATGTCCCAGCCAGCCTTGCTACACCCGAGCTTGAACGCGTTATGGAGGACATGAAGTCCACAACTTCCAACATTCAGTAGACGATGGCCAGCTTCAACTTCGACTTCTTTTGACAGTTTGTCAAAAACGCTCCAGTTGACGTTCGGGCCGTCCATCGATAGCTGAAGAATTCCACTCAGGCCCAGATCCGTGCATGTGTCCATCAGCTTGGAAAGGATGGTGGCTGCGTCGGCATGGCCAAGGAAATGCGAGGTATAGTACCTGGAGCAAATCTGATCTCCATTCCAGAAGCGGACAAGCACATCCAGCTGCTTTGGCTGCAGGTTAAAGTTCAGAGATTCATCGAACATAGCCACATACTCTCCACGCTCTTTTTACTTTATCCACGAGCATATTCCGAAAGTGCGGAGCTAGACCAAATACTGCCACATAATTGGTCTTCCGCTCGCCAGACTGGAAAGCTGCCGCGATCTGGCTGTCAGGGAACATTGCTCGGAAAATGGCACCACTATCGTCGCAGCTCTTGAAGCTGTAATGCTTCGCGCTAACGTTCAACGTCCAGATGACCTCTGCATGCAGTGTGTCAGAATTTGACACGAGGCTAGTCACAGGCGGAGTACGTGAGACAGTGGACGGCGATGAAGCAGCAGAAGACGAAGCAGCGGTGGACGAAGCAACGGTCGACGAGACAGCGGCTGAGGAAACATTAGGGAGGTTCCGGAGTACGATTTTTCGTGCCAAAATCCGTAGAGGCGCTACGGATTTTTTATACGTCGTTTTCGAGCAGTGAAATGTTCCGGAGTACGGAACTTATGTGTTTGCCGTCATTGCCTAGGTTACGATCGCAAACACGTCACATTCCCGCGCTATGCCTTTTTTATTTTGAAAATATGTACCGAAATCAAAACTTCCCGCGGAAAATCGATGTTTCACGTACAAAATTTGTACGCGAAAAATCTTTCTGCACCCGATGACGCAAAATTTCCATACGAAACATGGTTCGTATGAAAGCCAGTCCACACGGATTCTCCGTGCCGAAAAATCGTATGGAGCACGCCTGGAAAAAATCCGTAGCGCCCATACGGATTTTGGCACGGAAAATCGTACCCCGGAACCTCTCTATTGCCTCCTAACAGAGTACTGACGGACGGGGTTCTACGAGCAGCAGCTATGCCGGCCTTGTGTCCGACTCCTTGCATATGGCTACGCAATGCGCGCAGGCCCAAGTTACCTATATAGTCGATCTACCCTAATAACGATACCCTCTATAACGATATTACCCTTATAACGATATTTTTCTGCCAAACCGAATCACTCCATTTTGACGCTTTCGCCAACTTTCATGAAAGCGCTAAGGCTTGTTTCGCTGATCACGGCCCACATAGCAGACTACGAGACTCGTGTACGCCCATGCATGCTTGCTGGTGGATTGCACCAATTGTTGGATCAGAGAGACCAACTGTAGAGAAGGGTGTGTCACGTGCACTAGGGCTGTAGTTTACTTCCGAGTCACGGACATGTATGAGATATGGGCACCGTTCGGTGGTGGGACACCTGGATAAAAAGGTTCAACTGTAGTCATCCTTCTATTCACTGATCTAGCTTTAATCCTTTGAGCGCCAATGTGCACAGTACACGCATGGCTAGAGTGCAGCTGTACTCATCTTACAAGCCAGAAAAAGAATAAACCATCCTTCAGATAAATATTCGTAAGATAAACGTACTGTTTTGTCACAAAAAAAAGAAGCTACGTTCATCGTGTGTGTGTGTGTGTGTGTGTTAAAGCCACTTCATAGCTGTGTGGTGTAGACCAGGCTGAATAGTGGCGGTCAATTCTTCAGCCTAGCAAGCTGTTGAATGGTGCAATCCCAGCACAAGTTGCTATGGCTTCTGCTGTAGCATCGCTATCATCGCCTCCGGCGATGGGCGTCCAGTGGTCCAATGGTGTGTGTGTGTGTGGTGTATGTGTGTGTGGTGTATGTGTGTGTGTGTGTTGCTGTTTATAGATGGTACGCATACGTCCTGTACTTTGTGTATGCACTGTTCATGGTGCTATCCGTACTCAACGAAACCAACGTTATGAAAATTGACTTGTAATGTGGCAAGTGGCATCAATTCAGACACGTCATAAATTGCAATGAATCTCCTGCTTACTCCCTGCTTACTCCCAATCCTACGGTAAGAATGAACAGGACTTGTGTTTGAGGACATCTTGTGTTGAACTGCAATGGTCCTGTGAGGGCTTGTAGTTTCGAACCCTCTCATACTTTATCATTATTTTTCTTAGTTTCAAACCATTGTCAAGCTGTTATTTAGACAGTGAACAAAAGAACGAGAAGAACGCGCATCACGGCCATTCGGGTTCATTTCCTTCCACTTATCATATAATTCTATTTAGGAAGATTGTCAAATTTCTGTTTCCTTGCCTCTTTTCAGATGGGCAATAGTCGTACATTAAATTGTTTTGTTTTTCTCCGCTTGTGTTTGCTGCTGGCCAGCTTATTCCGTAGTCTTCTCTGTTGATTTTGGAGCTCTATTTTACTTCCACAGATGACTGTACATGAGAACCGTATATTTCTTTATATCCCTTTAATACACATATCTAATGTTCTCCCTAGCTCATTATCATTGTTGAGACAAATTTCCTTGATGATTGTCTCATGAAAATCGATCAGCAAACCACTTCATTTAGTTGGTGGACTTGATCGCATAACTTGTGCCCACAATTTCCATGTTACACTTCATTTATCATTATTATATTTTGTTACTTGTACTTCAACATGCATTGTCTGCTTTGTCAAAAGACTCAAACTATTCATTGCTCTAATAAAACTCTTTATATTGGTAGTCAATTAGGTTCCTCTTCTACCCAATCTGTAGCGCTGTGGTGTTTTTATCATTTCTGTTGAAATTTGCACCTCGATTTTTTAATTTTTTTAGTTCAAGAGAATTAGTTTAGCAATACGTTCAAGCGGCTTCATTCTATAGCAATAGACCATTTCGGCATCCCAATCTACTCACTGTTAGTAAGAACAATCATGTTTATCCACAACCCAACTGCGAGTAGTGACCTGTGGCCACAGCCAGGGAGTCATGTCCTGTTTGTACGACTCCCTGCATGCAGGCTGTGCTCACGCGTCATGTTTGTACGACTCCCTGCATGCAGGCTGTGCTGTGCTCACGGTAGCGCTGGATTTACTGTGGTGTACATGTACATGTATATGATTTTAAGTAAGGCATGACTCACAATATATGACCTGCGATGCGACATAATTATGACAAGGAAATGCATGTCAAGTACTGTCGCAAACAGGGAAACAGTCGCGAGGCCACTCTCATTAAGTAGTTCAACCTAAAGCCAGTAACGTAAAGGCCAATTCACAATACCACTAATGATGAGTCATCGGAATTCTGGAGCGGCTGCTTATGCAAGTTATGGCCATTGTGGGCGCTATAGTATGCAGTATGCAGACACAATGACAATCAATGTCAGTGAAACCTAGTACCTCCGTTTAAAAGTTAATAAAAATTATGGGCGCTATGTACATAATTGTATACAGAGCCAGTCGCTAGTGACTAGAAGTGTGCGCCAGTAGTACTGCAGTGCATGTGGCACGTGGATCTACTGTGTAAATCTCCCGGAAACAGAATCTGGTATGCAGGGAGTGACACGCATGATCAAGCTGTAGTCTTGTTCGCGTACATGTACACCACGTAGATCTACACGTATGCGCCAGAACCAACCACATAGATCTATCGAAAAGCTGACAAGTGACAGGATCGCTTTTCTAAATCATATTCATAGTAATAATAAACACAAGACAAGAGAACATAAAAAAATTAATAGAGTTATGGCCTATTCAAGGCTCTTGTCGCGACAAACTGGCAAACTGTCCCAGATGCACTCATGCAGGCTGCACCATACCAGTGCATGCCACCCTCGCGGGCCTCGGCCTCACTAGACACTACCACACAGGGCCACACTGACCTCAACTGGTAGTTGCTGTACGTAGACTCAGTTCTGGCTGTAGTAATAATCATTGAATTTGAAGGCGCTAGGCTAGCAGCTAGCAGGTAGTCCTGTCCTGAGCATGAGCACTCGGTCGAGTCCTTTCGGGCCTGTAAAAAAAGGTACTGCGCTGGTAGATCTACACTGACAAACTTAATGACTACAATGACAAAAATGTCGCGAGTACTAGTACACTGTATGCAGCTAGCTTGTGTAAAAAAGATAAAAGAGTCGTGCACACGTAGATCTACGTAGCGACTACGTGGATCTTCCTGGACCTGCTCGAGTCGTAGAGTATTTAAATACAGTGGTCCCTCTATAATCCGGCACCATTTGTGCCACGAAAATCTGCTGGATTAGGGAGGGTGCTGGATTAACAAATCTGATTTACTGCTGCAATGTGCATGAAGAGGACATTTTGGCTACTGAAAATTGTGCTGGTTTATCGAGGGTGCTGGATTATAAAGTGCCGGATTAGAGAGGGACGACTGTACCAGTACATGTATAATAGGCTATAAATACTGTAATAGTGATGGTGACTGTCAGTAGATCTACAATCTACAATCTTAGAATTAGTTTATCTACGAGTACAAAGACTACAGTCATCATGTATACAATAGTCTACACAGTCATGTAGCCTTGTAGGTCTACATGACTACGACGTGACCAGGTGACACTAAATAATGACAGGTCTACACGTGTACATGCTGAGTGCCACTGCCCATGCCCGCCATGCCATGGCCATGGTCAAAGTAACACGTTAGTTTGAGACTTATGTCTTTGACTTTGGGCCTTGGCACAGTCAGTAACTGGGGTCTGTACACAGCGCGTGGTCTACGCCGCCTTTGATTCTGCGTGCACCAAAAATAGGCAGGAGATCGGAACGCGGATCGCGCCGGAGATCGAGAGTCGGTATTTCGAGACTGCGAAGCGCAGTGCGAGCAGCACAATGAGCCGCTGCTAATGCTGTGTAAGTGTTTGAACCACAGTGACATGTAGATGCTTCAAGACTTCAAGTAAACAAACTAATAATTCTTGCAGCTGAAGCAGTATTCTCGCTCTACTCAGTTACTTCCATCCCCGCAATATGCCATACTGACTGCTTTGCTGCTTCACTACCGCCGAGCGGATGGTACATATTGGAAACCTGGCCTCGTGTCTTTTACCGATCTATTTCCCCTCAACAGTTTCATTTCGACTTCTTGGTCGGCATTTACGCTTTGTTTGGCGGCGGCGTAGTGACACTGCCACTGGCATAGCCAGTAGCAACAGCACGTTTACCGGCCATGAGTGACACACACGGTCGAGTCGAAGCTGACCAGTCGGGATCTAGCAGTACCAGCGACGCAGCCCAGGTCAGTCGTGCCAGCGCTGAAGTGAACAGGAGACAGCAGACTTCCTGCGCTCTCGCTGCGCATTGCGGCTATTAGTATTGCGATTATGTCAATCCCACGCAGCAGTGATACACAGCGGGGCTGATTCGCTTTTGAAAAGAATTCTCCGTGTCGTGTATGCCTTCTGTATGCCTACATTTGCAGAAGTCTGATTGCGAGCTCAAAAGCGACGACACCGTCAGGGACATGGAAGTCGACATTGTCGGAGAATTATTGCATGGTAAGTTCGATCACACCATCTTGTATTCTTTGCCTGGAGAAATCCTGCATTTCAAACTGCACCCTGCTGTGCGGTAAAGACTTAAGTACAACGGCTGTTGCGAGTTAGCTGAGCTATCTTTTTTGGAGGGGTAGACCCACCGCTGGGCGCTGGGTACATGGGTAAACCGGTAAAATAATAACGCATGAATCTGTGCACATTGTAGCATGACGATGATGTGAGAGCCACAATGTAGAATGGCAATGTAGAGTGGCAATGCTTCATGAATCATGGGTAGGTCTAGGTGACAAGACATGTGACTCCTGTCATCACCAGATCACTGACCTGCGCAGCTGCAAGAGCTGCAAGGGCTGCATGGACAGATCCTGGCTCCACTATCTGACCCGGGTGTGAGGACTTATCGGCTATGTGATATCACAACTTTAATAATATTATCAAAAGCAAAATGCACTTTTGCCGGTCAAAATTATTATCATAACCAATAATTGGCAGTAGTGACATCGGATTTAACCCTTTAAGAGCCACAGGAAAATTTCAAAATTCTGCATTTTTTCATGTTCCTTTAGATCATAGCTTCAGTTCTACTCACTCAATCCTCACAATCTAGGGCTTCCTGGAAAGGTCTCCGCGAGAGGAAGAGAATGGGGTCGATCATGATAGCCAGCACACCGTCTGTCCAGCGCTAGATCGCAGCAATGGTACGAAAAATGCCCCAAATGCGTCCAATTGCGTCCCGCACCAGATATTTCATTTTACTCGATCGTGGAGTTCCAATTTTTTCGCTGTGTACTCTTGACAATATCAACAGTGAAACCCGTGCAAATTCGAGTAAACCAGCGTGACGACAAGTCTCAAATGTCTCAATACTAAAGTCGCACTGCGCGCTTTTGAAATTGCCGCGATCGCGGCTCAACTTACGAGTAATTTATCTCGGGAACCGTTGCTCTCAGCGCTTCGCGGATTGTTTCTCCCGACAGGTGAGAGTTTTCTCGTCGCCCTGGATATTTCGATCACTGGATTTGAGCGAGATTGGACTGAGTTACGATCTTTTGAAGTTTTGCATTTGAATGCGTCGTTTACGACGCATTCAAGTATGGGGCGGCTCTTAAAGGGTTAAGATGGTTTACCAGAATCACAGGGGCATCGGAAGGTAATTTAATGTGGTACGGTCAGCCATCTGAAGTACAATTTACTCGTGGGGGAGGGGTGGCTGAGCCGAACAGTTTGGGAATTTAGAGCCCAAATCAGTGCATTTTATTGATTCACAGGGTACTTGGGGCAAATAGTGGTACGGTCAATACCGTAGTGACCGTACCGTGTCCGACGCCCCTGAATCAGAACATGCATTGCACACTATGATAACAACAATGTCTACAGTGAAGAGATGTGATTTGTGCCTCACCAAAAAACGATTCATCAGCAATGCAGACAAAGCCAGGCGCTCTGAACTCGTGTCAAAATGCCACCACGAGTCAAAATACTACTACCTCTTGAACTTGAGAGTCAAAATACTACTACCTCTTGAACTTGAGAGCCTGGATTCTACACCAATAACTTTTAGCTTACATACAAAATACATGTACAGCACACGGATCAGTAAACATATCACACATCATTCACCCCACCCAGGTAATTATGGGCAGGTTGAAGGCTACACCATACCGATGACCCCTGTTCAACATGCTACACCACTACCTATCACGCTAAGCACTGCAGCATTCATTTTTGTGCCTTCCATTATACTATTGGGCTGACTCAGTACTCATGCACCACTTCCCCACCAAGTTGTCAAGTGGCATCACTTTCTCTATGGGATATAGACATAATCCAATGCCGGTGCGTTCTTTTACTTCGAAGTAGAATCAGTCTCCTGAAGATTGTATAGGGCAAGAAACTCGGAGTAGAGACAAGATTCCACTGGACCTTTTGTGTATAGTGGCTATTGTGATATACACTTTTGTGTATAGTGGCTATTGTGATATACAGTCAACTTCGCTTATAACGACACTCGGCGGGGCATCAGAAAAGTGTCCTTATTCGCGAAGTCTCATTACATGTATACAGGTAGTATGGACTTTGCTCTGGGCATGGAAATTCTGTCATTATTCGCGAATTGTCGTTATATCCGCAGTCGTCATTAGCGAAGTTGACTGTACACGTTTGTGTGTAGTGGCTATTGTGATATACACGGCTAGCGGGTCACGCAGGCATGGCATTTCTACATTTCTAGCTTTCTACAATACATTGTGCACTACAGTGCCATTTGAATTTATGCATCTACACACGCACGTGACCATGTGGATGTCGCCACACACGTCATGTAGAGGCGACGGTTCGATACCGGAACGGCTTGACAGCCAAATTTGTATAGACCCAAACCGATCATCAGCGTTGGTTTTTCACTCGAAATATGTTTGTGGAAGGAAACTGGCATGTTGAAGTTTGCTCTGGGGCCAGAGTCAATCGAACTGAGCCACTCCTTTGTGTTGACCCATTGCCTCCAAGTTGCCCAATTTTTCGCTTCAAAAAAGTTCAAATCAGAGGTGGCTCCAAACCGGACACGTTTTAGAGTGCACGTCAAATTCACTCTGGGTCTGAAATTAGGTAATTGCTATCGCTCCACGACGGCCAGTACAGAGTAACAATAAGCCTTGTGTGTACTTCCATTAGTTTTTATTGGTATGCGGTGCTTTATTGGCGAGAGGCGAGCCGCTGTTTACCTGCGACAAGAAGTTGATTTTTCGAAAGTCGTAAAACTCAAGTCGCAATGCGAATCAACACGTCAAAAACTCACCTGCTTGGTATGGCGCTTCTGGTCATCGCAGAGCCATGACATGTTGGCTCGGAGTATAACACATCGTAGTCTCACTGTGACATATGTTTTCTAATCAAAATACCAAGAGAGAAAGTGAATATTGAGTCCGTTCCGGTTTGCAACCTGTGTCCTATTTGAAACCGTCGCTTCTACATGTACTTTGCGTACAGTTGTATACATGTACATACTGTGAGACTAGCCCAGCCAGCTTTGCACACAGGAAGATAAGTGTGAGGCAAACCAGAAAGAGTGCTCAACCAATGCAAGGCTAGAGATGGGCTGTAGAGTTGAATAAATCTGCATCAGTTTGACATTGGAAATAGAGTTCAGTATTGTCGCCTGTGTGCCCCAATCGGATGTGGTAGCCTGCGTGAAATATTTCATTAGGCATCTGACAAGACAGTTGATTGGGGCTCCTTTTTTTCTTTGATTTGTTTCACACGCCCTTTTGTCTAAACTTAGCCGGCATTTCTCCCAACAGTCGACGGAACAAGCTAGATTTTATGGGAGAGAGATCATCGTTCAGCCTATGGGGGTAAGTCCATAGCATGAACTGCTACTATGTCTGCCCTATACTGACAAAAGTATGATTTCTCCAATGTACTAGTGCGTTGACAATGCCAGAATAGTTAAACAAAATGTAAGATAATTTTGACGGCACAAGTGATCATATTGATGGCAATGATTTGAAAACTCTTTGTCTCCACGATCATTATTTAGGCCACTCTTGTTTAAAAGCCTTTGGTTTTCTTGCAAGTTGAGTCCGGATGGAGAAAGATGGAAATGTTGTGCAACTAGCAAAAATGTACAGTGTGATGTTAGTGAATGATGAACCCGTAATAGAAGTGTGCATGTGTGTTGCTTGCCCTTTGTGCATCTGCAGATTCCTGAAGTCTGTGGTTGGGCGTGACTTGACAAGAGTGACTATGCCAATACAATTCAATGAACCACTTTCCTTCACACAGGTAACATCGTGTGTATAGTGAATGCCAGTGAGCTGTAGTTAAATCCGGGAGAGGACAGTCGGCATGCAAAGCTCGGGCGATGTGTGCCTCACAATTCTTAGGGAAGCCTCTGGTTAGAAGTTGCAGGAATGCACCGATATATTGCGACGTTCCAAGTTTTTGGAGATGTTTTTACCATGAAACAACAAGATTAGAAGAGATATGACACTCGTCAACTGTCGACATACGAAACTTTGAAGAGCACGCGAAAATAGTTTTTTATAAAGAGTAAAGAGATTATAATTTGATACGTATGTTTAGTAGACCGTTTCCCAGGCTAGATGTTCATTAATATAGGATGATTGCAATAGCAGATCGCAGGATGCATGCTGTATTAATTAAAACTACGTCAGTCTAACATCTACTCGGCTTACAACAGATGACAACACTTGATGTCGTACCGACAGTTCCTTCTGATGCTCTCTGTTTGTTTCTGGTCTTCACGGTTGAACACAGAGAATGGTGGAGGACTTGGAGTATGCGTATATTCTCAATGACGCTGCAGGTATGGGCACTAACTAATAGTTAGGGATTGTTGATTCCGCTGGACATGTATTTCCTCCAGAACTTGCCTTATTTGGTCATCACTCACAAAGAGCCAAGTACTAAGTAGAGCTGTGACCTTCTTCAATATTACCGGACCTGAGTACCACGAAAGCGCTCCAAGCATTGCTGCCCTCTCATGGTTGTGTTTTGGCGGTGGGTGTCCTGTCTGTAGGTCATACCACACGTACACACATTGCATGCTTTGTAGTCAATCCGTACTGTGTTTACCTTTGTGCTCATGCAAGCCCCACACGAAAACATGCAATGTGTGGCCTTAGTACACCTTTGTAGGTCAGTCTCACACTGTACCCACTTAGTTATGTTCTGTCATACAGTTTTCCCTGGCTGTAAAATCAAGGCGGGGCGCTCTCTCTCTTGGTAGATGCAGTCTACAAGAAGGAGCACTGTTATGGCAATATGTTTTAGTACCAAAGTTAATGCACCTCTAAGTAAGGATTATTCAGTTAGATGGCAGTATGTGAAAACCTCACTGTCTATATGCTGCTACATGATAGTACGTCTTTTAATCACTGAGCAGTGCATGATAGCAGTCCAGTCATCATAGTGGCAGTAGTGGCAGTAGTACTTCAAGAAGTACATGCTAAGTTACTAACAGTGCATGGTAACAGTGCCCATTGTACCAGTGCATGGTACCAGTGCATGGTAACAGTGCATGGTACCAAGTGCCCATTGTACCAGTGCCCATTGTACCAGTGCCCATTGTACCAGTGCCCATTGTACCAGTGCCCATTGTACCAGTGCCCATTGTACCAGTGCATGGTAACAATGCATGGTAACAGTGCATGGTAACAGTGCACGGTAACAGTGCATGGTAACAGTGCATGATACATGATTGTCATGTTCATGGAGTACTAGTAGCAGTACATGTGTAGAGGGACCCAAAACCGGCAGGTTGACGCTCTGCGTGGCGTGGCGCGGTACACAAAACACAGGTGTCCTATTAGATGTATGCCCAGGGCAATGTCACGGTTCAGAACTTTGGATGGTGAAGATAGCCACGGTTAGTTTGTCTGTTGTGATTTGTGTTGCTCGGTCATGTTCTGTGCTGGACTGGACTGCTGCTGTGGGCTATGCTGGTCTGTTGCAGCATGTATGGACTCATTGGAATGTTTAGCGCGGGTTGCAGCATTTGCTTCTTCACCATACGGATCAGCACTAGATAGGTAAGTTAGATACCGTATTTCCCCGATTGTAATTAGTCAGGTTCTTGAGAATCATTGGTTTTCCACAATGCTGTTACCTCCGAATCAGCTAGACGCAAGCCAGACTGGGCACAACAGTACAGGTCAGTGGTGGTGACGTCAGCACTGATAGTGACAAAACAAATACTTCAGTAGCCGGTTGCTCCTAATGTTTTCAAAGTGCAGGCATGATCATTTCCCTACTTAACTGAAACATGTCTCTGTCGAGAACGCTACATTAAAGTCTTGACAACTGCAATTCCAGTCGACCCGATAGTCAGTACAGAAGAGATGTATGCAGTACACAGGCATGTTACTGTACTTGCATACGTACACTCCAGCACACAGCATTACAATGTTTATAGGTCAGCGCTCAGTGCATAAGCATCAGTCACGGTCAGGTCACCCAAAGCCAAGCATCGGACTTTGTTCGGTGTGGCTTTGGTACATTTCTCTCTGTCGCATTCACGGTTATTTGCTTTGTGCCTCGTCTTGTTGCAGGCACTACAAGCCATTTAACCCAGTTTTAGGTGAGACATACGATGCAATTCGGCCGGAGGAGGGCTATTGTGTTGTTGTTGAGCAGGTATGTTTATGTTTACCTTGTGCTGGTTAGTAGGGCAGACTGACTGACTGACTGACTGACTGACTGACTGACTGACTGACTGACTGACTGACTGACTGACTGACTGACTGACTGACTGACTGACTGACTGACTGACTGACTGACTGACTGACTGACTGACTGACTGACTGACTGACTGACTGACTGACTGACTGACTGACTGACTGACTGACTGACTGACTGACTGACTGACTGACTGACTGAGCTGCCGACACTGAAACCCCTCGGTATGTTCTTTTGCATCACTGCAGTTAAGAACCCATACCTGTAAAACAAGACTGCAATCCTTACCAACCGACAGATGGGTCTATCACTGGAAATATGTTTCTCTTTTTTTGAAAGCAGATTGCATTGCACCACATGTATAGGCGAGTATTTTGTGGATTTATCCAATCGTCGATATAGCTGGATATTCTACGACCCATTCTAAGTTGGTCTTCTACTTGAAGTCAAGTACAATATCCAGCGAGGGAGCAGTGTTTGGCTGATTGACATGTTTGACCAACCACTAGCCTTGGATCACTGGCATTTTTAATGTAATGTCTGATTAGCGGAAGTTATGCTGTCCGCTGATCAGCAGAAAGCGTGCCGTCTGATCAGCAAGAATTACCGTAATGTCACGTATAAAAGCAGGTGCTTACGGCCGTATAAGCCGGGGTTCGAACCATGCTTCTATTCAAACAGTGACATGCTTCTACATCAAAATCTTCAGTCTACACTGTACCGTGCATATTATCATGCATGTAGTGTGTACATACATGTACTTGCACGTACATGACTGTATGCTTCTATTCAAATCGCGCTTCTGTGTCACGGCGCTCTTCAAAAAATCGGGTTCTATTCGAGTAATGTGTCTATACGGGTCATGTGTCTATACGGGTCATGTGTCTATGCAGGTCATGTGTCTATGCGGGTCATGTGTCTATGCGGGTCATGTGTCTATACGGGTCACATGTCTATACGGGTCATGTGTCTATACGGGTCATGTGTCTATACGGGTCATGTGTCTATACGGGTCATGTGTCTATACGGGTCATGTGTCTATACGGGTCATGTGTCTATACGGGTCATGTGTCTATACGGGTCATGTGTCTATACGGGTCATGTGTCTATGCGGATCATGTGTCTATGCGGGTCATGTGTCTATGCGGGTCATGTGTCTATGCGGGTCATGTGTCTATGCGGGTCATGTGTCTATGCGGGTCATGTGTCTATGCGGGTCATGTGTCTATGCGGGTCATGTGTCTATGCGGGTCATGTGTCTATACGGGTCATGTGTCTATACGGGTCATGTGTCTATGCGGGTCATGTGTCTATGCGGGTCATGTGTCTATGCGGGTCATGTGTCTATGCGGGTCATGTGTCTATGCGGGTCATGTGTCTATGCGGGTCATGTGTCTATGCGGGTCATGTGTCTATGCGGGTCATGTGTCTATGCGGGTCATGTGTCTATGCGGGTCATGTGTCTATGCGGGTCATGTGTCTATGCGGGTCATGTGTCTATGCGGGTCATGTGTCTATACGGGTCATGTGTCTATACCGGTCATGTGTCTATACCGGTCATGTGTCTATACGGGTCATGTGTCTATACGGGTCATGTGTCTATACCGGTCATGTGCCTATACGGGTCATGTGCCTATACGGGTCATGTGTCTATACGGGTCATGTGTCTATCCGGGTCAGGTGTAGGCCTAGCCCAAATTTGCTCGGGGCGCTTCGATATTTTGCCGGCAAATTTTGCCCGAGCACTTTCCGTATTTTGCTTGGCATTGCCTTTCGTTTCCGATATTTTGCTCCATTTTGCTCCTGCTTTGTGGCAAAATGGCTTCGAATGAACCGTCTACTTTGGTAAAAGTGGATGGTGACTCTGATGAGGAAAGCAAAACTTATAACGGTGTCAGTATTCCGGATTTTGTAGCATGATTTCAAATTTATGTACCCCTGGACAACCTACACGAGCTATTTCAGCACGAAGTTGGCCCAATGAAACCAAAGAAATTTGAATAAAATTGCCAAAATACACCCGGATCCTCTGTAAATTCGATATTTTGCTCGGAATTTGCCAGCAATTTCTTTTCGTGAGAAATTTCGATATTTTGCCGGAAGAATTGCCGGCAAATTTGGGCTAGGCCTAGTCAGGTGTCTATACGGGTCATGTGTCTATACGGGTCATGTGTCTATACGGGTCATGTGTCTATACGGGTCATGTGTCTATACGGGTCAGGTGTCTATACGGGTCATGTGTCTATACGGGTCATGTGTCTATACGGGTCATGTGTCTATACGGGTCATGCAGTAAGTGTACTGCATGCTTACTGTAAAGTACCGCGAGAGCGCCGCACCAACTCGTCCTTTCGTGGTCGTGTTGTGGAGGTGTCCTGTGCGTACGACACATACCTTGTACACACATTGCACCCTTTGAAGGCAATCCGTACACAGTTTACCTTGGAACTCCACACAACTACATGCTATTAAAGTATGATCTTAGTATTAGTACACAGTGTTTCCCTTTTTCCCTGGCTGTAAAATCCAGGTGGGGCGCTCTCGTGGTACTTTTACGGTACTGGCATTATCATTGATGGGCACAGTGTTCTATCCCTCTGTACCTGCCTGCATTTGCATTTGCAGGTGTGTCACCATCCACCCATCACCGCAATGCACTGTATTGGCAAGGGCTGGGAACTCTGGCAGGAGTACAAGCTAGAAACTAGGTTCCGTGGAAATGTAAGTGGCAGTTTACAAGCAGTGACGCAATTTATCAAATTATTCACAAGATGCCAAGGGATGAGAACGTGACATTTGGCACAATACTCGTACTGACAGTATTTGATATTAGAGAGGTTCCGCACTACGTAAAGTTGAGCAACTTTACGTTAGTGGGCGGGAAACCCCGTGAATTCGTGAGTTTTCACTCCACTTACGGAAAGTTGTCTACGGAGAGTACGTAGATAGGGCTCTGATAACGTAGGTGGTCCGTACGTGGACTGGGTTACAAATTTATGACTCTCTCCCCAGGTTGATGCGGTCACACACTGCCGCGTTCGGACTTGCCAAGGGCAGCTACGTGATTTGAAAACTCCGTATGGCGGAACACAGATGCGCATGCAGTTTACGTAAGACTTTCCATAGATCGACTACGTTTTTTACTAACGTAGTGACGTTGTGCGGAACCTCTCTATTGAGCAACCTATCACCTGGCCGTTTGTCACACGTTGCGACTTCTCGGTATCTTGGCAAAAAATATTGGTGGACAACACAGAACACGAAGTGGCTTCATTCTTTGAATATTCCTCCGTTATCACTTATCAATATCTGCCAGGAATGAATGTCGGAAATTTGACCATGATCTTTGCTCAACTAATTTCATAATTCCAATTTAATCACTCGCATAACCCTTTAAATGGGCCCTACAGTCTGTTCATTTGCAACTGGCCCACTACGTTGCCGAGATCGTACTCAACCTCGTCCCAGGGCCACATTTGAGAAATCACCGTATCGAAAATCAGAACACGATTTTCAAGATTCCGAAGAGTGATGGTGTGAGTGAAAATCGGGAATTATCGTACTAAGGGCCCAGAGTGTGAATTCTGGAACCGGAAAGAACAGGAAACTGAGGGGAACCCACTGAAAATCACAGCAGCCTGCCGAACAGTATATCTGAATGTTAGACTACTGTGTGCATCCCTGCTTGTATTGTACTTGCAATGCGGCTGGTGGGAGATCTCTGCTGGTTGATGTGTGTGGGGTTCATTTCTTGTTTTCTCTGTGATCTTCTTCTGTGCAATGATTGCTGTGCAGTACATTAGAGTGATCCCAACTGGCATTGTGCACTTGTCAGTTGGAAAGAATCGCTATTCCTGGAACAAGCCACAGACAACTATCCACAACATCATGATTGGCCGCCTATGGCTAGACCATGTGAGCAGCATGATTGCCCCTCTCTCTCTCTCTCTCTCTCTCTCTCTCTCTCTCTCTCTCTCTCTCTCTCTCTCTCTCTCTCTCTCTCTCTCTCTCTCTCTCTCTCTCTCTCTCCCCCCCCCCCCACACACACACACACATCCCTCATCCCACATTCCCCTTTCAACACTAATATCTTTATTAGAAACACACATTTCATGGTTTGCGTGAGACCAAGTCGGACTGAATCAAGGATCATTATCATGTTCTGCGGTCCTACCTTAATTTTTTTAAGGCACTGAAAGTAATCATTTTTCCAGGACTGCACCCAGGACATAGAGGTTACGATGGAGGACAGTTTCTTGCAGCTACTCCTAACATTTTCAACATAATTACTTGTATATTGAAGACTATATTACAGCTGGCCGGAAAGTGACGTAAACCGAGTTTGGCTGTCCCGTGGAAATGCCAAATTTGAGTTTGGCCTGATTATTTCTCTGATCTCTTTGATTTGCTAGTACTGAACCATACATGTAGTAGCAAATAACACGGGTAGTGGCCATGTTCACGGCATATTTTTACTATGCCCAATGCCAGTTACTGATAAACTTCTGTCTGACTTCTTCACTCTATACACCAGGAAGGTGAAGTAGTCGTCCAGAATCACACAACCGGGGAGAGAGCTAGCGTGTCCTTCCAGAGCTACAAGTCTGTCAGCCAGAAATTCAAGAGGCTGAGTGGACGAGTCAAAGATGCCACGGGAACTGATCGGATCATCTTGGAAGGCAACTGGCAGGACGGCATGAAATGCTACCCAGTTGGTAAGGAAATTTGTGTGTATGCCATTGCATCCAGTTTTGCTGGAAATACAGTGTTCAAGCTGAGATAGCCACTTTGTTGATAATACTAGCTGCTCCCAACATTGGAGTTGTGATATGACCAAACCGGAGTCGTGTATGCTTCTATTCTTGGTCTGTTCTTTAGCTTGGCTTTCTTCGATGCATCATCTTAGTGTATTGTTACTGTGTAATGTACTTGTGGTGTTTTGAAATAAGAAGCGAGTTTGGATTTTCACTGGATCTTTACTTGTACCATGTCAGCCAAAGATACTGAGGGCAGGGACGTTGGACTCACTGCGGTCTGTCACTACGGTATTGACCGTACCACTCCTTGCCCCAGGTGCCCTGTCAATCAATCAAATGTATTGATTTGGGCTCTAAATTTCGAAAACTACAGAGCCCCCCGCCAACAAGTTAGTTCTACATGTACCTCAGATGGCTGACCGTACCACTCTAACCTTCTGACGCCCCAACTGTCATAGCTGAGCCAGATTGTTTAAGTGTTACTTTCCTTATGTTGATGTCTTTAGGGAAGCCAGATCAGCCCTTGACTATATGGAAGTCTTTCCCAAAGCCAGCAAATGCCTCTAGGTAAGTCGACAGCTCACTCAGCGGTTGTCACGTACTCTTGTTGGTAGCACCCGATGTGAGATGCTTTTAAAAGAAAGAGCCGTTGAGTAGTCAAGTGGTGAAGATTTAAATATCCCTGTGATAAAAAAAAGTGAGCTGTTTACTAAGCTGAGCTTTATTGGTATTTGTTGGCATGATTGACAGGATATTTGGCTACACGAAGTTGGCGCTGCAGTTGAATCAATACCCAACATGTATACCCGACGAGCGATTATGTGACACCGACTCAAGGCTCAGACCGGATGAAAGATTGTTCGAAGAAGGCAGGGTAAGATACGATTCGGGCAGAATACAGGACGGCTCTCTCCTTATATCTGACCTTGTCTGCATATAATGCACATGTTTGTTTCTAGAAATAGTTTTATAGAACTTTCTTGGAGACAAAAATCTAATAACGGCAAGAAAAGTACAAATTTCAAGCTCTTAACCACCATCATCATCATCTTAACCACCATAATCATCATCATCATCATCATCACCATGAGAAAAGCCTCTTTTACGGGCAAAGCAAATGTATATCATTACAATATGTAAAGTGAACAGGGGAAATCAACACAAAACCAACCGGAAAATGATGAAACACAAAAGCAGTCAAGGAAGTAAATCAATACAAAAACAAGCAATGAACACAGAGTAATAAAAGGGGAAAAAACCAAAATAGCATTATATTAAGTTGAGGCCAAAGGCAGCACCCTACTCCGCCTGGCGGCACTGGGCCAGAAATGAGTTCGGCTGTCGCCTCTTGCCGTACGAACCGCGGCAACCGCGGAAGCAGGTGACTGCTCATCATCACCATCATCATCACCATCATCATCACCATCATCATCATCATCATGTAACCAAGCCGCTTTTACGGGCAACAATATTATGAATATAAAACGCAAGGTATTATAAGAGCAATTTTCTGAAATTAATGTTAAAACACGAAATATAAAAATGCATTATCACACCGTAGCCACTTTTATGGGCAAATTCCAATACAAGGCAATAAGAAAACGAGGATGAAGTTAACCTTTTAACCCAAAGAAAAGATCATCATCATCATCATCATCATCATCATCATCATTGGAAACGGCCTCTTGTACGGGCTTGAAACGGTGATAACCGAGATTATGTGCAAAAATCGTGATAGATATTCAGGTAAAATATGACATTTAACAGTTGAATGATTAGTACCAAATAGATGTTCAAATGCTGATTATTTTACCAGATAGATATTAAATGACAGATGATGTTACTTTACCAAATAGTTATTTAAAAAATGTGATGTTATCCATAGTGATATTGTTGAGAGGCATAGCATAAAAATTCACTATGCGGCCAAACGACACTGGGCCACAAAGGAATTCACCCGCCGTCTGTTATAAGACCCTCGGCAACCACGAAAGCACGTAATGGCCCACCTCAAGAGGCAAAACGACAGGCGGGTACGCAACATACCCATGACAACAGGATATTTGAGATCCTGGCTTCTCTCTACAAAGAGAGAGGCAAGAGACTTTAGGAATTGAGTTGTCTCAGGCCCGCTGAAACCATAAGTCGAGAACATCATCATCATCATCACCATCATCATCATCACCATCATCGAGGATGCCTGTGCAAGTCTGTGAATGCACTCCTGGTCTCTGCAGCAGCAGAGAAGACGACGACCACAAGGAGGAGACGTGCACGCCCGCACAATAGGCTGTCGAAGTGCCTACGTCACGCTGCCTGAAAACTCGTAGTTACACGTAGTTACAAGGCCGAGTGGTGGCAAACGAAAGTCGCGTCACCTGCACTTGTCGTGTTTCTAACAGTCACGGCATCACTTTGACTGGGGCGCGCTGGTGCAAGATCGCGACTTCAAATTATTTTGTTTTACATCAAGAAGTTTCTCCTTCGCTCTCAAGCCATCGTGCAGAGTTTTCCTGCTGAGTGTTCACCAGCACCTGAGAGATAGGAGTTCTGATTTTCGCTTGCCGCTGGACCAGGAAACGCGCCCAGAGTTGGTTGGTCTCAGAACTAAAAGAAATCAGCGATCGCTGCGATAGAAATAACAGAGACCGCCATCATTGCTTCTTGGCCGGCGACTACATGTAAAGCCGAACGACAGTACAGGCACGGCAGTGGCCAAGCCAAAAATCAGCTACAGCTTCTCCTTCTCTACAAAGCGAAAACTACAAGCAGTTTATTTGAAATAAATAGTCTCGCTCGTGCGCTCCTCAGTCAAAATGATGCTGTAGCTGTGTTCACTACATGCTGCTCCCACTGGAAACACGACAAGTGCAGGTGACGCGACTTTTGTTTGTCACCACTTGGCCAAGTAACTGCGCGTTGTCAAGAAGCTGTGACATCAGACTTCGACGGCCTATGCCGGGATAGAGTGGTGATGGCAATAGCAGCCTAGGTCACAGGTGATGGTGTCAGCCATCGAATAGGAACTGCACCGCCTGGCGCATGCCGCCTATCCTATGGACGTGGAGTAGTAGTCAATCTGACTGACTCTCACATGAACTTGAAAATTTTCGATTTGATAACCTGGAAAGGTGCATGCCATGACATGCGTTATTTACGTGTCTGTGTGTTGCCAGGTCGACGTCGCGGCACGTGAAAAGGCACGCATTGAGGACAAGCAGCGCACTGCAAAGAAGCAGCGCGACCAAGCTGGAATTACGTGGCAACCTAGGTACGGTGGTGACAGTGACCTGGAACTCTCAATTGTGTGTGCGCCTGCAGCGCATCCACAAGCATGCGTCCTACAGTCAGCAGCACACACTGTGTTGTTTGGATGCTCATACATGTAGTACTTAGTACACAAGGCAGAATAACAGAGACCCATATCTTTCTCGTGACTGCGAGTTTCGTGTTTAAAAACACTCATTCATCATTTACACACGAAACTCGGAGTCACGAGAAAGATTTTGGTCTCTGTTGATCTAGCTTGTGTAGTGCGCTCTGCCGCGTTTCGTGTTTAACTCGACATTTACACACGAAACTCGGAGTCACGAGAAAGATTTTGGTCTCTGTTGTTCTAGCTTGTATAGTACGCTCTGCCCTTGTTAGGGTATTGAGCACTATTTTGCAGTAAGGACTTCAGACACTGTGTGTATTACTTAGTATGAAGATTCCACACGATGGTACAGTCAAATCTGTCAAAGCAACCACTCTGATAAGGTGACCACCTGTCCTAGAGGACCACTACAATTAGGACCAAGGGTGTTATTTCTAGTCAAATGACCCTGGATAAGGAGACGGAGGCCACATTGGTCAGGTGCCTTGAGTGGTCGGCTTAAACAGGTTTCACTGTACCTGTTACTGTACGACAGTCAGAACACTATAACCAGTTATGCAGAACACTATAACCAGTTGTGCAGAACACTATAACCAGTTATGCAGAACACTATAACCAGTTATGCAGAACACTACAACCAGTTTGCAGAACACTATAACCAGTTTGCAGAACACTATAACCAGTTATGCAGAACACTATAGCAGAACACTACAACCAGTTTGCAGAACACTATAACCAGTTGTGGACAAAATCACTTTAGACCAGTCTGTAATCTGAATGCAACGTGCAGCACTCTATTGGCAAGATTGTAGTCCATGGTGTGAGTAGTGGTTCAGCAAATTAGTCTATTTCTAGTGGTGTTATGAACTAGTTATGATGGATCAGGTCGTCCTCGAGTCGACATGATACCGCCCTTTGCTGTGGCCGCCTTCCAATGCATTGACTGCACGCTAGTATCCCTAAATTTTGTATCATTTACCCTAAAGTTTCGTTTGCCTACCCGTGTTTTCTCTCTAAATACTTTTGTCTTTACAGGTGGTTTGAGCCCCAGACCGATCCGCACACGAAAACAGTATCTCATGTCTACAAGGGTGGCTACTGGCTGGCGAAAAAGAGAAAGGACTTTGGAGACTGTGCCGATATATTCTAATATTGCAGCTGTCTTATCTTTGATTCCATAGATGGTGGCTTGGGAGTCTGCATTCCCGTCACTGTCTGTTTCCTAATTATTTCTGAGAGGCCGGCGTAAACCGTATGCATCCATCTTGCCACCACCGCCACCACCACCAACGGCATGTTCCTTGGTGTAAATTTAATCTCACTTGCGGAGATGATGTCTGATGTTTTGCTGGCCGCCGTGGTGTTGCAGTATATACTAGTAGTCGGTGTTGATCACATCAGTTGCATACAGCTGTAGCTTGTATTATATGCAATCCAAGCTTGCCCCGTAACTGCTGCATCCGCCACCGCTGCTACTGCTGCCGTTGCTCGCTATATATATCCTCTGTTTCACTAGATCAGTGAGGCAGTACCGCGGACTAGAGAGATCCTACCTAGCAGTACCAATGACTACCACGACCGCTCAGTGGTTATTCCAGTCGGGCCATTGGCCAAAGTCATTGCACTCGGTGGCTCAGTGACAGCCATGCTTCAAATTTGATTCAAGTTAGGCTTGTAGAAGTCCCTGGGTCGGAGCTGCCACTGCACTGGTACTGGGCCAGATACAGCTCTTTTTATTGTGCTGCTTCTTGAAGTTTCTGAGCTGATTACTTTCAGACTTAATTTCATTTAAAACAAAACAAAGTAACTAACCAAAATGTGCTGCTCCAACAGAACCGCTTCTTCCACCCTTGTACAATCATGAACATTCATCTTCGGTGAACAAGAGACGAATGCTCTAAACTTGTACTTCCTCTTGGGTGTGTTGGCAAATCTTGGATTCTGCCATGTGAGCAGTGCTTGCACTATACGTACCTTTCAGTCGCTCCATACAAAGCATGATACCATAAATACCGGAAATTATAATGATTACAGTGATGAAAGGAATCCAATCTGACATGATAAAAATTAATCATGCAGTCGACACTATTATAATTTTTAATGTAGTCAGTACGGTACGAGTACAGCTACGTGTACGTGTACGTACCTGGTGTACGAGTTCGTACAGGGTTTCATTCTGTAAACCGCCCAATATCAGTATTACCGTCACTAAAATAATTATTATCGTCACTAAAAACCAGCGAATTATTATTTTACACCGACGAAAATTTATTATAGCGCGGAAAATATCGAAAATAAAAATACTGATCTTCTGTTATTCTTGCACTTGCTTTGGGGGAAGCTATTATTTTGGTTTGCAAGTGCTTGTAGGACTGTTCCATTCCGATAGTTGGTGGAATCAGAGAACACAGAGTATTGTGATGGGCACAAGAAGGGATTCTCCGACCAGGCTCGCGCGCCTTGGACGCCTGACGAACGACCCTAAAAGTGCGGAAGCTCGTGTATTTGTAGGAAATATCTCACCACAAACAGCATCGGAGCAAGAACTTCGTGACCTTTTCTCGCAGTATGGTGAAGTGATTGGCTTATCGATGCACAACAATGGCAAGTATGCTTTTGTGCAATTCAGTGCCCAGGACCAGGCTCACAACGCTATTAGTGGTGCCATGGGGCACACGATGGGAGGAAAGCGAATCGGTGAGTACCATTCATCAAACTTTCCATACACTACAATGCATTTGGAAATGTTACCTTCCGTATGTCGGTGAAGTTCTTATGAGTGTGTAACTTGAAGAAAGCACTCCTGATTTGATGTCTGATCATCTGGTTTACTAGTAGTACTGTATCTGTTCAGTGGCAATATGGCTTTGTCTGTCACCGTATGACTGTTTTCGTAATGAAGTGTGCAGTACGGTACTACATTGTCCCCAATAGCGTTCCTTCAGTTTTGATGGAAAATAGTCATTAAAAGCTCAAGGCCTTTTAATACTATACTGTACATGCTTCATTTTATTGGGTGACACCAAACCGTACTCAAGGCTTTTTTCAGTTTTTCGGGCTTTCCCCGTGCACTTTTTACCGTGCGGGCAGCAGAAAGTTTGCCCACCGTTCTACATGTCTTTTCCTTTTTCGAAGCGTTGGCTCATTTTTATGCCCTCTTTCCAACCGAGTGTTTTTAACAATGGAGTAGGGGAGTGTGAGAAGGATGGGAAGCAAACACTTGTTTAATGACAGTGTTTAGTTTTGTTCGCAGACGAAAGTGGATTTTTAGGGGCAGGTTTGGCACTATTGTCGTATTACCCCTTTTCTTGAGCGGAGATTGCCATTATGGCGATTTTAGGTCCGGGGCCTTCCTTGCTGTGTAGACCATGTTTTTTTGTGATTTTTCTGCAAATGAGCTACATTCTACAAAAGGAGTGGGACAGAAAGTAAAACGTTGATTTTTCTTTTTCTTTTTGCTGCCCCTGCCGTGGAGCCATGAACGCTTGTGTTCATCTTGGTGTAAGTGGTACTGTGCAATGCTTCATGGGATCTGTGTGCAGACTGTCAATGTCTCCTGTTGCACTCATGCCATTTTCTTAACTAGTGAGTGATTAAGTGGTGGGTACTTCGGCGATGATTTTCATAGGAAAGGTATTTGCTCCCCACACTGGAGTGGTGTTTAAAAAAAATCGTGCTAGGAGCAACTAGATAGCAGTTTACATTTTTTGTGGAGTACGTGTGTACACCTTTTCAGTGGGCATTTTCTTCCCATCTCCATTTTTGCATCTTCCGCCTTTTTATTCCAGATGTTCGTCCTGCTGTCGATAAAAAGTCGTCGGCCCCCCGTTCTGGGAGCCAGGGGGGCGGTTACAGCCGTCCTCCACCGCGGTATTCAGAGCGGCCTCCTCCACCCCACTCGTCATCAAGCTCACATTCCTTGACTCCTGGCGATTTTCGTCTGTTTGACGTTGGCCAAATGAGCGGTGGTCGATCTAGCTCTCCTGCTCCTGCAGCACACGAGTCCTCAGCTCCTCCAGATTATTCTGGTGCTGCGGGAGCACGCTATGCACCACCAGCACACCCTCAATCATCTTCTGCAGTGGCTCCTGCCAGTGGGCAAGCAGTGCCACCAGAAACAGCAGCAGATCAGAGTCATTCTCATGCTCCACCTCATCATGCACCGCCACCTCCCGCTCGGTCACCACCACGACCAGTGGAGGAAAGGCATCACGGCAGAAGCCGTTCACCGCACTGGCCGGAACGACCTGCGTCTCCTCCAAGATATGAACGACGTGAGCGCTCTCGCTCACCTGGCTGGTATCGCTATGAAGAGGAGCGTAGACGCTATGAGTATGAGCTAGCACGATGGGAGGATGAGGAGCGTTATCGTCGCTGGTACTATGAAAACTACGGCGAGCCTCGCTACAGTGATCGTCATGACCCGTACTACCGAGATCATTATTCCTACGAGCGTGGACGCGAGCGAGCAAGTAGGCATGATGACTACTGGCAGCGGCAAGACAGTCGTCACCCTGAACACTACCATGACAGCAGGCACGCACCAGAGCACTATCGCAGTGAGCACCATCACCCTGGTCAAGCTGGTGCTGCGCCAGGACCTGCCCGGCCTCCTCCTCGTCCCCAGCACAATGAGCTTTTTGAGAAAGAGCGTGCTGCTGCTGCACCTGCTCCAGCTTCTCAGCCGCAGAGACCCCCACTTGATAGTTTGGTTTTGATGGTGCACAAGCAGCAACAGTAAGTGGCACAATGTCTTGTTTGCTGTGCTGCGGTTTCTTTTATGGTAGCGCGAAAGAAGTATTAGTAATCTGCTGATTATTCCATTGCATCTTAATGGCAGGCTTTTTATGTCAAGTCTTGTGTGTAGCACCAGTACGCACATGTGTGTCTGTGTCTGAGTCTGTGTACACGTTAATGGAATCACCTTTAATGCGGCTGATTGGCAATGCATGTACTATAGAGAGAGGGGAGGGGGTTATCACGTAGCAGGAACGAAGCCACTGGTGATTCCGATAATGCCTTTTCCTACCATTACTTCTCTAAGGGGCCGTCCATAATTATCAATCTTTTACACAAAACGAAAAAGTTTCGTTTATGGGTGGGTTGGTCGGGGAGAGTTTCGTAATTAAAAATATTGATAGCTAAAACATCAATCCATTCTAGCTGTCAAGTCTAGATTTTTCGTTCAGGGGGTGGGTGGGTGAGGGAGGGTCGTAACTAAACTTTTTCGTTTCGTGAAAATTATCGATAATACCGGATGGCCCCTAAATCGGTACAGGTCCTCCCTCACTATAATGAGTCCGGTTAGTACATAAACCACGTTAGTAAACCACGTTAGTAAATAGAAATCTGAAATCCTCTGGCGAAACATGGTCTATACAAGTGTTTACGAATCTGGTTAAAACATAATACGTTGGTACATACAACTCGTCATATCGACCCTTAGCCAATGTCCCTGAAGTATCAACCCCTCAATACAAGATAATTATGTTCATTCAGGACTAAGGTCAAACACAATAGTCACCCTTAGCAAACAACGGTAACGCTATTTTTTTTACGGTACTCGTACCTTGATCACTCAAATAGTGTTGAAGCTGCAGTGTAAGAACGTTATGGGGGCTGATTTATCGTTGTGGCAAACGGTACGTTTTTGGCCAAATATTGCGTAGTCTGTACGCATTTCACCTTGTATCGCATATATTGTGCCATAAATGGTTGTGCTGCGCGAAATAAAGCTATTCTCATGGCAACAGCATACTAAAAATAGCGTTCATCTTGCTAAAGGTCGAACCCAAATCACGGTATTTTCCCCTTACGGTAATACCGTTTAGAACATAACGTTTTTGCTAAGGGTGTCTAATGATAAAGCAGAAAGACACTACCTAATCGGTCTGTGTATTTATAGAAATATACGAACTCTTGCCAAGAACAGCCGTGTGTGAGATTTTTATAGAAATATACGAACTCTTGCCAAGAACAGCCGTGTGTGAGATTTTTATAGAAATATACGAACTGTTGCCAAGAACAGCCGTGTGTGAGATTTTGATATCTTATAAAGAGTTGATGTGCCGATGATTTGCGTTGTATTAAGGGTACCCCATAGTACGATTCAGTGCTTCTTTCACCTGTAATTGCAAGTCCTGTTACAAGATAAGTCTCCTTATATAAGATAGCTCTTTTGATGACCCAGAGATACTAGGGAGGTTTAGTCCCACGTAACGGATACGGGAACGTGGGTGATACACGTAAAGTTCCTGCAATGGACCCACGTTTGCAATGTTGTGTTTAGTCACACGGAACAAACAAAAGCATGAAGCGAAAGGCCCAAACCTGGTCAAAGATGAAGCTTAGAAGCTCATCGAATATTTTGATTTCGTGCTTCGGAAACTTCTTCAGCTGAGCACCCTCACAGCTCGAACAATGCGCTCCATTCTGATTTTCACCCACGTTCTGGCGGAACGTGGGTGAGCCTCCATACACGGTATGTCGTGAATCAAAAAACGTCTGTACGTGGGTCACTGAGTATCACATGGTTCACACACGTAAAGTACCCATGGATTACGTGGGACTAAACCTCACTACTACTAATGAGAGAGGACCTGGGTAACCAGGGAGTCGTAGTGTGTACAAGTCAACGGCGCAAGATCATAGTACCCGAAACGATGTGTGTATTGACTCTGGATTTGGAGTTCTACGCGATACATATTGACAATAGTCCATAAACAAGAGTACTTGTATGCAACTGTGATCTCTTTTCTATGGGCCAGATGCGCGGCGCGCTGCCTTCATTTCATCATTCCGTTGCAGTCCGCGCACTGCGGAAAATTGAATACCACACTTTCCCTCTGGTTTGAAATGAACTTTCGTACGGAACTGGAGTTCACGCGCCAACATTTAGAGATCGCGTAGGTACTGGAACGAATCGAGGAAAAATGGATGGGCTCGTACGAGAAATTGTGGGTTTGAGCGCATGCTTTCAGAGCGTGATGAAGGCAAGTTACGTAATGAAGGCAGCGCGCCGCGCACTGACCCATAACCATAGTAGCATACTCTTGTTTATGCACTCTTGATATTGACCTATGTAGTTCTACCCATAATGGAAACTGGGTCTGCACTATTATATTATAGGTGAAACGAGTACCGTAAAGTCTTGTATAAAGGCCGCACTTGAATAGAAGCCGCCCTCGAATAGAAGCCGCAATTTTGGGCCCATCAAATCACACAGAAGCCTGGTTTTAGTGTTGACATACAAAGAAATACCTGTCTTGTATAGAAGCCTGTCTCATATAGAAGCCTGCAAAATTTCACCAAGAAAGTCACAGAAGCTGCGGCTTTTATACAAGACTTTACGGTACAGTCAAATCTGCCGTTAGCGACCTCTGCTGTAGGCGACCATCTACCGTTAGCGACCGATTTTCCGTGCACCGACGGTTTCACATACAAACTGATCTGTCCAGAGCGACCATCTGCAGTGCGCGACCAGCGACCGCGATTTCATGCACGGTGGCTGCATTCAAATCTGCTGTAAGCGACCGCGACCCAGGTTCAGTAAGGTGCGAAACTGTACTTGCCAGTGCGCTGTCAACTGCAAAATGGGCTGTCTTGCAAGTGCGATCGACTGGCGCCTGGCCTGTACTGAGGCTGTGCTGTAGCTCTCAAGTCCAGGCAGTGTCGATCTACTGCCGTGTCGCATACGCGTAATACGGGTATGGTCGTCGTTGAATATCCAATAAAAATGATATTAAAAATCACATTATTCTCGTCGATTTGAGTACATGGAAGCATATACCTGGTATGCCGGATTTACCATACATCTGCCGTAAGAGACCATCTGCCGTAAGCGACCGCTTTTTCTTGCACCAAGGGGCGGTCGCTTACGACAGATTTGACTGTATATTGAATACTCGAGCATTTGAAACAAGTACTCGTTTCGCCAAATACTCGAAGTATCCCATGTACAGTGTATTGTATGCATGTACATCAAGCACTTCTGTTACTCTGACCAGTACTGATAACCCATGCAAGCATGATATTATTGCTTGTCCCTACTTACCAGCAAAAGGCAGTAGTTCAGACTATTTCCTGCACTAGGCTGCATGCATGACTACATGTGTGAGTGTACATGTAGTGCTGCTCAGTGAAATCCAGTCGATGCACTCATGTACGCGCCGGGCGTTGCGCAGCCCTAAACCTGCGAACACTGGGATTCGAAATGGTGCAAGGCGCAAACTTGAGTGCCGCGACTGGATTTCATTGAGCAGGACTGCACTACGTGCGGTGTTACGAGAGTGTGTGCAGTGCATTGTTTTATGTTGTCAGTAAAATACTTGTACTCGTTGAGTACTCGAGTCCTCGATTTCACCACTCGTTTCACCCCCACTATATTGTACTGCTCGCGTACTGTTTGAATGCTGATGTTGTCGGCCAGAGGGACAAACACGTACACATATGTGCTTCTTTCGAACATGGATACCCGGTAACCCTGTCCTACACTTATCATTGCAATCTTCTCAATCTCTGGACGGCAGGCGTTTCCACTTGCTTTGTACTGATTGGCAAACTGGTGCATGTCATGCCACTCCGTACAAACACCTCAAGTGATGATGTAATGGAATGACATCGTGAATGCTTTGTATAGAGCTTTTTCACGGTTGGACCAACGATCACTTTTTGGGGTCACGTGCGAGAAATTTTTGAATCACTGGTGAACAGACGGAGCCCAGTTCATGTTCACTTTGTATGGGAATGGATGCGTAGAGGGGGGGGGGGGGGGGGAAGAAGCTGTAGCAGGGTGCTCCACTTGTTGTCCGACACTCGTGTTGAGTCAGAGCAGTTGCCAGGAAGCCCTTCCATGGCTTGGGCGGTAAAGAACAAGCTTCAGAATCGCCGGAGACGAAGTTGTCAGATTTCGTCTACTTTTCAATGCGTTTTGACGTGCGACCTGTTCACCCCAATCTCGGGGTGAGCGCCGGGACAGTGGCGGGAACAGCGTCCTTGAAAAAGCTCTATTGATTGGCAAACTGGTGCATGTCATGCCACTCCATACGAACACCTCAAGTGATGATGTAATGGAATGACCTCATCATAAATAATCGGCGATGAGACAACAATATTTTAGTATCGCAATAAGGAGGACTAGCTGAAGTGACATTCAGTTACTTTACTAGAATCAATGTCAAGCGATGGAAACAATGCGAAAACAATGTAAAAATAAAGAGAAGGAAGTACATGAAGGAAGAAAAAATGATGGAAAAAATGATTCGAACTAGCTTTTGTATAACACTCATCAGGAAGATTAGTTCTTTAGTACAACATTGATTCCTGATGATTGTTTTACGAAAACTAGTTCGAATCATTTTTCCATCATTCTTTCTTCCTACATGTACTTCTCTTTATCTTTACATTGTTTTCACATCGTCTCCATCGTTTGCCATTGTTTAATAAAGTAACGCAATGTCATTTCAGCTAATCCTCCTTATTGCGGTACTAAAATCATCATAAATGCTTGGTATTGATTGGCAAACTGGTGCATGTCATGCCGCTCAATACCGACCACCTCAAATAATAATGTTACGTAAGCACATTATCTAACCACCACAAAGACAAATACCTCTCAGCATTATGTACTCAACAGATTCGTTGTACTTTGAAGTATGGGTCAATTGAAATTCCGTGCCCGTTGTTTTCAACCACCCATCCCTGATATCTGTTGGTATTGCTGTCGTCGCCATGAATAATGTTGTCGGTTCTGCATGCTGCCTCTTGTTAGCGCTGTGCCGTCAGCACAATTTTGAGGCATGTTATTTTTACTTCCTAAGCTGGTTGTGTTTCTCAACACAATTATTTGTATAGCTGGTGGTTACGCGTATGTGCCACTTTTATTTTTGCGAGAACAGGGTCATACTTGCTGTGCGATGATAGCAGGTTGATTTGGAAGCCTTCAGTACAGTTGTGAAGTCTGGACTAGTTTAATGTACAATTTCAGCGCCACCGCCGATAAGTGTTGATTACCTACCTCATGTCCACATGTCCAGGATGTCAAAGCCAAGTGAACATCAGTCCGGAAGTCAATTGCCAAGGCTGTACATCAGTAGAACATCTTGGCCACTCTCAATGCTGTTGTAAACGTTGTCTTTCAACGAGTCGAATCGCCCACACAGCCAGTTGTTGCCTTTTAAACTCCCGTGCTAGTGGTACTTGAGCGCATGCTGATTGGGATCTTGCTCTGTTGCTTGCTTGTTTGTTTTTTGTCGCCTTGCTTCATGTAGGGGTTATGCCAACATGATATCTCATCGTCTCAAGGAAGCGGGCATGCTATCTGAGACGCGCGAGATGCCGGGAACTGCATCCCTACCTGACATCATTGCAGCTGGCATCAAGCGCAAGCTCCTGTTCTTATTCGTTGTCACAAGTGAGAATGAGCTTCATCGATCACTCTCTGTTCACATCTTGCATATGTCGCCAGTACAAGGTATGTTGACAAGTTCATGTCTTATTTTTGATGCTATAAACACTTCTGTATTTTCCGGAGTATACACCGCACTGGAGTATAAGGCTGCGTTCATTTTAGCTACCTGATAGAGTAGAGTCATTCTACCGATAGAAGTAGAAGGTAGAGGTAAGTGCATGAACCCTGTCCTACCGGATTTGGTAGTTTTTCACAATATATACGTGAACTGTTTCTCTTCTGTATGGAGTTGTGTACAACTCCTTGATCTTGCTGGAAATCCCGGACCTCTACCAGCTTCGAACCTGGTACAGCCGGTAGAGAAAGGTCGAATCTACTCTTTTGAGTAGAAAAAAAGGAACACATCTACCGAAAAAAGTAGTTTCTACCCAAACCTGTAGATCAAAAACGAACGGCCCCTTAGCTGAACCCAGATTTTTGTCACGAAATACAAAATATCTTCCCTGTTTATCACCCTTAATTTGACCATCGTATATTAATTAAAGCCACATCGACTTCTTACTGGCGTTTAAAGTGTGGCTTATACACCGGGGGAAAAAAACCGGTACAATACCCATCCTCCTACCTTGACATCTTTTCACTTGCCATTGATCTGCCGTCACGCTATGCCGCGTCCTGGCTGGTTTTTCGACAGGGGTGGTGGGAATTGGATCAAGGCCTCATGAATTTCTCTGCTTGTTGGTAGCTTACAAGACAGTGAGAAAAGGTGGTGCTGATGTTAATCAAGTCGAGACGACGAAATATATGAGCTTGTAATTTGAAAAGAATTTGAGGGGCCTTGTTCGCCTGCCACCTACTAAATGTGCTACATCAAGTTGATATATTTCCTGCAATGAAACAGACACTGATATCCATCCCGTGGCTGAGTCTCGTGTTCTAAAAATATTTGACTTAAGTTGGATTACTGTAAGAGTCCGTAAATAAGTACCTGCCCAAAACGAGAGAGCTTGGAAGCTCAGGGCCCTACGCTATGCTTTTTTGCCTTGATGACCTAGACACAAAAAAAGCACAGAGATGTTATAAGTTCTTTAAAAAATTCCTTTTTTTTAAGACATAACCTGGGATTCGAACCCGCACTATCGCGCGCCCTGCATGCATCCCCCGATACACTTCGCATACATACTAATTCTTCCAAGTTGTTTCACATTGTGATCTTGCATTTGAAAGCCCTATTTGAATATGCATTGTGGCCAGCCGTCTTTGATGGCACGGTACGGTAGGGGATAGGTACGGGACAGGTACGATCGAGGGCAATACGACACCGTCTCCCGTACCGTACCGTACCATCAAACACAGCTGGTCACATACAGCTGCCCGCAATATTCAAATAGGGCTTTCAAACGCAAGATAATAACGTAAAGCAACTTGGAAGAATGGGTATGAATGCGAAGTGCATGGGGAAATGCATGTAGGGCGATAGTGCGGGTTCAAATCCGAGGATATGACTGAAAAAAGGAGAATTGAAAAATTTATAACATCCTATGCTTTTTTTGCCGTCAGATACGGATAGCGCCAGGCGTGACACAAACAAACACACAAACAAACACCAAATTAAAGCTGTGTGGACCCTGGCTAGCGCCAGACGTTACTGAAGTAACGTCTTCTGCATAGCTACGGGAATAAATATCCCCTTCATTCTTGTGACTCCTTCTGTTGAAGTCAAGTTACTGGTAAGCCCGATAAACCTACTGCCCGAAATAAGTACTGATACGGTGTTCGCGTGAAACACGTAGCATGTACATACATGTACACATAAATAAACACTTCTCCATTGCACACAAGTCAGGTCCGAAAGTAAATTCGTGCCCGAAATCCAGTACCTGCCCGAAAGTTAGTATGGTCGTGAGAACTAAATCTGAGATTATTAAAATATGTACTTTAATTTTATTTAGAACGAGGTCTGTCTCGTTGTCCAGGAAACGACCAATCAGCGACATTCCCGTCAAGGGCCTTAGCAGAGTTTAAAGCCCGCTCAACTCCCTGTATGCATTATAGTACGGTGCAGATAATGAACTCTGCATAAAATGTACGGTGTACTACTAAAAGCTACGCATTTCAGAAGTGTGTACGGTTTTTGCCTCCCGTATTCTTTCATCTGTACGAATTTCCTTTGTCAACAGCTTGCGGAAACCTATAAAAACCGAAGATCAAAGTCATTAGGGGTATCGACAAGGGGCTCTCAAAGCCCCTAAATAGCTCCACAAGCTATGAATAAGAATGAAGCTCGCAATACGAGCCCAGCATTTCATTTGCTCCTATTCTACTTTTAGTAGTCCTAAAGTGGTGCTGAGTTACCATAACTTACCAGAAGAAAATATTCTTTCATACCACACCAAGTCTCTCTGCGCACAAACCACAAAACTACCCAATATAATGGTACACAAGCAGAATGGAAGTGAGATAATGCATGTAACCTCGTTCTAAAATAGTTAGTGCATGGCAGGGAGGGTCTTATGGCTTGTTTGTGCCCTTCAGGGTAGCCCTCGGGCCTACGGCCCTCAGGCTAACCTGTCGGGCACTAACAAGCCATAAGGCCCTCCCTGCCATGCACTAACCTATAATTACGGACTTTTGTGGTATTTGTGATATTGTGGAACCAATTTAGCAAGACCAGTGTGTAGTGTTTCGTACTTTAGTCTAACCAGACCAACCAGAGAGCCAAGACATTAGTTCTAACTGTTGTACTACCATAAGACCAAGAACCCTGTTCCTTATTAGTGCAAGAACCAAATAGTAGTGCAAGAAACATAATACAGTAAGACAGTCGCGGGTACTCCATATCGGGGTCTAGTAGAGTACTTGAGGGTACGCTACAGTGCATGGCACATCTAGATATGGGATGAATCATCAAAGGGATACCGTAACGGATAGTCTAGATCTATAAAGAGAAGAGTACAAATAAGAGAACAGGCCTGCACAATGGGTACACACACATACAAGACAACACCTACACAGTGGAGCATGAATAGGCACATCGACGATCAATGACATTGAAGTACTACTAGTAGTAGTCTAACTGTCTTTGAGGTCTGTGATAGAGGGGAATTTCCAAATACTTGGTACATGTAGTGATTGTTGCGTTGAACGGTGATGCTCATTTCGACGTGTCTTTGACATTTCATTTCACGTGTCTTGACCGTTTTATTCCAATGCACTCCTTGCGATGAAGACCAGGTGTGCATTGGGGGTCAGTTTGTTTGGCTCCGCTAGCTTCAATATGGGAATGAGACAGTTTTGGTCGATGTACTGAAGTACAGTCAGACCTCGCTTAACCGCACACATCCGTTTTCCACTAAAATATCCGGATAGACGAGGGAACCGGATAATCGAACGCTGATTATGTTGGATGCATCACGCATGTTGTATATTTGTAACCAGCTATTTTCTTCCAGATGGCGAGGGATCCAGATAAAAGAGGACCGGATAAGCGAGGTCTGACTATACATTCGTGGCCAAAGAAACCCGACTCCCGAGTCAAAAGTAGCGCCGTGTTTCCATCTCAATTGCATTTAAGAAACAGATCTGAGCGCCTTGTTGCTGCTTTCGGCGCTTGGGTCGGATTTCTTTGGCCACAACTATTTATTTGTGAAGGACACAGGACTCCTTACAGCTACAGATGTTCCTTGTATGCCACTAAATAACTCTCTCTCTCTCTCTCTCTTCTCTCTCTCTCTCTCTCTCTCTCTCTCTCTCTCTCTCTCTCTCTCTCTCTCTCTCTCTCTCTCTCTCTCTTCCTGTGCTTTGCAGAGCACAAGAACATGCCGTTTGACGATGCTCTTGATCTCGTTAAGCGGAACTTTGAAGAGTATTGTGCTGACGTTCGTGCTGGACGAGTTCCCTCTCGTCTTGCTCCTGTACAGCCAAAGCCTGGCGTCGCTGCTCCGGCAGGTTCCGTAGGCTCTTCTAATGGCACAGCCAGTGCTAGGCCTGCAGATGGCCCTGTACCAGCTGGGCCACCACAGCCGTCAGGGGCCAATGCAGCCGCCGCTGACATCTCCACAGAACAGCTCTCCTCACTCATTAGCACTCTGAGGGAGAAGCAGCAGCAGCAGCAGCAAGCTGCGCCGGGTAGCGCTGATGGTGCAGGCACTGCTCCTGCGCAGCAGAGCATTCCGCCGGTGGAGATCAAGGAAGAGCCAACACAGCCCGCTGCTTCAGGTGAGTTGAGCATTCCTTTTTCACACGTCTGTTTCTTTCCAACACATGTACAGTTATCGATTATTGTGGTTTTGCTGAGTGTGCAAGACCTGGCTCCAACGACCGACCACCCATGGAACCTGACTATCATGGTCTTTGAGCTAGGTACGCAACAGAGGTTCGAAGATTTGATCACTATTCAGTTCCGAGTCAGAAAGAAGGAAGGTTGGGTCCGGGGCCGGGAACTTCTCTTGATACTTTTCGTTAGATATGGTATTCGAATCTTTTGCTCGTAATTTCTGGCAGATATTTGGGGCTGACCAGGAGCTGGGCCACCGGTGCTGCCTCCCAAAAACGAAACAGCTATCCGGAATTTTTTTAAAGACGATGTTTGACTGTGAATCTTGATAAGCTCATCCAAGGAGTAGCCAGTCGTGAAGAAAAAGGTGCACAGCGCCAACACAATCAATAGCATCTGGACTAGCAGAACCGTGTACTGGCACCAGATCCACGAAAAACGTAGATTTCTTCGTGATCGTGAGCAGCGAAATAAAGGCCTGCACACAGCATGATTATTTCACGTAGAATGATGCGCCGCAAATGGTAACTAATATCTGTTGTTTGTGTGTGCGTGTGAATTCTTGTTCAGGCGAGGCAAAGAAATTCAGCTGGACCTGAAACGAAAAAAAGCATCGTCATTGTCTCGGTGCCTTGTGTCATTGCTTCTCATTGTGCTTTCTTTCGTGTGGTGGTTTTTGCAACAATTCTCCCCAGGTTCCTGTGTCTTTTATAAATTGTATCATTGTAACAGTGTTGTTTCTTGTTTTTAACATTGTCGTGTTGCTGTCTACCATTGTCATATTACATGAGTGTATGTGTACTGATTTTACCCTTAGTGAACCAAAATTTAATTAGTGCGGGGTAGACCGAATGCCTTATTGTGTGTGTGCGCGCACGTGGCACATGTGTTGGAATTCACTGGCGAGAAAAAAACCGCTTCAAAAAAAGCTGCGAGGTGTAGACCATAGTGGCGGTCAATTCTTCAGCCTTGCACTGTTGAATGGTGCAATCTCAGCACACGGTGCTATGGCTTCTGCTGCAGCATTGGTATCATCGCCTCTGGCGATGGGTGCCAAAGGTCGAGGTGTGCGTGTCTCTGTCTGCCTCTGCCCCACCCTCTCTCTGTGCATGTGTCCGCCCATCCACGGTGTCCTGATCAAGCAAACCAAACTACAGTCGACACCTGATATAACGAACACCATTGTGCAGGAGAATTAGTTCTTTGTAGCCAAAGTTCGTTATAACCAGGGAGTCGTAAAATACCATATATATTATTTTACGGCTCCCTGGTTATAACAAAAAGCACTTGCACTGTAGAAGCAGCAAGTCATGACAGTATGACTGCACTTGGTTTACATGTACATGCATCCCTACAATAATAGTTCGTTATAAACGAAAACTGTTCGCTATATATTAAAGGGTCAATTTCGTATGGGTTGAAACAGGGACATGGACACTGGCTCGCTATATCACGAAATTCGCTATGTGCGAGTTCGTAATAGTGGAGTTGACTGTATAATAGTTGTGGTACATGTATCTTCACTGGGAACACAGGGAAATGTTAATTATGTAGTTCGACCTTGGGCTGGATACCCTGATGTTGTCGATCCCTTTCGGCACCTTGTCCTCGCCCACTTATTAGTTATTACGGTGCTGAGCCCGTAAATGTAACCATTTTCGAGTCCACCAAGAGTTTAAGGATGGTAGAGAGGTTAAGATGCACATCAGGGAGTCGTAAAATACCGGTATTTTACGACTCCCTGATGCACATTATTTCTGACGGGACGCGGCAGTTCAGCTTGCGCCAATTTTTTAATTGCGTTATTTGGCTCGCGCGTCGAAAAATAACGCGAGTGACCTGTAGCTCGCGTCAAAACTTTAACGCCAAATTTGACGTGAAATTGCACGTGACGTCAGAAATAATGTGCATCTTAACCTCTCTAGTATCGTGTGACTACAGTGTAGTTGTAACGTATACTTGGAAGTTCAAAGTACTGTAAAAGACATAATCATAACAAAGTGCTTGAGAATGAGTGAGAATCGTTACCTTTGGTACACGTAGACCAGTCAATTTTAGGAAATCGTTATGTATGCGGCTCGTTAGAATACTAGTAATGGCTGGTTTACAGTACATACTAATACTACTTAGTACTTACTGTACACGGTATACCGGTAGTGGTATGTGATGATTCCCTGGTGTACACAATGCAACCATGCATGGCATCTACTATTCTTGGGTTACGACACAGCACACAAGGCAACCGGAAACGATATGCGATTTGACACAGGATTGGGAAGTTCTGTATGAGCCGGCCCAGACTGAGACCGGCGAAGCCGTATGCGATCATGTATAAACCGGCCCTGCTCCAACGGTGACTGAATTAGGCCCCGGAGTGAAGCTCACATCGCTTCACATTCCAGCCGCCAGGGTTGTCTCCGTATCATTGCGACTCCTGATATAATGAACACCAGTGTGTAGGAGAATTAGTTCTTTTTAGCCGAAGCTCGTTATAACAGAAATGCACTCACATCATGCAAACAACACGTCACGACTGACGACTGGCATGCAGACCATGACTGTATGAATGCACTTGGTTATCATGCGGCCCTACAAGAAATGGTTTGCTTGCCCGGATTTTTCATCAACCACCATACCATAACTGCGCTCTCCAGCCGACCTCGACGCGTCACAGCACACCATCAGCAAAGCGGCACATCCGTTGATACTGAGTTCCGTCATATACTCGTAGTTGTTTTGAGTATAAAACTCTCGTCAGTGAAGGTAGATATTGTAGAATGGTTATTAAGATAGTGAAAATCCCCCTTTTTTGTACCGGAAGGTTAATGATAGCTTGCATAGACCTCGGTCCTACCGGTAGGACCATCATACACAGACATGCTGCATGGCCTCTGTTCTAACATTGACCTAAAACTTGACCCTGAACTGTTGCTCAGGGGCTAATGAAGGAGTCCACAAATTTTAGACGTGATCGCACAAGGCATTCTACGAAATTCTATGGTAACCATGGAAACTGAGTATGGAATTATGCATTCCACTGCCTTGGCAAGCTAATAAAAACATTAGGACCTCACCACGATTGATGTGCCATGGTCAAAATTCACTTTGGACAGAGTTGCTAGCGCTCCGGCAGGATTATGTGCGGCCATTTTGACAATCGATAAAATTGCGCATACACATAGCGTTGCATTTTGCGCCATTACTTTGCCTGACAAAGACCTCATCTCAACAATTGTTTCGAGAAATTTCTCAACGAAAAGCACTTTTGCAGCTCGATTTCTTGGGTCCTACCGGTAGGACGGCATGCAAGCTATCATTAGAGCATAATGCGCGCCCGACGCATGGAGATTAGAAGCAAAGCCCTGTGTGCTGTGGCGCTGAACGTGTCAAGATGGAGAGCACAGCTATGGTATGGAGGTTGATGACAAATCTGCACAGGGCCGAATGCTGCTGCTTAAATTTGAGGCATGATCATCCTAGGGAACTTCCAGTACAGGTTGCGCTATGATGTCCACTAACACCACCAGTTACTTGACAATCAGCTCATGCGATAACATTGCACGGCACTGACCAACGGTACTAACTGCCAATCAGCTTTAGCACGTCTTACCAAGAATACTAGTACTTGAACTGGTTTATGTACTCTTGGTCTTACTTGTAGTTCTTTGGTCCTTTTCTTTCATACATTAATCCTTGGCTCTCTATTCGAGTCTATCATGATCCCCCCCCCCCCCCCCCAGAATTAAAAGTGCTTACTGAGATCTACAATGACGGCTTCGTGTCCGTGGCTCCTCTATTTCACGATGCCGAAACCAGTAAATCGAAGAAGGCAGCTTCTTCCAGGGTGGACTTCAGCCACAGACCCTAACCATGCGATTGGCTGGGCATTCCAATCGACATGGCTTGGAATTGACAACGAGGACTACTCAGTACCTGAAAACAAGACGTAACGGAAGGCCAAAATGGTGCTGGGATTCAAATACTCTACTTGGCATCACCGCACAGCATTTATCATCATTTCTCCTGGCCAGTGGCTGCTGCACTGCCTGCAAACAAAGTAATTGAAGAAACCCAGCAAGGGAGATCTGTTATGTAACGAGAAATCGAAAACAGTATCGTCGTCATCTTCACTGACTTCTTGTTGTTTTGTAGCTAGCTGTGCGCGCGGAGACTTTTTCGGAGTTTTCCCGCGCGGGATCGGCCAGGATCAGGAAAACAGCGCAATTTTTCAGTTTTTTTGTTGTATTTTTTTTTGAAAATAACAAGCACGAGTCTTTTCTATTATTTTGACATGGTTTATGTTCCGATCATGTCGATCTTGAAATACTGTACTGGAACAACTAGTAACTGGATGTCCGGGATATGAATATTGGCTTGCTGTTTATGATTACATGTATACACGTCTATACAGGTTGTTGATTTCCGTGGTAGTAAGCGCCTTTCTCATTCCTCGTTAGTGTCCAATAATTCATAATCATCATTAATTTTATCGACAAGAACCGAGCTACAGTACTCAATGGTCTACTTTTAGTGGCTGTTTGAGATTGATCATGGATCAAACGTGGCAGCAGTGCCTCGCTGAGCATCCTCTTCTACTGCCCTCTGCCTTCAGAAGTAGCGGACCTACATGCATTACACAGCACGAGGGAGATTTGTTCGTATGGCGCAACGAGGAGAAGGATCTCTGCTTTGTCAATGTAAAGCGAATTCAGGCCCACCTTCAAGGTGGTAGCGGGAAAGATGATGGTGCACTTCGAGACTACCAGGTTAGAATCATACTGTTCACTGTTGTGGGAATATTGAGGGGGTGGGATGAGGGATGAGAATCAGAAATTCAGAATTTCTATGCAGCCTTTCACAACTCGTATCCTTAAACTTTGCAAAACTGTTCACTATGCCATTTATGGTTTGAATGTCGCAGTATACCCCCTGCCCAGTCTATGGCATAGAACAAAACTCTGCCGCGCTACCTCCGACTCGTCCAATCTGTGCATCCGTAACTGTACGGCATAACTCCACAAGAAAAACTCGGGCTAGGATGAACCCTCGGATAAGACAAACTCCTTCTGAGGTCTCAAGGACAAGAATCTATTGACCGTACTTCCGCACATATAAGCGCATATGCTTATGTCCGGACGTAAGCGCTTATATGTGAACACTATTGGTGAAACACCCGGGAGCTGGATATACTGCTAAGCATTGTCATAACACCGTTGTGTAGGACACAGACAAACCTTTATTGCACATATAAGCGCATGGGCTTCTACCCGAACATATTCACACAGCAAACATCTTTTTTTGTAGCAAATTTTCACTTATATGCCCATGCGCTTATATGTGGGGATGTACGGTAACCTACATATTTACTTCGTCATCACAAACTCGGCTAAGACAAACTCTCCAATTAGATGATTCGAAATTGAGTTGAGCAGCCCAAACTGGCTAAGGTGAATGTTTTTGGAGGGCAGTGTGGTCAGTCACAAACTCCATCTTACAGTGACACCTACTTTCTAACATTGGACACAGCAGCTAGAAAGGGTTGTCCAGCTTTACCACACGCATTTTACACATATTCCAGTCTCACAGTAGTTTCCATTCAAGAAGGAACATGGCAAACAATTGACGACATTAAAGACACTGGCGACTGGAGAAAACCGGTACTGTGGAACTATCAAAGTTGATTAGATCTGAACCGAAAGCTCAAGAACATTGAGCACAGCACTGGTTGGTCCAATGTCGCCCTGGCACCAACTTACTCAAACGCTGCCAAATCCTGCCATCCATGCCTAAACGAGAAACTGGGGATCGATGCTCATGCCCCCCCCCTCTCTGTATACGTAATCCTATTCGGTCACCCATTTCTTATGCATTGGAAAGAAGAAGCTTTCATCTGCGCCCCCATCGGGCGACAGTCTCCCCACTGGCAGCGGCGGCAAGATTTGACATAGTTTTTCAGGATACGCGCGCGCGCGCGCGCGCGCGCGCGTGTGTGTGTGTGTGTGCGTGTGTGTGCGTACTGCAAAGCTAGCAGATAGTTCTATTCGTGCAATGGGCACGTTCAAGGTTCAAAGTGTGTGTGTGTGTGTGTGTGTGTGTGTGTGTATATGTGTGTGTGTGTGTGTATATGTGTGTGTGTGTTGGCAAGGGGTGTGTCTACATCGCTCACAGCACACATGCCCATGGTAGGAAAAGTCTCATGACAAGACTGGAAGGGATCTAAGCAGCAAACGACACATGCTTTAGCCATTTGTAGATAGGCTGAATTCAACAGAAAAAAGTAGCCACGTGTGATGGCTTGAATGCTACAATTCTTACGTGACAATGATAACGGGTCTTTCCAGGACCTTGATGCGTGGACTGACGCATAGAGCTGCTGCTCCTTATATAGCGCTTGAACGTGCTATGTCACATCCAGTCCGTAGTCATGACAACGCTGACTATATCCTGCTTTTGTATGGATCCATATGATGGTGTGGCTGGTTTTACTTCACAGCTCGGTAACACATAGCGGGCAGTAACTGGCCAGGGACCCACTCCGTGTACAGAAAATGTTGATTCCTGCATGCGGCACGAGGGGCCTACCCACCTCACGCTGTACTTAAAACTATGGGCAGAGTGGAGCCAGAAGTCGTTATTATTGGAGAGGGGGAGGTGGCATGGCTCGTGTGAAATATGCCTGTAGCAGAACTGGTGCAGGATTTCTGGTCTTCTGCAGTCCAATAGAAACTCTAGCAGTTCAGCACTATATTATTACTGTATTTTCTTTCAGAATTCTTCCCTTTTCATTCGCTGAAGCGAATCAATAACAATACTTTGAAATTTGCTTCTGTGCTGTGTGTTGCTTTGTGTTGTCTTCATCGCTGCTGCTGGTGCTGGCGAAGATTTTACTGTGCAGTCAAACACCACAATTTCAGGTGAAGTCTCTCAAGTTCAGTCCGTCTGGCCACTTCCTAGCATTGCTGGGTGAGAAGCAGGTGATGGTGTTGCAGTTACCTGGTACGCGTGCTCATCTAGGGAGATTTGGAGATGGCAAGCAGAAAGTGTCTTGTCGGTGAGTATGTCATCTGTATACATGTTGTACAATTATCTGCTGGAATAATGGCAATAGGGGCAACAATAGTGCAATTATTAGCGGCTGATAGCTGGATGCTATTACCAGCCACTTACATGGAATTCCACGTTTATGGGCAACTGATTCAGTGATTGTTTCATTTTCTGGAGATTCGTAAATTTGATAAAGAACAAACAGAGTGCTGTGGCTTCCTCGGACCAACACCATTCAACTCAGTACCCAGTAGACTACGCGTGGTGAAAATTTGATTTTAGGCTGTACTTCTCCCCCTTGCAAAAATTGTTACTGATATTAAAGCTACGTGAATATGGACCTTTTCTTTCTTACCTTGTTGGTGCGCAGTGCTATTTCTGATTTTCTCTGTCTGTCTATCTGTCTGTCTGTCTGTCTGTCTGTCTGTCTGTCTGTCTGTCTGTCTGTCTGTCTGTCTGTCTGTCTGTCTGTCTGTCTCTCTCCTTCTCTCTCTCTCTCTCTCTCTCTCTCTCTCTCTCTCTCTCTCTCTCTCTCTCTCTCTCTCTCTCTCTCTCTCACACACACACACACACACACACACACACACACACACACACACACACACACACACACACACACACACACACACACACACACACACACACACACACACACACACACACACACTCCCCTGCCAGGTCGTTCCTAATTGCTGAGCGGCTACTGTCAGCCAGCAGTCATGTTGACCTCCTTCAATTCCGCTGGCACCCGGCTAGTGTATCCGAAAGCCATATTTTGATTCTGACGTCTGACAACATCATTCGGTGAGTGAGCTGGAAAGTGGCAGCAGTTTTAGGAGTGATCCCCCCCCCCCCCCCCCCCCGAACTGGCATGCTGATTCCAGCACACTTGTAGCACACATGCAGCGTAATACAAACACCAGTGAAAGCAATTTGAACGGCTCATGATCAGCTGAGGTGCAGTGCTCTGGCTGGTTGGATGTATGACATTGGCAGTGCTCAGGCTGAGCTTATTCTGTTCTGGTCGCAGAGAACTTTCCAGAATGCCCAAGGTTTTTGAAGTTGGGCGATTAGAAATTTAGGCCTTGTGTTACCGGTATGCCCGGAATAAGATTCTAAATATGCATTTTCTGTATCCAAGTCGATTAGGGCAGACCTTAGGGTCGAGTCCTGTAGAGAGATGGTGAGCACCAGATGAAATTTGATTCTGAGGAGCAAGAACATAACCAAGTACTAGTACACCCATGTACATTTGAATTACATACTCAATCTTGCCCATCGTGACCCTGACACTGGCAGTATGACAAGTACTTTTACTAGGGCTCAAACGGTTAGTCCGATTAACCGGTTGCAGACCGGTTACGAAGAATTGACGGTTAACCGATAAAGATAACGGTTATGCAGTAACTTTTCAGTCAATTTTTCAAGTATCAGGTCGTTGCAAAGTATGCACTTTCGCAGGCTGTCGCACGCGTAAGCAATTTCTGGGCTGTCAACTCGGTCATATCTGGTCTCTTGGTGTGAAATTATGTATGAATGAGCATGCAAGAGAATGTACAAGTGTGCATTGTACTGAATAGGGTACATTGTTTGAATGAGTATAGTCAAATATACGGTTAAACAGAGTCCACAGGATTGCCGTGTCTTATAGGTTATAACCGTTAAACCGACCGTTAGCTTAGCAGTTAACCGTTAGGGGTAAAACCGTGACCGTTTGAGCCCTAACTTTTACTATCTTTTTAGTTGTTACTCTCGTTAACTTTATGTGCACTCTTTTCTATTTCAGGCTATTCTCCTTTGCCAAGCCGCAAAAATCTCTACAGACGTATGCTGTTGCACCGTATGGTAGCAGTTTCCAGGACAGCTCCAAGTCAAACCTGTATGACACAACCCGTGCCATCTCCATGGCCAATACGGAGAGCGTTGTCGACTTTGACGTGCTACCCGATAGGTGCATGCGTATGCCGTGTCCTGCACCGCGTGCAACTTCTCACGGTGTTGCTGGCGACGAACAGCAGCAGCAGTGCTGTGGTGTGTTTGCTCTGATGGACAGCGGAGATGTGTACATGTTCCAGTGTGTTCTTCCCAGCTCTACCGGTGTTTTGTAAGTGTTCAATTTGCTGCATTTTGAAAGTGCTTCGTTTGTTCTCATCTGTTCCTGTTGACCAGATTGATCAACATGCCAAGAGGATGTGGGCTCAGTTCCTGACGATTATTGACACAAATGTATTTCTTTTCTTTCTTATTGTTCTGGGTAGCTGTTAGTACCAGCCAGTGCCGCTTGCCAAAGTATGTTGAATTTGAGGTGATTGCTCACCATTCATGCTGGATGCTGTTCCATGCATTTCTATGCTGTACAAATAGAACTCGGGCTGGAGTGGTTACATCTTTCAGCTTATCGATTGACCAGAATCTTTAAAAGTGTTAGCCAAGCAGCTCTAACCTATATGACACATACGGTGCTTTTATGTAGTATTGTGTATTACTAGTACCGTATTTGTCGGAGTATAGTGCGCACCTTTGTATAACGCGCACCCCCAATCTTCATTGGGGGTGCGCACTTCAATCGTCATTGAAGTACATGCATTTCATATTCGGAGCATAGTGCGCACCTGCGATTTAGGCCCTAAAATAGCACTTAACCCTCATGCCACACAAGAGAGACGAGCCTGTGGGGTGTCGCAAGCGTTTATTCCAGCATGAATAATCATGAGCCTGTGATCGGTAATCAAGTATGACGTACATGTACTCAGTATGAGGTCATGATTATTATGATGTACACATATCGCGCATCAGAGAGGCAAGGACAGCAGAAGCGACCCGCGGGGTCCTGCGCCGTCGGAACGGCTACGTGTACTACTAGGTTGCTATGGCAGCGGAACACTAAATCTTAGTACACATGAATAGTTCAATGGTGCCGATGTGCGTGCACTATGCGGCGCCCATCGGCAGCACCCGTGCCTCCTGCCTTTTAAATGGTGCGGGAGGGTGGGAAACAATTTCTGCGGCGGGCTGGCACCACAAACAACTGGTGAATGTCTTTACTTGTTCCTGCCTTGCGAGGGTGGCCTTGGGTGAGCTTGCACCCAAGGCGGATAGGTGGCTTATACGGCATGCCGTACGCGCATCGCGGTTGCGAATGCTTGCGTGGGGCCCCGCGCGGGAGCCCGGCAGTGCGTACAACTTTAGCGGAGCTCGTATGAGACTTATCCGGTTTTGGCGTGTCCGCGGACGGCATCTCCATGCGGGAGATGCGGCTCTGTGACATGTAGGTTAACTACGGTTTGCGCAACGCAAACCAACATTTAACCCTCATGCCACACAAGAGAGACGAGCCTGTGGGGTGTCGCAAGCGTTTATTCCAGCATGAATAATCATGAGCCTGTGATCGGTAATCAAGTATGACGTACATGTACTCAGTATGAGGTCATGATTATTATGATGTACACATATCGCGCATCAGAGAGGCAAGGACAGCAGAAGCGACCCGCGGGGTCCTGCGCCGTCGGAACGGCTACGTGTACTACTAGGTTGCTATGGCAGCGGAACACTAAATCTTAGTACACATGAATAGTTCAATGGTGCCGATGTGCGTGCACTATGCGGCGCCCATCGGCAGCACCCGTGCCTCCAATAAAAGTACCGAGTGGCTTGCGACACGCAGGCTCTAGTAGTGCTGTGGCATGCCTGCGGGCCTGCGAATGTACGTACGATATGCCCCCTCTGGACCAGCGGCCTGCAGCCATCAGGGCATACTCTGGGGCGCCTCGATCCGCCATGTGTGTGGCTCCCCCGGCGCGTAAGGAATGGCTGCTGATGCTTGGACCTAGCACTTTGTGTAGGACAGCATTGATGTTCGGCGTGAGATGGCGACCATCCTGAAACTTGAAGAGGGGTTGCTTGTCATTACTCCATTTGCTGGACCGAACGTAAGCCTGCAGGGCTCGGACGGGACATAGTGCAGGGTCAGCGTAGCGATGCAGCGCTACCTCCCCACCTGTTGTTAATTGAGACGTCTTCGTCCTCTGGAGCTGCAGAGAGGCCTCCTGCTGGGCTAGTTGGAGGTGTTCGCGCCTCAGCATCTTGAAGCTGCCGAGACCGTGTGGTGACAGCGACGTGTACTCACTCACACGCAGCAGGCCGTGGAAGGCTGTCGTCAGAGCAGCCCATAACATTAGTCTGTCTGCCGGAGAGTACAAGGACAGATCCAAGAAATGGCGGAGAGCCTTCAGCTGGTGGACGGTGATTGCTTGGCGCTGAGGGTGTGCTGACGAATGCCTGGGGAGCGACGCTCTCTCCCTCTCTAAGCCCTTGAGCAGGGCTGTGATGCGGCTTGAGGATGTAACCCCGACCGGGCCTCCCATGCGGAGGAGGTGGTATTTGACCGCGGCCAGGTAGACTCTCAGAGTGCTGGCGCTGACTGAGTGAGACATTGCGGCAGCGAACAGCATGACGTCGTTCTGATCTGGGTGATGTGCGTCGCGGCGCATGCGACCCATGAACTCCAGGGATGCACGCCGGCCTGGGGCGTACGTGTGCTGTGTGCCAGTGGCTACTGAGTTGGCAATCAGGTGCTCTGCTCGCGCTGAGAGAGCGGCGGCTAGCGAGCCTAGGAGGACACAGGCACAAGCGCATGCAACACAAATGCACACACGCATACGCCCGCACACGTGCACATTCCCTAAACAGGCAGCATGGCACGGTGGCCAAGCTGCGGTGTATGCATCCTGCGCCGAGTCGCCGAACGGCGGCCCGCTTCCCGGAACACACTGGCCCGGCGGCGTGGCTGCGGATTGTAAGCGGGGGACCCGTGGGTTATGGGTTATGCTAGTGGGAGATCTCCCCCTGACCTCGGCGGGGCGTTCCTGTACTGGTTTGGCCGAGGTTCGCCCTCGTCCCGTGGGGCTAATGCAAATACGACCCGAGAGCCCCCTCCTCCCCAGCCCCGCGGGCTGGGAGCCTCTGCTATTGGCCTAATCCATAGATACTTAGCCTTGCGGGTGGACGCATGGAGGGGCACGTAAGCGTTGGCTTGCGTTGCCGTGGCTTGCGGGGGCAAGCGATCCTCCGGCGGGAGGTGGACATCCGGCGGGATGTTATGCAAGCGGGGCTGGCGACCCTGGACAGACACACAGAACAATAGACAGCGGGCGGCGAAGCCTTGGCTCGGCGGAGCCGTAGCTTGCAACGGTAGTGTCTGTAAGCGATTCTCCAGCGGGAGGTAGACATCTGGCGGGATGTTATGCGAGCGGGGCTAGCGACCCTGGATAGACACACAGAACAATAGACAGCGGGCGGCGAAGCCTTGGCTCGGCGGAGTCGTAGCTTGCGGCGGTAGTGTCTGTAAGCGATCCTCCGGCAGGAGATGGACATCCGGCGGGATGTTATGCGAGCGGGGCTGGCGACCCTGGACAGACACACAGAACAATAGACAGCGGGCGACGAAGCATTGGCTCGGCGGAGCCGTAGCTTGCAGCGGTAGTGTCTGTAAGCGATTCTCCAGCGGGAGGTGTCCGGCGGGATGTTATGCGAGCCGGGCTAGCGACCCTGGATAGACACACAGAACAACAGACAGCGGGCGGCGAAGCCGTAGCTTGCAGCGGTAGTGTCTGTAAGCGATTCTCCGGCGGGAGGTGGACATCCGGCGGGATGTTATGCGAGCGGGGCTAGCGACCCTGGATAGACACACAGAACAATAGACAGCGGGCGGCAAAGCATTGGCTTGCGGAGCCGTTGCTTGCGGTGGTGGTGTCTGCAGGCGATCCTCCGGCGGGATGTTATGCGTGCGGCTTGCGAGCCTGGATATACACGCAGAGCACAAGACAGCGAGCAGGTCAGGCTCGCAGAGCCGTGCCCCTAGTATACGGGCAAACATACAACCTGCTAGGTAGGCTTAACGCCCTCTACAATTTGCCTCGGTAGCACGGCAACGCGGTGCCTGGCCCTTATTTTGTTTGCGCCATATGGGCCACGCGTGTCGCGTACATATGGAGCGCCCCCGAGTACAGCGGTCGCCGATCCGGGGCCTGCGGGTTGTCGGCCACCATTCCTCCCAAAAAAGAAAAAAGGGGGTTCTAAGGGGCCGGATAAGCCCGGTAAGCCCACAGAGTGGTAAGATAGACCATGAAGGGTTCGCCCTGGCGAGGGCATGGATAATCATTGACCGCGGAAACTGTAGGTGGGTTAGTAGGGTAGGGGAAACAAAACAAGAAAAGAGCAGATATGCGAGATGCTGGGCTGGAGGGACTACGGACGTACGGGGAGCCCGCGTAGTGGTGGCTGGGATTGCCGGAAGCTTGAATTGGCGGCTGGAGCGCTTGGCCAACTGCAGACGGATGCAACTATCCGTTGTCGGATTGGGCACTTGCGAGTGATGATGGGGCAGTCTCCGCGTCGGAACCAGACGGCGGAACACGGCTGTTTTTTTTTCGCGAAATTTGGACATTTAACAAGATGGCAGCCAAAAGTCTCGATTGGGCTGGATCGGCAAGGAAATTTGAATTTTCAAATTCTCAGCAGCCGATTTCGCTGTGGTTTTCGCTGGATTTAGAAAGCTACCAGGCCAGGTTTACCCGGAAAACAGGTATTCCGTGTTCCTCTTGAAACTAGCTTTCCGCTGGTACCTCACATGGCCAACTTCGTCTCAGGAACAGTTTGTTCCGCGTTGCACAAGTCAAGCCTTCTTTCTCGCTCGTTCCTTGATTCATCGTTGACATGCCTGCGTCAAGAAGCCCTTTCAGGAGTTTTCCCAGTCTTATCTAGCTTTCAGTTTTCCCAGGTAGAGGACTATCTTCTGGCTATCTTCACCAAGTTTTATCACGTCCCGTGCACAAACTTCAGGTCCCGTGCGTTCGATGCTGAGCTACCTTTTCATGCGATTTAGGGGACAGATGGCATGGCGCTGGAGTCGCTGTTGAGTCCAGGAGGCCGAGGCCTGGTGGAAACTGCCCAGTAGACATGTGGGGTATTGCTGAAAAAGGCAGCAAGCACACAGATAGCCCCGAAATTGTGATGTAGATCCAATTGTGCGTGTGTGCGAGTGCATATCGGCAAATTTGAAAGTTGCACCCGTGATCCCGGCGAGGAGAAGCTGAAAATCAGTGCGTGCGTCAATATCCAGACTACCAGGGACAGCTTGGAGAGGTTCGAAAAGGTCAGGATGCTGGTTGACCACGGCAGGAGTTCCTTTTACCTTCCTTCTCTCTCAAATTGTCTGGATATTGAGTATCTCGCTCGAGCGCTTTCAAATAATAAATCCTGGTTTGACTTGCGAAATCGTGGAACCACACGGAGAGTGACATGAGTTTCATCCCAAAACGCAAACTCCCATCGTATTCACGAGGTTTGCACCGCGTTACGTAAATCGCACCGAACGACTCCATATTGTTAGATGTCCGTGCGCGAACAGCCGTGGGAAGCGCTGGAACTGGGCCCGGGAGAGTGCGTCGGCAATGCTGCTGTCGACGCCGGCGATGTGACGGACGAGCCGGCAGAAGTTGTGGCGAGCGGCGAGTTGCATGGTGCTGCGTATCAGGGCCATGACCCCGGCGTGTCGGCATATGCCGGACTCCCAGGCGGTGCACCCTGCTGAATTATCGCGGTGCAAGAGGTCCAGTCCTGCGCCCATGGTCTGCTATCGTGTCAATCGTGATTAGAGGGAAACGGTAGGCATGCTTGTCAATGAACGAATTGACGCTGTTCCCTTCGGGGCGGACAGGTGCATGATGAGCCGGTGGCCGCCCGACTTCTTGGGGACCACACCTACGCCAGGGGTGCACAGATGGACGAGTGGCGGCGCGTTAAAGGGGCTGGTGTGGCCGCGACTGCATTCCGTGGCCAGGTACTGGTCAACGACCTCGGGGTGTGCTGCCGCTGAAGACAAGTTCGGGCTGCGTACGGACACGTCACGGGGTCCAGTGAACCCGATACGACAGCAGGCACGTAAATTGCTAATAAGAGAATGAACGAATGCAGGATTAGGGTGCGCCAGCAATTCAGTGTGTAATGCATCAATATTGATAGGGGTGCTGGGGTGTAATGCAGCAATGTTCATAGGGGTGTCAGGGGGCGGGTGAATGCAAGAAAGTGGTGCCGGGGCTGATTGCTGTTTGCTCTTATTTCTTGGCTGGACAGGCTGACACGGCGTGCGAGCCTGAGCAGAAGAGGCAGGCGTGTCGAAAGCGACATGGGCCGCTGTAGACGCCGTGATTGTAGCGGCGGCAGATTTCGGTTGATTTAGTGCTTGCACTCTCTTTCGCCTGCTTGCCGCGAAAGGCCGAGGTGCACGCTCCGGCCAAGTGCCCCAACTTCTTGCAAATGTTGCAATTGGGGAGGGCCTGTCCCGTGAAACACGTCGCGAAAAGCTCCGTGTCGAGCTCTGCCAGGGATCGGCTTGGGTCCTTTGACAGGGCCTGGCGTGCCCGCGTGTCATGGTCCACGACTGCCGAGAAGCGGTACTTCCCGGCTGCCTGGACCATACGTATTTGATGCTGCATCAGTGCAGCGGCGCAGCGAGGGTGATCGCGGATGGCGATCAGGCTAAAAATAGACCATGCCTCGGTCCATGTGGCAAGGTTCATAATTTTTCTTTTCGGTGCGCTTGTCACCGAAAGTGCCCCTTCCTCGTCCATACGGAACCTCTTAGGGGCTGGCTCCCCGGCAGAAATAGGTTTGGGCGGGAGCAGTATTGCCAGATCTATGTACTCGATTCGTCTTATCCGATCGACTGTCTCCAACGAGACGTGCGAAATACAGGAGGGGTAACCCATGTGCGTATAGTTCATGAATTCATCAGCACACATACCGTCTTCTTGCTCCGTGGCGTTCTCCGGTGCGTTGCCGCTGAGGGCTGCTGCCACGCTGGCTGCCACTATCTGCTGGATAGACTCCCTTTGTGCCTGCGAGAAAGCCATGGTGGGTGCTAGACTATCGCTGAGAGCGGAAGCTTAGAAGAGACAATTTCAAACAATTTCTGCGGCGGGCTGGCACCACAAACAACTGGTGAATGTCTTTACTTGTTCCTGCCTTGCGAGGGTGGCCTTGGGTGAGCTTGCACTCAAGGCGGATAGGTGGCTTATACGGCATGCCGTACGCGCATCGCGGTTGCGAATGCTTGCGTGGGGCCCCGCGCGGGAGCCCGGCAGTGCGTACAACTTTAGCGGAGCTCGTATGAGACTTATCCGGTTTTGGCGTGTCCGCGGACGGCATCTCCATGCGGGAGATGCGGCTCTGTGACATGTAGGTTAACTACGGTTTGCGCAACGCAAACCAACATATCTAAAGTGCGCACTATACTCCGGAAAATACGGTACTTCAAGTACATGTATTCCGTTACCTCATGCACTATAGAAGCACTCACCACAACATACGCTGTAATTGCAGGTTATCACTTGCTCAATGCATCACAGCTAGCTCATAATAATTGATGTTATACTTCGGAAGTAGTCTCCATTGGACCGCGCCTGTCACATCACCTTGTCATGTTTACACTGCACACAGTCACAGCACTCCCAGTGCAAGCTCATGTACTCACACTAACACAGTTCAACGACTTACGTACAGTCCGCCGTGCGGGCAGTTAACCACTCGTTTGCTCTGAGCGGTCACTTAGGCAGTCAACCGCGCTAACCGTTTTGCCCCTAAATTGAATTGTTTTAGACTCTCTTACTTGTAGATTCATGATGCTGGTCTGGTTCGTTTCCGTGTAGAATGAGGAGGAAAGCTTTCGGAAAAGACTTGGTTTTGTGTAATGAAACTAACTACTTTGTTGTTCTCTACATGCGTGTGTGGTCATTGATGTTCAGATGTCAGAATGAGCGGCCCGCCGTGCTTGGTCCACTGAGAATGGTGCCACCAGCCGAGGATAACTATGGTGTAGACTCCTGCTCAGTGTGCTGCCTAGACTCGCACCCACCCGGCCTTGTGGTGGCTACCGCGGCAGGCAGAATCTACCATTGCGTTGTTATGCCCGGACAAGATGCTGCCGATGACAGTGCCGATGATTCTGTTCAGGTAACTGGGCGTGTGTGTGTGTGTGTGTGTGCGCGTGTGTGTGCTTTAGTGCATTTGGAGAGAGTCGTTGTGTCAAGCCAAGTTATGATTACAGTGCGGCACTCTGATGTTTACGATATTGTGACGTACACGTATGGTACATGATAGAAAGGTTCCGCATACCGTAATTACGTTAGTAAAAAACGTAGTCAATCTACGGCAAGTCTTCGTTACACTACATGCAGATCTGTGTTCCGCCATACGAAGTTTTCGAATCACGTAGCTCCCCTGCAACTCGGAATGCGGCAGTGTACGACCGGGTCGACCTGGGGAGAGAGTCATACATGTGTACCCCAATCCACTTGCGGACCAGCTACGTTATCAGAGCCCTATCTACGTACTCTACGTAGACAACTTTCCGTAAGTGGAGTGCAAACTCGTGAATTCATGGGGTTTTCCCGCTCACTTACGTATTAGAGTTGCACAGCTTTACGTAGTGCGGAACCTCTCTAATATCTCAGCATGGCGCGGTATCTCTGTATTGAGGATCAGGGAGCGCTGTGGCATTCCGCATACAGAGGCTACGGTGTATTTCTGCCTACAGTATCTCTCCTATACTGTAAATATACAAAATTTCGGCGCTGCAAAATTTCGGCACTTCACGATTTTTGACATTTCGGCGGCGATTTATTTTCGGCGTGGGGTAGAGGGCATGGTATAGTGCGACAGATGCTGTGAAAAATTTCATCGGCGTTTTAATTTAGGCGTTTTGGGTCGGTGCCGAATATAGCCGAAATTAAATAGCTGCCGAAAATTTGTATATTTACAGTACCCTCTACTGTTCACACAGTGTGTATTGCAAGGTTTGATAATTTGATGCCTTTGTGTGTTCTTTTAGGGTTCTTGGGCACGTTCGGCTGCACAGGATGATGAGCCAGTTCTGTGTGTGTTTGATGGCGTTGCACTGGCGTTAGCAGGTAATATGCTACAGTTCTGTGTGTGTTTGATGGCGTTGCACTGGCATTAGCAGGTAATATGCTACAGTTCTGTGTGTGTTTGATGGCGTTGCACTGGCGTTAGCAGGTAATATGCTACAGTTCTGTGTGTGTTTGATGGCGTTGCACTGGCGTTAGCAGGTAATATGCTACAGTTCTGTGTGTGTTTGATGGCGTTGCACTGGCGTTAGCATGTAATATGCTACAGTTCTGTGTGTGTTTAATGGCGTTGCACTGGCGTTAGCAGGTAATATGCTACATGTGAGAATGTCCTTCCTCCTGGGATACTACATCTTTGTGTGCTTTCCAACAGTACAACAGTGTGAACGTTTGAAGTTTGAGCTCCACAATAAAGAGGCTTGGAGAACCTGGTGGTGGGTGGGGGGATATTACCTGGTGGTGGGGGGATATTGTAAGTCGGAAACATAAACTGTAAAATTGTTATCAGTGCCAAGTTGGAGCTTGATAACTCTCGGTTTCCAGGCGTGCATTCAATCATTCATGTCATGAACTTTTAATAAAGAGCTTGTGACACTTAGCAGCGAAGTTAGCATTTCATCGTAGTGTCATTTTGCTTGTCCTTATCTTCCTTTAGATGATTCTGTACAGGATGAGCGGGAGTCTTCAGTGTCCAGTGCTGGTGCGGCCACATCACAAGTAGCACTGCATCATGGTCAGTTCAGTCATGCACTTTGCTGTCTTATTTTCCTTGTATATTGCTAGTACTGTGCGTGTGTGTGTGCGTGTGTGTGTGTGTGTGTGTGTGTGTATGTATGTTTTTCGGACCTTGGCTGTTGCCATGTTGACGAAGTAAAAAATGGCGGTGACAGGTCACCCAAAAGGGCAAAAGTCGTGCTGATCGCGCGCGTCGTACGAACGAAAAGTCAACGAAAGTCCACTAGACGTACCACGGCTGTTTTTTTGTGCGATTTCACGCCACTTTACAATATGGCCGCCGAAAGTCTCGATCGGGCTTCAATGGCAAGAAAATTTGAATTTTCAAATCGCCAGAACACAAGTAGGCCATGGTTTCCCGTGGATTTTGGTGACTGGTTAGCCCGGACAGCCTTGGGAACACGCTGATCACGTGCGTCTTGTTTCAAGCTTTCCGCTCGTACCTCACATGCCTGCCTTTCCTTCAAGAAACATTTGTTCTGCGTCGTGCAACTTTCGCTTCACTCTGAAGTACTCCTTGTGTCGTCGCTGTCAAACTCGGCCCCAAGAAGCCTTTCCTGGATTTTTCCCAGGCTAGATGGCAATTTTCCCAGGTAGAGGACTATCCTCTGGTTGTCTTCCCTGAGTGTCGTTGTTGTTCGCGCATGAACTTCTGTGTTCGCGAGGTGGGTCAGGAACCTGTTTTCTCTTGATTCGGAAGACAAATGGCGTGGCCCTTTAGTTGCTGTTGAGTCTAGAAGGCTGCTTCCTGCTGTAAATTGCTTAGTTGGCATGTGGGATATTGTAGAAGAAGACAGCAGCCGGCCAAGTGAGCTGGAAATTGTGATATCTCTCCTATTGTGCGTTGAACGAGTACGAAATGTCCAATTTGAATATTGTACACGCGCGCACGCCAAGCAGAGGCCGATAATCACAGGGGCGGTCGATCTCTGGACTACCAGGAGTAGTTTTGAGCAAGTTTGAAGCGGAAAGACAGCTAGCTGGGCAGGCCAGAACGCCTTTCCACCCTTCTTCTCTCTCAAATTACCTAAAAGTCGAGTATCTCGCTCGAGCGCTTTCAAAACATTTCTCTTGGATTCGCTTCCCAAATCGTGAAACCACGCGAGGAGCGACATGAGTTTCTTCCAAAAACGCAAACTCATCCCGTATTTGCACTATTCGTACAATGTTACATAAATCGCACCGAACGACGCCATATTTATAAGTGCCTGTGCTGGAACAGCCGTGGTACGACAATGAGTACAAAAATGATTTTTACCCCCCCCCATATACGCACAAACGTCACATTTGGATCCGATGGGAGCAGGGTTGCTCGGATCCAAATCCAAAGGATCTGGATCCGGATACGACCAATCGATCATTGCAGATCCAGTGGATCTGGATCCGACCAAACGATCACGGCCTTAGTGGCTGGTGTACATGCCTCGTCGGCACTAGGAGACTGTGAGTAACAGGTGCAGTGCTTTTACTCTTATATTTCAGCTCAAGTAAGTTCATTTCTCCCTCTGAGTTAGGCAACGCCTGTATATACCGATTTTTCGGACCGATATTTTGTAACTTCTCCTGCTCTTCCCCCCCCCCCCCCCCCCCCTTGCGGACACTAGCTACTCATCTTCATGGTTACCACTGCGGCTGTTTCTTGCTTGTTGCTGTTGTGTGTTGCCAGTGTCAGATGCGACTGACCGCTACTTGTGCACGCACAGCTCTGGTGTCCACTGTGTATCACTGCCCTGGCTACGGCGACTTGATCGATTCTGCGTGGAGGGTAAGTGTAGCGAGTGACTACTAGTGGGCCATCCTACCACCAGATTTTGTAAATCTGTACGAACGTGATGTGTGTCTAGTGGATATTATTGAGATGTATTTGGCTAGCTCAAGTTGGTAGCTGGATACGGTACATGTACTGTAGTAGCATTGCATTTGTCTCCTGTGTATGCCCTGTCTTGTCAACACACACGCGCACACACACTCTCTCTCTCTCTCTCCCTCTCTCTCTCTCTCTCATGCTTGATTCCTACTGATGGTGTTCTTGTTCTATACAGAGGAGGGTGCGGCAGCAGACAGTAGTGTGGATGAGTTGAATATAAAGGAAGCGTGTCACATTGAATCCTTGATCAGCAGTAGGCCATTCAAAGACAGGTTAGTTTAACCCTTTACCTTCTGTGTGTACATGAATCGACCGAATTTGGTCGATGGACATGCATGCACTGGCCTGGTCAAGTATCTTGTTAATAAACCTGGATAACAGCAGCTTGTGTTTACTGTAAAACCGGTGTTTGCCGCGCGCACACACACACACACACACACACACACACACACACATTGTCATGCACTGACCTGCAGCTATTGAATATTCACCGCAGTATGCAGTTTCCTTTTGAACATGGAAAACGGAAAGGATTTTAGGAGTATTAAAGTCCCATGATCACGCGTAGCAAGCAAATTTGTTTAGCGAACTTTGAAGGCAACATTTCAGAATGAAAATGTCCAATGGAACCCAGCTGTTGTCCTGCTGTTGTTTCTTTGTTCAGTGCCACATGTCACCTGGCCAGCTTCTGTGCAGTAAACCATGCGTACCTTGGACACACTCTTGTATGCCTCATGGACGATGGTGTATGCTCCACAGTTGATATGAGGTGAGTTACCGATACAGTACAAATCACCTCCTAAGGTGACTGGCGAGCCCAGTGCTACTACTGGCTTGACTGCTAGTTTTCTATCACAGAGATCGTGTCTATTGCATGCATGAGCAGATGCTGTCCATTGTGTGTGTGAGCAGATCTTGTCTATTGCGTGTGTGAGCAGATCTTGTCTATTGCATGCGTGAGCAGATCTGCTGTATGCTGTAGATTGCTGTCATATTCCCGCTGCTGCACCTTTGTCTTGTCATATTGCCGCTGCACCTTTGTCTTGTGCAGAGGTCCTACTACTGTAGCATTGGCCACGTCGGACGAGTTGACAGAAACCACTGGCCGGTAAGTGCATGTTTCTATCAGCCATGACACATTCTGCCACTTATTTCCTTCTTCTGCGCTGTTCTGTCATAACTCTCCGTAGTTTTGTTAAGGCCCCAGAGATTACGTATTAGCCCTCGTGTTCTTTGGACCGTAACTTAAAGATTTACTCACTTGAATCTTCGCAATCTTGGGCTTCCTGGAAAGTTCTCTGCAGCAGGAAGAGACTAGGGGCATGATCGATTGGGCGAATCCCGAGCAAGTGCACTCCGAGTGAGTGTGACCGTTTGGCCGAATCCGATCGAATCTGGAGTAGGTGTACTTGGAGTGGAATCCGACCACACCAGCCCCACACTGGGAGTGGCTGGAGTGGAAATGGACTTTGCTGTTTTTGGATAGTTTTCACAGAATCTTTGTACGATATGCGTACATTTTGCGTACTACACCCTTGGTTTGTTCAGTTGGGCCAACGTTGCTCGGACCACACCGCCTGCTTGCACTCAATCCAGATTCGCCAATCTATTACATCCTAGGGTAGACCATGGTGGCCAGGACACCGTATCTCCACTGCTAGAGTGCAGTGACGGTACGAGAAATGCTCCAAATGCGTGCATTTGCATCCTGCGCTAGCCATTGATCGCTGGGTTCTGATTTTTGGCTGTGTACTCTTGAGTTGAGAAACGCACATATGAATCCCGTGCAAATTTCGGTTACTCAGCTTGACGAAAAGTAGGAAATTTCTCAACACTTGAGTTCTGCGTGATTTTTAAAGTTGCCAAGATCGTGGCCCGACTTTCGAGCGATTTATTTCAGGAACCATCAATGCAGCACTTCACGTATTGTTTCTACAGACAACTGAGAGTTTTCTCTTTGACCTAGATTTTAAATCGTTGCATTTGAGCGATGTCTGAGTTACCATCTGTTGATGTCTCCTGTTTGAATTAGGGGTGAAACGGTTCGGGTAAGGAACCGGTTTTGGAACCGCCAGCTGAAAAGAATCGGGTACCCGTTCCGTCAAATTTCGAACCGAAACTCGAAGAATCTCGTTCTTGTACAAGTACATGTACACATCAAGTCTACTCAAGATTTTAAATGTCTTACCTTACGATCCCCACTCTTCCAAAGAGTTCTCTGGTCATTATCTTCTTCGCACTTGGACTCTCCGATGTCTCATTCTTGCTCGTAAAAATGTTTTTTCTAAAAAATAATTGTCGCGAACGCTTTTTGTCGATCTGGAGAAAAGAGTGCATGGAACCGATACCCGAACCGTGGGAAACAATGCTGGCATTCGGGTACCCGAACATGAAAAACATGGAACCGTTTCACCCCTAGTTTGAATGCATTCAAGTATGGGTCGGCTCCTAAAGGGTTAACGAGGGACAACCTACACTAAAACATGATGCACAATATCACTTCCGCGACACGATGAACGACAAGCGATGCAGTCGAGAGTTTTTTTCTGTAATTTTTTTCGCATCGCTGCTTGTCACAGTTCCATCGCAGGCCGTGTTGCAGGCAGTTGAGCCAAGTGGCACGGGTGTATTGCTCCATAGCGAAGCACGTTCACCTGTACACGGTTTCCTGTTGCCATGCATGGGGTGCGTCTTTTCAGTGTCCCACCGTAGTTTGTGAAATAGTCTATTTGAAAAATCTGCGGGGAAAATCCAAGAGGATGAATGCAGCCCTAATATTTGACTTGACACAATGGTTTGTGTGCTTTGTGTGCCATGCAGGGCCATTCACAGTGGATCTGCGCAGTCATCTATGCCTTCAAGTCCATTTGTGGAGGAGATTAGGCAGATATTGGCGGAGAGGAGCACATTGCCTGTTCTGAGGTAGGAAAGAAAAGCATGTTTGCAGTATTGGTCCATGTGCCTGTCCTATTTCTGTAGAAACTTACCCAAATTTAAAGCTCCTTGCTTTTCAACTTGTCCAAGCTGCCATGGCCCATGTGGCACAGAAGAAGTGCACAGGCAATACATTGCGGAATATACAATTGTTTTCACAATTCGTTCCATACGAGCCAGCAAAAAAGGTATGGTCGATTTCAAAATGATAAGCAATCATGTTGCTTTCCTCCTGTCATGCCTACATGTGCCAGGCGAAGAAGTGGAGAAGCATTGGTTGTATGCCTCTGTACTATTGTAATTTGAATTGCATGCTATTGCTAGGACTTATCATTGTATACGTGCCATTGCTAGAGCTTATTTTTGGATTCAACCTGCAACTGGTACAGAGGCTGGAAGTGACTAATGTCCATTGTGTTGCTTCTTGCTCAGGCTGCCATCGTCTAGCTCCGCTCAGCTGTCTGATAAGACCTGCAGTGAACTTCTGGACAAAACAATGGATGCGTTTAGTGCCCAGATACCAGTGATGCGAAAGGTAGCGGCTGCCATTGCAAAACGGTGAGTTTGCTGGTTCTACTGCTCCGTTACCTGATGTACACTGGTCTTTTTCTACTCCTCTTTGTCATTGGAATTTTCTTATTATTATTGTTATGTATGTTGTGTCACGTGCGCTCTTCGATTGCTCCATTGTGACCCATGCTCAGGACCAAGGCATTGGAGCGGCAAAAGGCGCATCAGTTACGTGAGTGTGAGGCTTTGGTGCACAGTTTGAGTGAGCAGCGCACTAATCAGGAAGACCTAGATCAACAGTCACTCACGCTACTTGAGAAGCACAAGGACCTAACCCAGCGGTAAGTCCCGCACTTTTAGGCTGCGTTTGCGTCAGGGTTTCAACTTGCCATGTACATGGATTTACGTTTACATGATGCACTTGGCCATGTTGTATTGTTGAAACCCTGCCAACGTAGTCACACCACAATAATTATACCCGTAGAAGCCCGTGTATAGGCCCCCGGGCGTATAGAATAGCAGACTCGATTTCCTGGGTGTATACAAGGGCACAGGCGTTATTTTGGAACCGGGCATATACTTGGAATAGGGATAGCAGTAAGTATTGGGTATCAGTACCTATACATGTACTGCTGGCATGGCTGGGCGTATGCATGGGCATGGGCACTATTTGGAAACAAAAGTGTTGACTTCCCCTGACTGGGCGTGTACACGGAGGGTGGGCGTAATTTCGAGCGGGCGTATACAGGGGCTTTTACGGTAATAATCCATACGTGGACATTTTTGTTGGCATATCAGTAATCTAATCAGGTCAACCCTGTTCATGTAAATGCCATCCTTTTTTTAATCCAAGTTAGTTGAAAAATTCTGATGTAATCCATATTTCGAATTGCTGTTGGGGTGCCAGTGACCAGGTTGTTTGTTCACACTGCATATGATTGGTGTAACAGTTAGTGACCAGGTTGTTTGTTCACATTGCGTATGATTGTTTGTTCACACTGCGTATGATTGTTTGTTCACACTGCGTATGATTGTTTGTTCACACTGCGTATGATTGTTTGTTCACACTGCGTATGATTGTTTGTTCACACCGCGTATGATTGTTTGTTCACACCGCGTATGATTGTTTGTTCACACCGCGTATGATTGTTTGTTCACACCGCGTATGATTGTTTGTTCACACCGCGTATGATTGTTTGTTCACACCGCGTATGATTGTTTGTTCACACCGCGTATGATTGTTTGTTCACACCGCGTATGATTGTTTGTTCACACCGCGTATGATTGTTTGTTCACACTGCGTATGATTGTTTGTTCACACTGCGTATGATTGGTATAACAGTTACATATACTACCCTGGCGATGTCATTGGAAGAACATTGTAACAGGGAAACACACCTAAAAATGCTGTTTTTTTTTTTTGTTTTTTTTACAACTTGTACAAATTTATTGATTGAGTAATTATACTAAAAATGTTTGGCACCTATGATCAGGGGATGGCCCACGCCTGGTAAAAAAGTAAGTAATTAAATGCTGGTTCCACTCAGCGGAGAATAGAATCGGTTTGGATTCTGGCTTTTTGGCCATTGGCTGTTGGTAAGGCATGGGGCAGTGCAGTGACATGTCTGTGCTTGTGGTACTTGCTATCTTCACTTTTAGGCTGTTCGCATTATTTCACGCTCTGGAATTCCAAGCCCCGGTGCGCTCCGTTGCTGAAGAGCAGATGGCGGAAAACCTTCAGCGCCAGGCTGCGGATCTGAAGAAGACCAAGCAGTTACTGGACATGGTCAGTTTCCAGCTCTAATCCACTGTACCACAGTAGGCTAGCGGTGTAGGGTTGTTCTGCTACCGCTGCTGCTGCTGCTGCCTTCATTCTTCTACCTGTCCTAAAGTAGCCTAGTAAAACAAGCCGGACAGCAAGTGAAATAAACGCCCAAGTCCATGTCTCCTCACTCAGCCTATTTGGTAGATAATGACTGCCTATTATGAAGCTCTCACGCCTCATACGAAGACGTGAAAAATTGAAAAAGAAACTTCCAACATCTAGTGGTGATGGTGCACATACACATGGATACACACACACACACACACACACACACACACACACACACACACACACACACACACACACACACACACACACACACACACATACACATACACTTTCAAACGAAATGTTCTTTTTACCAGGAAGTAGAACATGTCTTCAATGTGTAGTCGTGTCAGAGACTGTCCAGGCATTAGAACTGAAAATATTGATCTTGTAAACATGTGTCCATGTGCATATCACAGATACTGTAAAGTACCGGCGACTGCTCACTCCATTTTCCATTCCTTTCTATGTTCTACCTGTGAAACGACTTAAGCGTATTTGTCAAAATTATGATGCTGAACCTATTCATGCACTGCTATATGCAACTTATCATTACAAGCATTCTGTTGAGAATCTGGTTTCGCTTGCTGCTGAGACCTTTGTGCCTTACTGTTGATATCATCATAATACTTCTTGATCTCTTCTTGGTGCCGTTCCTTCATCATGATGCTGTTGTTGGTTGTCAATGTAACAGGGCCCTAATCCTGTTGTTTTGACTGATGCATGACCTGCCCAGGTACGTCAAAAGTCCGACTACCACAAGGCGGGGATGTCTCAGAAAGCACCAGAGCTCAATGAGGACCATCAGAAAACTATTCGATCTCTGCTAAAACAGGAGTAAGTCTAGCACTGACTGCACTACCATTATACCTACATGTATTACACGCTTGTGCTAGTTGAAACCTAAACCAAAAGTGTGTATATTTGGTGTCCTCAACTTGCACGGCTCTCTGGATGCTTTAGAAATGGTAGGGATGGTGCTGGACATACACACATGTGCAGTGATGTGCGGGGAGCTAGTCTCCATGATGTCGCCTGATGACTTTGAGCACCAGAAATACGCCTTTCATAGTGCTTGCACTAGTAATAATTTTCCTGGTGGCGAGGGGTCTGGATAAAAGAAGGCTGGACAAATGGGTCTGACTGTATGTACATGTGCATGCTTGCGCATGTGTGTGTGTGTGTGTGTATGTGTGGTGTGCGTGCGTGTGTGCGTGTGTGCACATGCTTGTGTTTTCCTTCCAGCACGGATGATATTGAGCAGCTGGTCAGCTCGGTCAAGTCGTTGCAGCTGCAAGTCTCATGACAGACAGGCAAAGTGCGTTCTGCGTTCCACGTTATACAGTATGCCGTGCATACACGCATGTGCGTACCTCTCTTGCTAAGCGTTGCTGTCATCTTCCTGCTTCATTTGTCATCCTCTTCTAGGATTGTTCTCTTCTGAAAAGCTGGCTTTGCCTCGACGTTGCTTTTGCGGCGTGTGCTCTTTTCAGATCATTCACATCATTCAATGTTTGTTTTTTATCAACCTCCTCATGCAATGTCATGTTTTATGTGCCGTATGCACAGTGCTAGTGGTGCACAGTGGTGCACAGCGGTGCACAGTGGTATACTGGTACTTGTCAGCAGTGTTTCCGTACTCCTACTTCATGTAGCAGCAGTCAATCCTGTATTTGCTGTGGTGCCCATGGCGACCTACACTGACTATGTGCACTAAAGCCGGTAAAGGCACTACGTCATGTACATGTACATGTACTACACATGAATTGCATCGAGACTACAGTATTCGAGAGTTCATGAAAATCAAAGTACAGAGTACATGACTGTGTATGTTCTTTCCATAGATCTATTGTTGTCTTCTATCATAACAGAGAATCGTGAAAACCCGGGCTTTCACGACTCCCTGCATCATAGTTTGGTGTGGACGTGGTGACGAGGCTCCTACTGGCAATACTCATATACAAACAACAGTACGGAATAACTGTGCTTGATACAAATACTGTATATCACCTTATTTTCGGTGTTGTAAAATTTCGGTAAAAGCCAACCCCTGACCTTTCGGTGTAAGGATAAATTCGGTATGCATGGCACCAAAAAAAAAAAAAAAAAAAAAAAAAAAAAACGGCTCTTGCATGCACTAATCACTAATGTCACTAATGTAATATCTCCGGCTAGCTAGGCTCCACATAATGTACATGTATATTATAAGTACATGCACTATCAGTGTACAAGTTGATTTTTTTTAATTTGACAGTGATGTTCATGATTTTTACATATTTTGGTATTTCGGAAAATTTTAGGTGTAATGTTAAATAATTAATTAGGTGATCCAGGACCAGTACCGAAGTTACCGAAATTTAAATTACACCGAAATAAAGGTGTTTAATAATACAGTACTCTAATTTCAGAAATTTTATTTACGAGGCCAAACTGAGACCATGTTAGGTGAACAGAAATTCTAGGTGCAGAGAAGCAGTTCCCTGTTGCATGATGCATGTTAGTGACATTTCAGAATTTAGGTAAGAAAAAGATGGACCGAAAGTACCGAAAACTGATAAAAGTGCGTGATTGTAATTGTGTGCACCGGAAATTAATTCTGAAATTAATTATTGCATGTCAGATAACATATCAGACTTGTGACTTGACACGTGCAATTATATCTACGCACGTGCATCTCCTGACTGTGTAGTGCAGTGCAGTGAAAGGTCCACACGTCGCAACCGCAGCTGCCAACTCCAAAAAATAGCGCGAGATGAATAGAGTAACAAGTCAACACATAACAGACTGGATCTGGACTGGTTCTGAACCAAACAACAATGGTCACATCGTCGACGACTGCTGCATTTGACGTTACGCAGACTCAGCAGATCAGCGACGATCAAAATAATTATTATTATTTTTGATGTGGGTCATACACCTTTCGCCGGAATTTCCTGCAATCTTCATACTCGTGACTGGACAGCAGCGCGGAGAACATTCACGATAAGTAGTTGGATGCTGTACGATCAATTGAAGATTTAGTCGACTCGATCGAGCAGACAGAACGCCATCGCTCATAATCCAAGCGATCGCTCGTCTCTCGAAACAAGTGAAAGAAAGCTCGAGGAAGTCGCTCGTCCTTTCCGCATTCCGGTATCTGGGCAGCTGAGTACGGGTACTTGAGTTGAATGCTGGACGTGTGTGCGCTCAGCATTGACAATGCATAGCAAGCATGGTAAGCAGGGCTGAGCATCGCTTGGTTGTGATCAGAGCGCTCTGATCTGGCTGAACTCAGCCGCTCCGGGTATAGCAACCTAGTGACTGGTGACCTGAATGCCGCTAGCGCTGTATGGTGGAGATAGGTGCGCTGCGGGATCACTCAACAGTAACTGTGCAATGAATAAGAATAGGGTGTGAATTGCAGCATAGCCACACAGATTCAGTGGTATGGCAGATAGTACAAGTGATGATGCCACTGCAGTGATGAATGGCAATGGAAAACACGCAGGGCACACTAGCGATGGGGCATGCGAGCTGCATGGTGTAGCCGGGCACACCGAACACAAGGCGGCGACAGTGACCAGGAATGGCCTGGCACCATTGACAATCCCAACTAGCGGTTCCAGTACGGATACACTGCAAGACTCGCAACGCACACCCACAGATGAGACTGGTGCGTTGGCTCAGCTAGTTCTGCCGCAGAGTGCACCACAGACACCCACCAAACCAGTCAATCACTATCCGTCCTGGAAGCGCGGGTCTACGGGATCGCCGTACAATGTCAAGGTTGGATCGACAACTCCGTCGCCGGCCGGGCGCACGGTGGAACGGTAAGCAATGCTGCATGGCTTGTGTGTGTGTGTGTGTGTGTGTGTGTGTGTGTGTGTGTGTGTGTGTGTGTGTGTGTGTGTGTGTGTGTGTGTGTGTGGCGCCTTTGTTGGTTCCAGGGTTCATATACTTTCTATTTGAAGTATACATACCCGTTAACCATGGACTGCTTCTGGCTAGATTAACTTTTTGTGTAATCAATGGTGCTAGTGAAGGTTATATCAGATCCACTCTGATTTAGCCACCCACACTAGTAGCAAGTACATGTATTACCTTCACTGGGGGCAGGGGCAACTGCAGTTGGATCCCGGAACGGATACCCTGATGCCGTCATCCTTGTTCTGCAAGTTGTCCTCACCCACTTACTGAGGTGTGGTGAGCCCATAAGTGGGATCATTTTCAAGTCCACCCAGAATATTGGGGATTTCAGGGGGTGTCGGCCGTTGGGCGTTTCAATAGCCAATTGAGTCCTCTTTCCAAGATTCCTTTTGAGTCTCTCTCCCCTCTCCCGGGGAGACCCACGTGACCAGTTTTGGCAGTGAGCAACAAGTACAGTACAGTGTGTGTGTGTGTGTGTGTGTGTGTGTGTGTGTGTGTGTGTGTGTGCGCGCGCGTGTGTGCGTGTGTACGTATGTGTGCACATGTGCGTGTGTGCATGTGGTGTGTGTGTGTGTGCGTGCGCGCGTGTGTGCGTGTGTACGTATGTGTGCACATGTGTGTGTGTGTGCATGTGGTGTGTGTGTGCGTGTGTGCATGTGGTGTGCGTGTGTGCATGTGGTGTGTGTGTGCGTGTGTGTGTGTTGGTATGGTGTGTGTGTGTGCACACGCACCCACCCACAGCGAGTATTTGATTTCCAAGAATTCTGCATAGAGATGGCACTGGCCAGTGTGTTTACAACATCCACAGCAGGTGTAAACACTAAACACTCTAAACACACGTACCATTGCTGCGGACATTGAGAAGTCAAGCGGCCACGGGGTGCTGGTCGTGTAGTCGCGAGCACTGCTGCTCCATTTTTAGTTTTTTACAGTGTTATAGTGCGTGTTTGCGCTAAGCAAGTAAGGGTGCCAGCCCCGGTCATTCCAATGGACTGCTATGTCTACAACAGTAGTACTGGAGTGTAGAGTGGTGCCTGCTCCCAGCTGCACATCTAGCTGGCAGTTGATTGCAAATAGTTTGTACATTCTTTTGTGTCACTATAGGCGTGTGGTGTGGGAAGGGGGTATTGCTGTCTTGCAAGTTTCCTTCTAAAGTTCCCTGTACACCTCTTGCTAGATCCTACAACATGGGGCTCCACTTGGCAACGGAAAATTGAAACCCATTTTTTTCGTTCCTGACACATGTTTTGGCTCCAAGAGGGGAGGGTATGACCAACACCCAGTAATATGGTACACCCCATGCAAGTGCACATGGACTATCCATTGCATTGTTCTCTTCCTGTCTTCCTCTCTCTCTCTCTCTCTCTCTCTCTCTCTCTCTCTCTCTCTCTCTCTCTCTCTCTCTCTCTCTCTCTCTCTCTCTCTCTCTCTCTCTCTCTCTCCCTCCCTCTCTCTCTCTCTCTCTCTCTCTCTCTCTCTCTCTCTCTCTCTCTCTCTCTCTCTCTCTCTCTCTCTCTTTCCTTTTTTAATTATTCCCATGACACCACTCACTGCCGCCAACCCTGGCATGCAGCTGTCGCATGGACGTGCTGAGTTGTAGCAAGGAGGCCAGTGAGTGGGCCTTGCAGGCCTGGACTAACAGTACGGCATGGAGAGCCCTGTGTGATATCGACCATGGTCGCCACAAGCTGATCAGGGTCATCATGGTAGGTCTCACGGTGGCTGCAGAGAGTAATAGTTTTACAACTCCTTGCTGTGTATAGGTTGAGCATTTGCAGGGTACTGCAATGATGCAGCATGCACTAGACAACAGTACGCAGCTAAAGCTTTGCACTACATGTACACTCTCATCCCGCCGTGTTTACCAGTATGTACATGTACTATTGTACACTAGCCGTTGTTCCATGGGCTGTTTTACTAGGGCTCGCCTGTTACTCACCTGCCACCATTATCCGATGATGTGTTGGTGAACCTGGAATTCGCTCAAGAATATTGTACGACTTCTTTTCTTCCCTGTGCTGTGTTGTTTTGTGTTCTGTTGTAGCACGACCGTCCCAGAGTCTTTCCCACTGGAAACCCGGTGGCATTTGAGCCTCAGTTTGTGCGCACAAACTGTTACTTCATTGTGTGGAACACGGCGGAAACAGTAAGCCAATGAGTGACATAATATGTTGTACGTTGTATATTGTATGTTGTATATTGTATGCATCTAAGACTCGTTAGCTGGGCTTTCCCATTGTCAAGCTTCTTCAGAGCGCGATCAACTCCTGTTTGATACCAACCCAATCCACTGATGCCACGCTCCCTCGTCATAGCAGTGTTATTGTCACAGGTACAGCACCGTTACATGCAATGTGATGATGTCATTATGACATCATTATCTCGGGTCACATCAGTAGTATTCAGTACGCAACACAATGCATGCATGCACACACTGCTCACTGATGGAACACACTGGCACGTGATAGTTCATCCTCCGATCACATCTTCTCTCTCATGACCTGCACACTCACACTAACACACAGGCTTCTATGGAGCAGGCACTGAGCGACCTGAAGGAAATCCGCCAACATCAAGCCGATGTTGTTGTGCTGATGATGGGCTGCCTGTTGCAGAAGGATGCATTTGACCACACCTGGGATACTGACTCACATGCTCTGCATGAGAGGACAGTAGTGGAAGTGAGTTGCTGCTGCTGCTGCTGCTGCTGCTGATGATGATGATGCTGGTTCACTGTGATTTTGAGGCCAGCTGTTCTTACAGCAAATGGTTGATTCTTACACAATGCAAATATGGTATATGGTAAACGGATTGCTTGTCCAGTATTATGATGATGGCTACATGTAGTCTTGTTGATCCTTGACTGAGACGTTTCCCCATGCACACCAGACTGACTTTGATGATGTGCGCACAAAGCAATGCAGACCTTGTCGATGACAATGGAAGTGAGCTAATGTTCTTTTTAGCAGTCCGCGTCTTTATGACCATACTGATCATGCCGAAGTCTAGGTTTCTGTGAAGTTGCAATGGCACGCACGTGACCAGTGATTGTATGGTCTTCTTGCACTGCAGGCTATGCTGGCTGATGCGGCTCTAGCAACCGATAACTTGACAATGGCGTTTGCCAGATGTGATGCTGATGTGGAAAGCAACGTGCTGCATCTGTTGTTCAAATCGATGCAGACCAAACTTGATGCTTCGTTCTTCCTACAGGTAACTTCACAAGAATTCTTCTAGTACAGTGTATGCGTTCGAAAAGGCACGTGAGAAATACGGATACATGTACCCAGAACTTGAGGACACGTTTTGGTAGTCTGCTGGTGGTACACGTAATTCATGTGCTTGAGCGTGTGATAGTGAGGACACTGGTGACATGAGAACAGCTTGTTTGCTTGTCCGCATGTCTCACTCTGCAGTAGCGTGGAGGCAGTTGCTGTGTATAACAGTCTGTTATCTGCACATTTCTACATCTGTTCTGTATATAGTACAAACGGCGAGAGGACCGATGAAGATTCTTCGTGCTTTCATTGGAAATCTGGTCCGGCTTTTCCCATAGCGCCCTCCATCTAGGTCTTCCGTAGGGTCATGATAGCATAGGAATGGATTCCACACGCACAGTATTACAGTATTACAGTATTACTGTGAACACACCAGTGTGTGTGGTATGCCGCTGCACCTGCAACAACAGAAAAGTAACCTTTGTGTGTGAATTTACTGTCTCTCTCCTCCTCGGTGCACGTATGCCATGTGTGTGTGTGTGTGTGTGTGTGTGTGTGTGTGTGTGTGTGTGTGTGTGTGTGTGTGTGTGTGTGTGTGTGTGTGTGTGTGTGTGTGTGTGTGTGTGTGTGTGTGCATGTGTGTGTGTTTTGTGTATGTATGTGTGTTTTGTGTATGCATGTGTGTTTTCAGTACCAGTACATTGCCTCGTTCTACGCTAGCTCTCGATTCCTGAACAACATCTGGTCCCTGTCGACTCGTGTGGAGCTGGACCTGGAGATGTGCTTGGAAGCACTTGTGGAAGGGCTGGACATTCACCTGAAGCAGGATGCTAGTCAAGAGATGATAGAGAATTACTTGCAACTGGTGACTGTGTTGACAGAGAGAGGCGCTCCCATAGACCACCTGGGTGTACTGAGCAATGCACATCCGAAGGCTGTCGAGGAGTTGGTGTATCAGTTGCGTATCATCAAGGACCACACGTTGGATTTGTCTGGTCTTCGCCTGCCCACCGTGCACCCGACACGCATCATGGCAATGGCAGAGCTACTGCATCGCGTCGATGTCTCCAACAACCAACTGCACCGTTTGCCGCTGGAGATCTTCCTGCTGCCAAACCTGGTGACATTCAAGGCAGCCCACAATCATCTTCAGTTCTTGCCGGCGTTCCCTCGCTGGAGATGTAGCAATCTTCAAGTGCTGGACGTATCGCACAACGAGCTCATCTGCCCTCTCGACTCACAGGACTACAACAACTTTACCCAGTTCCAACTGAACCCAGCCGACTCATCGGCCGCCACCAGCATGCTGGGTAAATCATCTCTGACGTACATGCCACTAGCATCGGAGCGGCAAGCCAGCCCATTCACGGCATCTACCAGCATGGCATTGGCACCAGAGCCGCCCAAAACGCAAGCGCCTCTTGCATCTCGCCTCCTAAGCAGCTTGAGTGGGCTGCTGTCAACACCGCCAACGGTGAAGCAGATCAAACGTACCACGTGCGTTCCACCCGACATCTTCACCATGAAGAATCTGACCTCGGTCAACCTGCGTTCGAATCGGCTGGAGGAGTTGCCCATTTGGGTGACTATCCTGCCCAAGCTCTGGTCCCTGGACCTGCGCGACAATCCTAACTTGCACAGGCTACCGCCGGAGCTGGCCAGGGCTCGGGGCTTGTTCCTGCTGAGAGTGGAAGGACTGCAGCTGACCAGTCCGCCGCCACAGGAACTGGAGCGGGGCTCCAAGGCAGTGGTGTGCTATCTGCGCAGCCAGTTGAAGCTCAGCATCAGCTACCGTCACATGAAGCTGATGGTTGTGGGTGAGACGGCGGCTGGCAAGACAACTCTCCTCAGCTGCCTATCTGGTGAGGTGAATTCACAGCGCACACACCAAGATGAACTACTTAGTACAGTGGGTGTTAGCATGGGTATGTACACATGTCAGAGACCCCGTGAGGGACGGCGAGGTGGGGACGCTGCCAGCCAGCCCGTCTACTTTCAGACATTGGACTTTGCCGGTCAGCACGAGTACGACAGCACTCACCAGTGCTTCTTCTCACACCGAGCCGTCTACGTGGGTGTGTTTGACATGATGCACGGCTACGATGGTATTGCTGCACTGCGGCCATGGCTGATGAGCATTCAGGCGTGCGCCCCCGGTTCTCCTGTCGTTCTGGTGGGCACTCATGCCGACCTGGCTTCACAAGCAGACGAGAACGACCTGCTTGCAGCCGCCCAGCAGGAGTGCAGTCTTGGACGACCAGCATCCTACTCCTCCAGCCTCGGTCTGCCAAAGATAGTCAGTGTCCATTTCGTGAGTGGCACGACCGGCGATGGGATCAACGCACTTAAGGAGACGATCTACATGGAGGCCGTGCAGCTGACAGATCCGCATAGCATCTTCAAGGAGCCCTACCTGGCACAGATGGTACCAGGCAGCTACTTAGAGCTGCACCAGCGATTGCAACGTGAAGCCGATGCCCTGAAGGCACGCGACTGTTGCCCGGTGATCAAGCACGAGCAGTTGCTGGAGCTGGTCAAGCAAGCACCACCACTGGATATTGAGGACAGCGAGGAGCTGGCACAAGCGTGTCGCTTTCTGCATGGCGTCGGTGTACTACTGCACTATGAGCCACCGCCGACGCGCTGTACGGACCCGCTCTACTTCATCGAGCCACAGTGGCTGAGCAACGCATTGGCCAGGATTGTGACGACGAGAGAGCGCAGCCTGGCGTACCGTGGTCTCCTGTCTACCGGTCATCTGCCGCTCATCTTCAAGGATCTCCTGGTCCCACCAGCGCTGTACTCCAGCTTCATGGACCTGCTGGAGACATTTGAGATTCTAGTACCGCTTGACAAAGATAACACGGTGTATCTAGTGCCGGCGCTGTTACCCAAACAAACAGAGAAGCTGCCAGTGCTCAGCGCCACCTGTTGTGTGGCACGTATCTATGACCTGGCCTTCATCCCGGCAGGCCTGTGGACACGACTCATCTCTCGCCTTGTGGCCTTCTTCGACCTGCAGCCCAGCTCCGTGGACACAGCAAGTGCATCTGTTGACGATGCCGATGCTCCCGTCACCAAGGCACAGAGCAATCTGTCCGCTCCTGCCACTCCCAATCCGACTTTGCAAGCCGCCCAGCAGCAACGCAGGGTATCCAGTCCCAGGAAAGGTGCATCTCTCAGTCTTCCCAACACTCCGCTGCATGCAGCAACCATGGAACCCACCATGACAGACAGTGGTAGCGGAAGTGCTGCTGGTGATGGTGATAGTGGTAGTGATAGAAGTGCTGCTGCTGGTGGTAACTTCGTATCAGTGGCCAGTCATGAGAGGAGCAGCAGCAGCGGCAACAGCACAGCAAGATTGCAGGATGTACTCAACAGACGTCGCAAGTGGCATTGCTGGCAGAACGGTGGCGTATTTTACCTACGCCAGCAACAGCGAGCAAGTGCCAGCACATCTGGGGCACAATCGAAAGTCAGCTCGCAGCTGGAGGAGAACTTCATTGTTGTCCAGGAAGGCCGTCATCCGTGCGAGTTGGTGCTGTTTGTGCAGTCGAATGATTTCCAGTGTGGTGCCGAACTGCTGTCCAACACGGTGACACAGCTTGACACTCTGCTCACAGAATGGTACCCGGGTCTTTGTGAAGAGCCATGTCAGGTACGGATACGGGTAGACTGATGAACGTGTGTGCTGCTTAGACATGTATTGGTACGAGTATGGTGTATAGGTGTGCACACTGACATAGTAATGCAGATAATGCTGCATGATGGAATGAAGTAATTTTCATCCATGTACGGTGTGCAGAGTTGGCATGCATTCACATTAACAATAGTCCACAGCGGTGGATCTAGGTGTATACCGTATTTCCCCGTTTATAAGTCGCACTCGATTATAAGTCGCACCCCCATTTTCAGGGTTGAGTAATATTGATTTGATGTATTGACTTCAGTAGTAAGTCATGCTCGATTGTAAGTCGCACCCCCTTTTTTACCCCTGAATTTTAGTGTAAAAATGTGCGACTTATATTCGGGGAAATACGGGTACTGTATGGTGTTGGCGTGCACAGCGGCGGCTCTAGGTGTATACAGTATACTGCATGGTGTTGGTGTGCCCTCCGTCATCATGCTGAACAGTATGCAGTGGCCCTTGTTTGTATTATGCTCTTTACACCGGCAATACAGACAACAGTGAAGCAAGACCAGCTAGCTAGCCTTGCTCCACTGGTGTACTACACGCTGTCCATACGGCATCCCAGCACTCTTAGCACACTGGGTGCATCCTCTCTCTATTATGCTGTTTACTATCTACCCGTGTTCTTGGTGTTTCCCTGTGTACATGTGTGATGCGTGATGTGTGTATGCGTGCGTGCGTGTGTGCTTGGGTGCGTGCGCGCGTGCTCGTGTGTGTGTGTGTGTGTGTGTGTGATGTGATGTGTGTGAAGGTTGAGCAGTTCATCCCATGTCCCAGTTGCATGCGCCTGGCCAGTCAGATGGCCGCACCGCCGGCTAAGCTGGTGGAGTGCTCGCATCTCTACACGATCAACGAATGTCTGGAGGCGGCGCAGAGCGGTCAGTTGACATTGCCATGCCCGGCGTGCGGCTGCGAGCAGAAGATCAGCGACATGGCCCCGGACCTGACGCTATGCGACCTGCCGTGTGTTGTTTCCATGACTCTTAATGAGCACATGCTGTTGGACAAGGACGAGAGAAACTGCCTGGGCCGCGGCGCATTTGGAGAGGTGAGTACATGGAGTGCCAACTCTGCGTCCCAGAGCAGTTGAGCAGCTTAGCATATCTAACGAAGCTCATCGATAAGTAACCTGTAATATTGTAGTAGTGCACCTTCGAGATGTATTTTCTTTATAATTCCTTCAATGCAGGCCAAAAATCTGCAATGCGGTTTGTAACTTTAAAAAAGGACTTGACATGCAGTTGCAGAATACATGTGTCCACTAAATGTGTACAGAGTGCAAGGTGACTACAACATACAACTTGCATAGGAATAAAATCTGTGTGCATGTGATCTGTGTGTTCATGCACAGGTGTATGCTGGTTTCTGGCAAGGCGCCGCTGCGGCTATCAAGCTTGTCTTACCCGAGGAGGGTAGGAGTGCAAGCAGTGAGGTGGTTCAGCTCTACCAGGTACTGCGCGACGAAGCAGATATCATGTCACGCTTGCACCATCCGCGAATACTAACCCTTCTTGGTGAGTCGTTGTGGGGTGATGCTGATGTCACAAAACCTGAGTTTTGAGTTTATAGAAACGGTACATGTACTGTTGTGGACATGGAAATCCGGGAAATCCCCGGTTGAGAAGGCAAGCGGCCACGCCGCATGCTGGCCTTGGAGCCGCCGTGAGCACTGCTGCTCCATTTCTTACGGTGTGTATTGTGGACTTCGTGGACTGGTACAAGCAACATGTCATACCTGGCATTATGCCCATAACTGCATGAGTGCTGCACTTATTTACATGCTCCCCACCAAGATTTGGTTCTTATTTACATGCTCCCCACCAAGATATGGTTCTTATTTACATGCTCCCCACCAAGATATGGTTCTTATTTACATGCTCCCCACCAAGATATGGTTCTTATTTACATGCTCCCCACCAAGATATGGTTCTTATTTACATGCTCCCCACCTATAGATATGGTTCTTATTTACATGCTCCCCACCTATAGATATGGTTCTTATTTACATGCTCCCCACCTATAGATATGGTTCTTATTTACATGCTCCCCACCTATAGATATGGTTCTTATTTACATGCTCCCCACCTATAGATATGGTTCTTATTTACATGCTCCCCACCTATAGATATGGTTCTTATTTACATGCTCCCCACCTATAGATATGGTTCTTATTTACATGCTCCCCACCTATAGATATGGTTCTTATTTACATGCTCCCCACCTATAGATATGGTTCTTATTTACATGCTCCCCACCTATAGATATGGTTCTTATTTACATGCTCCCCACCTATAGATATGGTTCTTATTTACATGCTCCCCACCTATAGATATGGTTCTTATTTACATGCTCCCCACCTATAGATATGGTTCTTATTTACATGCTCCCCACCTATAGATATGGTTCTTATTTACATGCTCCCCACCTATAGATATGGTTCTTATTTACATGCTCCCCACCTATAGATATGGTTCTTATTTACATGCTCCCCACCTATAGATATGGTTCTTATTTACATGCTCCCCACCTATAGATATGGTTCTTATTTACATGCTCCCCACCTATAGATATGGTTCTTATTTACATGCTCCCCACCTATAGATATGGTTCGCTACTTGCAAGTGTACTAGTAATTGAAAACAGTTCGCAACAAAGGGTCAATGTTGTAGGGGCTAAAAGTTAAAACAGGGACATGGTTCGTTATTCATCACAAAGTTTGCTACATGTAACTTACATCCGAGTTTCTTATAAGTGGAGTTGACTGTACTTACCGCATCAGTTACCAGCATCAGTGCCGGTGGTTGGAAAGAGACAGGACATTACGAGAAGAGCAGTGTAATGCTTCTGCCGACAGGCATGCCCCACTTGAACGCTCAGATAGCTGTATTGTGTGTGTGTGTGCATGTGCCCGGTCTGACTTACCTGTGTGTACAGGTGTGTGCCTGTCACCTAGCGCCGTAGTGCTGGAGCTGGCACCGCAGGGAACGCTGCGTGATGCCGTGCGCAAGCGTAACGGCCTGTCCTGCTCGCTGGTTCATCGTATCATCAGGCAGGTGAGAGCCGCCACTACACAACTACTAGTACAAACTTTCTGTCTTGTCTTTCCTTTCCCTTCTGGTGTTGTTGTTGTTGTTGTTGTTGTTGTTGTTGTTGTTGTTGTTCCTCCTCCTGCTGTTGCTGTTGCTGCTGGGGATGATGGTGTTGTCAACTTGTTGACACACTGTTTGTAATTGCAGGCAACACAGACTTAGAAGTTCATTTGATTTGTTCATCGATTATGAGGAACAGCACTCATTGTCACTTTATCAGTGAGCAACCATATTCATACTTCATAGACATTCTTTTAGCGGACCTGTCACAATCCGGATGTACGTGAAATGCTCATTTCTAAACATGAGGACAAAGGCGATTGACAGCCAGCAAGAAGGAAGTAATAATTATTTGGAATCAGTTATGATGTTGCAAACTGCATGCCCGCATGTACAACGGTGCACTACAGATTGCTCAAGGCTTGCAGTACTTGCATGAGAACAACATCATCTTCAGAGACCTAAAGCCGGATAACGTCCTGGTGTGGTCCATCGAATTGCCAACCGTACGCCAGCACCATCCAGCACAGACGCCGACAGCATCAACCGCGGCGGTGTTCGCGGAGCCACGTCCCCGCTCACGTAGCGTATCGGCATTGAAAGGTGGCGTGTGCGTCAAACTGGCCGATTACAGCCTGGCCAAGTACGCGTCCAGCGGCGGTACTCTCCTCCAGGCTAAAGGTACTATCTTGCTCAGTGTGTTCAGTTGTTAGTTAGGGACGGTGCACAATCACCTGTGTTGTTAGTTAGGGATGGTGCACAATCACCAGCAGGGGCGTAGGAAGCAGTTTAATATTGGTGCGGCGAAATTGTGAGAGGGGGTCCGGGGGTCCTCGCCCGGGATTTTTTTGAAAATTGGGCCTAAAAGGCCATCTTTTAATGCTACAGAATAATATGAGAAATAAGAATATGCATGCTGATGATACACCGCATTGTCGATGTAAAACATGATACCTGTACAAGAGTCGACAAGCCATCAACAAGGTTGAAATGTAAAAAAATAAAATGAAAAAATTCGAAAATTATTGGTCCGGCAACCGCCGGGCCTGTCGGACCGGTTCCTACGCCCATGACCAGTGCACCATGGGTTTCTGTTGACAAGTTGTCGGTCGGAAATTCTTGGTCCCTGGATATTGTGGATACGCTTCTTCAACTGTTCTGCACATCTGAGCGTTACATCATCATCTTGGGTCAGGATGTGCCCGAACATGTTTGTGTTTCATAGCAGGATCTCAGATACAATGTACAATGTATGCGAATACCGGTAATCCTATAGACAACTTTGCAAATAACAACCTTGGATTTAGCAACAACTCGCAAATAACTACAATATCGTCAGACCGAGTAGCCGCTTGACTGCATACGGTTAACCTCACGAATAACAACCACTCGCGAATAACGACAACTCGCGAATAATGACAACTCACAACACTTTTCTCATGGCCGATCGAGGGGTGTTATTCACAAGATTGACTGTATGGTATGTTGATATGTGTGCACAGGTACAGAAGGCTATATGGCGCCGGAGGTGGTGAGTGGCTGCATGGAGCGAAGATTTGCCTATGACTGCAAGGTGAGAGCCAAACATACCATTTGCTGCAGCACATGTGCTAGAAAACATATAATACTAGAATAGAAAAATGCTGGGAAGAGATCAATTTTACGTTTGGTTAAAACTGTTTTGAGGATGATCATAGGAAAAGCTATGCTGCGGGACATGAGTACATGTATAAGTGTGTTAGAAATTGAATGGTGCATTGGATCTCATGAAGGTTTAACTAAAATGAGCTCCGGTATGTTGTGGAGTAGGATGTGGTTATATCTACTTCAAAGTACTTGGGAGACAGCGTAAGACCATAACTTGTTAGTGCCCAAAATAATGTGTATTTTTACCCAGGAGTTGGAAGCTCCGCATGATCTGCGGTCTGTGCCAGTCGTGAGCGCGATTGTGACTTGCTAGCCCCCAAAGTGGCCCAGAGCGCAATGCCACGCGTGAGTGTGCACAAATCCGCCCTGCCCCGAGGGCGACTAGAGCGGGCAGCCTGGGAGCGAACCCCACTTCGTTTCACTTTCCACTCGTCCGGGTCGTTTTCGGCCCTAACGTTAGATGCTACTTGCTGGTGTAGAGTAAACCCTGTCACCATGGTTACCAGGGACTATTGGACCATTCTGATACAGTTTCCATGTATGGCAGAGGACCACGCGGTGTCATTTCCAGTCACACCGCCCTAGCTAGATAAAGGGGACCACTTGTACACAGAGAACCCGTCCGGGGGCTTCTTGAGCGGTGATCAGCATGGATAGGTCTCACTGTGTAGTGCTGGCAGCTAGATTGAGTGCATTTGTTACTTCTTACAATGTAAGTTGACTGCAGCGTCTGATTTGGACTTATTATGTGTTGCAGGCGGACCTCTTCTCTCTCGGCGTGGTTATGTTTGAGTGTGTGGTCGCTCAGCGGCCGTTCTGGCAGCTCGGGAAGTGGAAGTTCATGGAGTACGCCCAGGAGGGCCGATGTCCGTCCATGAAGAAGGGACTGGAAGGTAAGAGAATACACCGTCCTCCGCAATTACCTGTTGGCTATGGCATGGAGCTCGGCTTGCACTAAGCAAATTTTGCATAGCTTTGGCAGCTGGCAGGTTACAGTTTGTTAACTTCCATGTACAGTCAAACCTGTCGTAAGCGACCGCCCCTTAGTGCAAGAAAAAGCGGTCTCTTACGGCAGATGTATGGTAAATCCGGCATACCGGGCATGCATATATGCTTCCATGTACAGTCAGTATCGCCTATAGCGTTGGTGTTTGATTTTGAGCATTTTATCACTATAAGCGATATATTACTATGACCGATACTGCATGCAATGTATGCGAGTGGGGTGTCAAACGACTCAGCGCGCCGTGCACATACGCACTACATACATGTACAATGTCATGTTGCTGGCTGTAGCTCCTGACACACAAAATCAGGATTTCCTCATGATGGAGGCATATTTTGGCAACTTGTACAAGCAAAACTCACCAAACAACACTCACTGGACAAGTTCTTCACGAAGAAGTAACACCCTGTTCTCCTCTGACATCGCTTGATTTTTCATCAATCACTATAACCAATGCAAAATAGTGTGATAAACATCTTTTGAAATAGGAATTTGATCACTATAGGCGATATATTACTATAGACGATTATTACTATACGCGATAACTGTGTATACTTAGTTATGGCAAATGAAAATGAATTTGAGAAATTGATCACTATATCCGGTATATTACTATAGCCGCCAACCTTATAGGCGATACGGACTGTACTCAAATCGACGAGAATAATGTGATTTTTAATATCATTTTATTGGATATTCAATAGAATATAGTGGTGCACAAACCCAAGAATAGTGCACATACCAGGGCTAATCTTGAGAGCTACAGCGCAGCCTCAGTACAGGCCAGGGCCAGTTGATCGCACTTGCAAGACAGCGCATTTTCACACCTTGCAGTTGACAGCGCACTGGCAAGTACAGTTTCGCACCTGACTGAACCTGGGTCGCGGTCGCTTACAGCAGATTTGAATGCAGCCATTGTGCATGAAATCGCGGTCGCTGGTCGCGCACAGCAGATGGTCGCTCTGGACAGATCAGTTTGTATGTGAAACCGTCGGTGCATGGAAAATCGGTCGCTAACGGTAGATGGTCGCCTACAGCAGAGGTCGCTAACGACAGATTTGACTGTATATCATTAGCACCGTGTGTGGATACAGACAGATTGTGTATCTGCAGCAGCTCCAGCCAGCTTGTGTGACTAGTGGGAAGAATGTTGGAAAAGCACCCCAGCGACGTCAACTATGATGTCATCACCTTGAGTTTGTGATGGCCATTTTCTTGGGTGTATGTTATTTCAACTTATTTGTTCGTATTTCGTATTCATGCCCAGGCTACGGTGATGAGCGTAGCGTGGATGAAACCACCAACCCAAGTGAAGCAGACCCGCTACGCATGAGCAGCAACTCATCCACCGGCAGTGCAGAGAAGCTGGACCGTGACGGTGATGGTGCACGCGTGGCGGACTCTGACACCGTGTCTCTCAGCTCGCTGTACTCGGTCAAGACGGCGACCGACCTGGATGATCCAGACGGTGCGGTTGTAGTCTCCTCTCTCTATTCTCGTGTAGTGTACGTGAAGAGGGCGAGTAGCAGTGATCTCCGAGATGACGAACAGGTCAGCAATAGCGGTGATGATGCCAAGGACAATGCCGAGGATGAAAGCGAGGACGAGTCATGCCTGGAGCTATGCATGCAGTCATTGCTACGCCGCTGCATGACAGCACGCTCCCACCTGCGGCCAAGCGCGCAGGAAGTGGCACAGCTGATGGCCGTATGTCACGGCACTACTGACCCAGCGGACACAATGCAGATCAGCTGCGAAACTGGCCTGGCTCACTTTGCCGCCGAGCCACCGCATTCGGTTAACAAAACGCATCGCATCTGGTCATGCGCCGGTAATGAAACACGCCTGGTGTGCCTCTCCTTGCCTGGCATGCGGATCAAGTCGGCACAGTTCTCTAACCCGGCCAGCAAGAACTCCACTGAGCTGAGTCCCGCGTCCAGATTCAGCGCAGTGGCCTGTACACCAATGCCACGACGACGTGGTCAGCGCGTGTCCGCCGGTGCTCTCGTGTGGTTGGCAACACTGAGCGGACATCTAGTGGCTCTGAACGGCGATAGCATGCAGCTTGAAGGGTTCGCACGGCTGCCGGCAAGCGTTGTCAGCATGGTGATGCTGCCAAGTGCGACCGTCAAGCGTCACAACCACAGCAGCAATGACTTGCTGATGGTGGTGGGTCTACTCGATGGCCGTGTGGCTGTCATCAAGGCCACACAGAAGGACGGCCACCTCAAGGTCGCCCTGTGGGAGCAACTGAACGTCACCTGTGTTGCCACGGGCATGCACGCCGTTTCTTGTATAGCCATGGCGGCCAATCGCAAAGTTCTGTGGCTAGCGCATGGCAGTAAGATCATCGCTGTCGACGTGGCACAGCTGAGTAAGCTGCGCTCCTGGGAGAGCGGCCATCAGGGTGACTTCCGTCGCGGAGGTGTTCGTTGTTTATGCCCGGTCAATGTGTCCGGTCTTGACAGCTTCTCGTTGTCTGTGGATGTGGATGAGAGTGCTGGTAACGCTGGCGGTGGCGGTGGCGGCAGTGCTGCTAATGTCCAGGACTGCAGTCAGCCGGTTCTGTGCAGTAGCTTTCATCGCTGCAGCACTGTACGCCTATGGAATAGCCAGGGCCAGCTGCTAGCAGAGATCAACTGCGAGTAAGTGTAGATCCCTCAAGTGGCTGTATGCTGTACATGTAGTGTGGTCAGCGTATGGGGTTGATATCCGATGTGTAGATCTACTCTACACACGATGTGCATTGAGCAGTGTATTCGACCTGCCTTGATCTTCAGCCCTGTTTGTGTATCTACACGTGATGATCTTACCACTATACTATGCCTGGGTACAGTACTGCTGGCTAGCTATTCTCCAGTTGCAAGCAATGGAATCTAGGCCGATGTACATGTGCATGTTTAGCACCGCGAGGTGTGTGTGTGTGTGTGTGTGTGTGTGTGTGTGTGTGTGTGTGTGTGTGTGTGTGTGTGTGTGTGTGTGTGTGTGTGTGTGTGTGTGTGTGCGTGTATGTATGTTAGCAAGCATTACCTTCACCGGGGGCAGGGGTAACTGCAGTTGGATCCCGGGACGGATACCCTGATGCCGTCAATCCTTTTTCTGCACCTTGTCCTCACCCACTTACTGAGGTGTGGTGAGCCCATAAGTGGGATAATTTTCCAAGTCCACCCATAGTTTGGGGATTTCAGGGGGTGTCGGCCGTTGAGCGGTTTAATAGCCAATTGAGTCATCTTTCGAAGATTCCTTTTGAGTCTCTCTCCTTTCTCCCAAGGGGAGACCCACGTGGCCAGTAATGGCAGTGAGCAAGTACATGTATGTATGTGTGCGTGTGTGTGTGTGTGTGTGTGTGTGTGTGTGTTTTCTACAGGGATAGTCTCCCTCAAGACAAAGAGCGGTCAGCAAAGTTAGCAAGCCAAGTAGTGTGCCTGTACAGCTACGACCAGTATCTCTGGGTCGGCACTCGCTCGGGATATCTCCTCGTTTACGACATTGTCACGCACAGTCTGATCACGGCAGTGCGGTATCACTCGCGTGTCAACTGGATTGGAGCAGCGGCACGTGTTGCGGAGAACCCCAAGCATAGCGTGTGCAGTGTTATTGTTTGCGGTGAGCCGCTGCGTGACATCACACCACAGCCCGGTGGCAGTATGGGTAGTCCGGTGGTGAGCAGCCCACCACCACCTTTAGTCTCCGCTAGTCAAGTTCAGGATGGCGGCGGTGCAAAGTTTGTACAGCTGGATCTGCTTCTGGACTAAGCGCACCCATATGTACATGCAGTGTCATGATGGCGCCACTACTGCAGCTACAGCCTGCACACAAACGCCTAGTACTCTCCGTACCATTCGGGTCTCTGAACCTTCAAGTGCATATTGGGCATTTATAGGCAAAGATTAGTTTAGCCCATTATCATCATCATGTATGCTGTGATCAGTTTAGCCCATTATCATCATCATGTATGCTGTGATCAGTTTAGCCCATTATCATCATCATGTATGCTGTGATCAGTTTAGCCCATTATCATCATCATGTATGCTGTGATCAGTTTAGCCCATTATCATCATCATGTATGCTGTGATCAGTTTAGCCCATTATCATCATCATGTATGCTGTGATCAGTTTAGCCCATTATCATCATCATGTATGCTGTGATGATCTTTTCACTAAGGGACTCACTATACTGATACACTTGAGGAAAACATTCCTTGATGCATTTGCTGGCTGACATGTACATCATTTCCCCAACACTTGTGTAATGCTTGCGTTGAGTGCGTGCACACTGCACACGTACATATTGCTTTTTTCATTTCTGTTTTTGTTAAAATAAAAAAATCAATATTGCAGTGTCCCTGATCTGCAGTCTCACCAGTACACTACGAGCGTACCTCCACTCACCAGCTTATAACACATACATGGCTTAGTGCTCTTCCTGTGTTTGAGGTTTGAACTATATTATAAAATATTTTTTATTACTTTAAGGCTAGGTTTCCAATGGCATGGCAGGCCCATGACCGGATGACCAGACACGTTCACATGAGTATAATATCCACACAGTCTCCGTCTGCCCTTGTGTATTGCTTTACTATAGATATCGTCAAATTATTACTTTTTCCTATCCGATATTGGGCCAATGGCTATAATAAAATACTAATACAACTTTTTGAACGTTTGGCAGTGACCTAAACGGCCGGGGCAGTGCATGCTGTGAAGATCTGAACATTTCCCCAGGGAAATGATTACCGGTACAGTCAGACCTCGCTTATCCGGTCCTCGTTTATCCGGATCCCTCGCCATCCGGAAGATAATCACTGCTTACCGATTTACAGCATATGACATGCACACATACAGTGTGTGTGTTCGATTATCCGGTTCCCTCGCCTATCCGGATTTTTTTCTGGAAAACGGATGTGTGCGGTTTTGCGAGGTCTGACCGTACCACATTTTGAGAGAAGGTTTTTAGAAGGATAGAGAATTCTGCCTAGTATAAAGTGGCCCTGACATAACAGAGCCAGTTTCTCTGACTACTAGTAACACATACCCATGTTACATGATAAATATTATTATTGATACATGTAATGGCTTCATGTAGTATGACTAATCTCCCACAAGAGCTCAGGTTTCGCCGTGCAGACGAACAAACACAAATGGTGAAATCCAAGGTGCATGCTATTGGACTTGCAAAAAAACGTGTGCGCAGAGGTTGAATACGCTCTGGCTGACGTCTCACATACCATGATCCCAATAGCCATGGATACGTAACTGCGAGGAATCGGGTTGACCTGACCGTGTGCGTGTTCTACGTCTTGCTGAACTTACATGCGATCCTGGATTGCTGTGGTAGAATGTCGTGTGGTGGTTCATACCACATGTGCTGCAAGAAGCTCCAAACTCTTCCCAGGCAGGCAGGAGTGTGGCAAGTACACTATAGACCGAGTTGAATACACGTTTGCTACGCTTACTCACCCCGGTCTACATGCATGTATCCGGCAGGCTTTTCAGCCTAGGCCACTACGTACACGCTTCCATACAGATGCAGGTAATACGGGACTTACTGTCTGCTTGAAGTATATTCTATTTTCCCCATTACTCAGCTGTTATCTTCTCTATTATAATATTGCAGTCAGTCAGTAGGGGGGGGGGGGTTGACTTTGTACATGACTTTGTACATGACATTGCACAGTAGATCTACACATGATACATTACAAATGACTGTAAGTGCTGTACAATGTATTTGACAAGTTAGTTACATGACTCACTCACCTGTTCAGTTGACATTTTCATTTTGTCCTCGCTCACTCACATACAGTGATTAGGTGCCAAGATTAGTAGAGTACTCGATGAAGACTAACAAGAATACTAGTATACCCGCTGTCATACAAGACCAACCTGAACCCAAACAGCTACTAGTAATTGAAAGTGAATGTGCAACTGCACATTCAAGAACAAAACTGGATCATCAATCGTGACTTCGACGATTCGAATTTGGCAATTTTTTACCGCGAAAATACAATAACAAAGGAAATTCTCCGCGTGAAGCTCAAACGAATAAAATCAGTTCGACTTCGAACTTTTATGCTCATCTTGAGTTTTCATTGGAATGGTAGACGAAGCAGCTGTTGTATTTTGAAGTCTAACATAGTCGATGATGGCGATGAGTGACGGTCCTATCCTGCTGGTGTGCGACTGCTGCGATGGCGAACCAGAAGTCTCATCTGTGTTGAAAGGTACTAACTACAGTGGTACTCAGATGCTGAAAGTCTCTACTTTGAAGCGATTACTCGTCTATTGGCAGAAGGGGGGGGGGGGGGGGGGGGGTCTATAAGCCTTTAGACTAGAGACATTATCTCCATCCATACTAAATCATGCCAGTAAACACAACAAAAAGCAACCACACAAAATTGACCCATAATTTTGAATTTTGAATCATGACGAAAATGTTCATTTTCCAGCAATCGGGAGCCTGTTGTCACAGACCCCTGAGCTGCCTCACTTTTGTGTGCACCATCCACCTTTTGGACCCACGATAAGCCGTGTGTTGGAGGCTTGGAATTGCCAGCCCTTGGTGCCGTATAGCAGTATTTTAAATTCTATTTCTCACTACTGGTACAGTACTCCCTCTGTTTGATGGACTTCAACCAATGAAATTCACAGCTACAGTACATGACTACTAGTATTGTACTAATACACTGTACATACAAAGGGACCCTGCTATGTAGTGTGATGAGCAAGTTACTGTGTATGTGCCTAGTCTAGTGCTATACTGTGAGCAGTGCTGATTTTAGATCTTATGGTCGAGTAGAATTTCCAGGATTGATATGCAATGCAGGTGAAACCTGCCTAAAAGAGACCACCTGGTTTTAGCAATCACATGGGCTGAACGACAACTGTTGTTCGGCACAGAGTGTGTGGAATATGCATGAGTCACCTGGGTACCGTGTGTTGCAAGACCACCATGATTGTGCTGGCAGTCCCATCGGTGGTTGGTGGCTGCTGAAACCATGCATCACCGTCACATGTAACATAGCTAATATTGCTGTGTGCACACTCATTTGGGGATATTCAGTTGAAACACGTCTGTGCATTTGTCCAACTGCCACGCTTTTCCACCCTGCTGCAGGCCTTCTGGGTGTTGACCAGCTGCCTGCGTCTAGACAGCCATGCAGTGAGATCAGAGAGTACACACGCACACTGGATAACAAGTACTACACGGCAGACATCAACGTTCAGCATCTGCTGCCGTGCCCCGCGCGTCCATGCCCCAGCGTTGCTGACAGTCCTGTCGAAGCACTGCTGGTTACGTTTGATGCTGGCAAGGTACAGTGCGGTGTACACATCTGAACACACAATATTGAAACAATGTGGACTAGGGCATCTAATACGGTATTCACAAACACCTATCGTATCGCCAGTATTGCTGGCCGTTGACTGTATTCACGACTAATTGGGTTGTTCAGAGTCCACTCTTGAGTATTGTGATATGATAGCTATTGTGTATCCTGGATGCGTTGACTCTACGTGTATGTATGAGCGGTGCTGTGCAATAGTGCATGTGGCTCAGTAGACATTACTGGTGAAGTATGCTGCACTCAGTGGTTGTTAGGTGTGTTGCTGTATGCGGAATGAGTTTGAAGACTCCACTGCAGCTGTATCCATGGTCGAATGAAATGGTGCTAAAACCACACCTTGTATCTGACATAGCAGGCTGGTCCAGATGCCACCAGCTATGCATCAACCAGGCGCCATGTGTCAACTGATGGTCATGGTGGTGATGGTGAGAAGAAAAGCTCTGTGACAGAGTGTAGCTTTGCAGCTTAGAGAGCTTGTGTGGGAAGGCGTGTATTTACCACCATATCGCCAGGTGTGTCTTTACTACCATATTCCAACCATAAAGACAGCTGCAGTGGAGTCTTCAAATCCATTCTCCTGGTTCAAGCTTCGTCCGAATACTTCCGCCAAGATGAAGAGTACCTGATGAGTCTAGCGGGGATGAACTGTACCTCACAATCGAGCCAAGCTGTATCTGTGTCATCTTCTATGTACCATGGGCTACCTGATGTACCGGCCCGTTATGTCAGATACCACCAGCCATGCACCAACCAGGCGCCTGTGCGAGCTGATGTGTGCTGAGAAGGAGAGCTCTGTGCCAGCGTGTAAGTTTGCAGCCTAGAGAGCCTGTGTGAGTAGGCGTGTATTTACGACCATATCGCAAGGTGTGTCTTTGTTGGTGTGGGGCAGCGTTTTAATCTTTGTATCGCCACTGCTCCCTGTGCCACTCTCTGATGCTCTTTACGTGTACAGACATCCAGCTGGGACGATGCAAAGAAGTGGGCAAGCTTTGCAGAGGAACGTGACCTGGACATTCGCCTGCTTCTATGTGACCAGGTAGCGTCATCATCAACGACAACGCGCACTACAGAGGGTGATGGCCAGGAACGTGGTGCCGACGTAGTAGTATTGGACAAGGAGACTTGTCAGACCTGGTGCATTCAGAATGGCTTTGAACTGGTCGAGATGAGACCCCTGGACGATGATAGTGGTGCTGAAAGTGATGATGAGGAAGGTATGCAGCTATGGTGTGTTATGCTGCTGCGGATACAGCCATGTGTTATCGTCATTACTACTTGTGCACACGTTCATTCCCCGATGGCGGTTGCTTATGATTGAACAGTTATCTGTCCAGACCCTCTGTTCTGATGCTGAGGAGCAGGGCTGTCTTTTGCTGAACTTTGTTCACCCATATCTACTGGCAGTATCCATGAGTTCATTGTCCTCCACGGGAATAGTCTTTCCTGAAACTCTGATTACCATCCTGTTTGTTCTGCTGCAGGATTTGGTAAGGAGTTGAGGGGAGTGGAGCGCTGTGTGCAAGTTCTCAACTCTCACCAGTGGACAAACCTCATACTAAAGGAACAAGGTAATGTCTCTGTATGCCTCTCTCTCCCTCTCTCTCCCTCTCTCTCTCTCTCCCTCTCTCTCTCTCTCTCTCTCTCTCTCTCTCTCTCTCTCTCTCTCTCTCTCTCTCTCTCTCTCTCTCTCTCTCTCTCTCTCTCTCTCTCTCTCTCTCTCTCTCTCTCTCCCCCCCCCTTCGATGCTGACTTCTGGATCCGGCATAACATCATACAGACCCAGGGTATGTTGTCACTGCGCAGGTAATAATACTAGGACTATGCTTGAAAGTGCTACATCACAGCCGGCCCATGAAAACGTCGTCTTTTGTAGTGTTGGTCATGGAGCCCTAAGTGTGTAGATCTATGTGTAGGGCTCCCTGGGTCTGGATCTTGTTACTTGTATGCGGGATCCGTACACCACTACACGTTTACATAAATATAAAGTCATTGGTTGGTTTTCCTTCACACTACTCAGTAGGGTGACACATCCCTCAGTACTAGTAGTAGTGGACGGGCCCTCCCAGTTGGGGACCCATTCCTTGTACAGAAAAAAAACACTCACACCTGCATCATGTGCATGCGATGACACGAAGGGCCCACCCACCACATCCTAGTATGGGTAGCATCAAGAGTACATGAAAACCTCTTGGTAGCATGGATTCAGAAGTCGTTCTTTGTCGTTTTTTTTCAATACGTCTGACGTCCATCACTTTCAAGCCCTATTAAAACAGTGATTACACGGGTAATACTGACATGTGCAAGACCAGTTCATACATGTACATGTATTGTATTTCTCTCTGTCTCTCTCTCTCTCTCTCTATCAATCTCTGTTTCTCTGTCTCTTTCTCTCACTCACTCTCTCTCTCTCTCTCCGAGTCTCTCTCTCTCTCTCTCTCTCTCTTTCTCTCTCTCTCTCTCTCTCTCTCTCTCTCTCTCTCTCTCTCTCTTTCTCTTTCTCTTTCTCTCTCTCTCTCTCTCTCTTTCTCTCTCTCTCTCTCTCTCTCTCTCTCTCTCTCTCTCTCTCTTCTCTCTCTCTCTCTCTCTCTCTCTCTCTCTCTCTCTCTCTCTCTCTCTCTCTCTCTCTCTCTTAGTTCTTGTACTTACCTGTACTCTACTACAGTTACAATGTGAGCTGGTGACTACTGCTACTGCTATGCGTGTAACGGCATTGCGAGAATGTTCATGTTGTATTGCTTTATGCTTGTCGTCAACAGATAGCAGAGGAAGGCATGCGGCAGCGCGGGAAGAAGCTTCTGGCACGTCATCTGCTGCCGCTGGTGCAAAACGTATGGCATTACAATAAGGATGTGTTTGTTGTTCTTGTATTTTCGAGCTCCTGATGATGGATGTTGGGATGAAGAGATGTTGAATCTTTGAACATAGTGATGAAGGGAACTCAGTCCAGTAGAGTCCTCGCCAGTGAAACATATCCATTGCTACTCTGGGTTTCATGACCTTAGTCAATCAACAGGCAACATAACTAACTGAGGCAGGGGCATACAGATCACTGCAAGGTATACTGGCCAGAATTACAGCAAGCGCAAAAAGAAAAGAAAAACAGGTGTGAATTGAGAATTGCGGGCACCTACCGAGGTGCTAAGGCAATGGCGGGTAGCAGTGGTGTCAATAACACTCTGCAGACTGGAGGCTGTGGGGTGAGAATGCAGGTGCTAAGTAGAATAATGGTGGGTAGCAGCAGCGGTGGTGGTGGTATCGACCCTGCCACCTTGCACATTAGTCCTGTGTGAACACCAGTGAGCAGCAGAGTGTTATCTACATCACTACTTTCCACTCCGAGTAGCAGCGCATATGTTTCATTGGGGGGGACTCTACTGGACCGTGTGTACTTGCTCTAGTGCTTTTCAGTACCGTTGAGCACTCTTCACGCTGGACTGGGTCTACTCCTCTTGTAATAGTGACGGAGGAAATGTGCTGATTGCTATGGAGAGAGCTAAGATGAGGCTTTTCGCCTAGAACTGCTTACTGCAACCACATGTAAATACCGTGTCGTGTATAAAAGCCGCGACTTGTGACTTTTTTTCCGGGAAATTTTGCAGGCTTCTATACAAGACAGGTATTTCTATGTATGTCAACACTTAAACCAGGCTTTTGTGGCGACAGTGTATGTATCATTCTTGATAATCGGGCTTCTATGTAAAGACAGGCTTTAATACAAGACACTACGGTAGTTTTGATATTGTTTTGGCAAAATGTATACAATCATACACACTTACGTGGATGTTGTGTTACAATAAAGTTGAATAAACTGGACCAAGTCCAACCAACGTGCTCTGTTCATCTGTGATCTTTCTGTGCAGCGGTAAGTTTGCAAGACTTAGAGAAGCTGCATGCCGAGAAAGCCAACGAGAACAGGCAGAGGGACGCATCATCCTCGGCAGCTGCTGCCACCACCTCCGAAAATGGTTTAGACGAGTCTGCACTGGATGCCGCTGCCAATGGAGCAGGTTAGTGATCATGATTTAGCAGCCTGCTGAAAGGCTTGGGGTTGCCGTGCCGTCAGCATATGTTCTTGGGCTCTAAACGACTTTCAAACTCCTAGAAAGCTTGAGGAATCGTTAGTGGAAGTGGTGGCACTCTACTGATAACTGTGTTACTTCACGTGCGCTACATGACTGTACAGTGCATTTCAAAACTATAGACGCGTAGGGTTTTTGAAATATTTCAAATTTGGCTGGAACTTTTTGAGAATAGTTTTCGGAATATTGCTCAGGACCGCTCCACAATTACTCTCATATAGTTTCTAAACGATTGGATAACAGACGCCCACTTTGGAAAAATTTATGCACAAAGTGATCACAGATTTTATGTGGTATAGATGCTGGCATAACGGTTTTTGCCTAGGTACGCGTCTATAGTTTTGAAATGGACTGTAGTATTTAGGACCAGTGCATAGACGGACTCCCACTACCAACACATCATCCTCATAGCATAGAGTCCAAGCAATGGGCTACACAAGATCATTATCCATGACTCAAAAATACCCACTTTGTGATGTGTATCTGCTACTTGTACAATCATGTATTTCCTGAATTCTAATTATCTGTGGAGAATCTCAGGGTCACTGAACCTGGCTGTATGAAATATAGAGGTAATAAATTTCACTTGCCTCCATTACACTAACAGTGCTGCCCTAGACAACAAGGTGTGTTTGATGCCATCACTTTCTACAAGTACCCTATGCCCTGCCATGTCTGACTGCGGCTGTCCGCAATAGGTGCTGGTACACCTCTCTCATGAGTGGATCGAGTTTGCCAAGTTTTTGCCCCGTTTTCCGACTCTTGTGGTGTTTAGGCTCGATGGCGGGGTGTTCGGAAGATGAATTCAGCCAGCTTTTCGAGAAGTTTGGAGCCATGAAAAGTGAGTGTGTGCCCGTGCCAGTCTGGTATTGTCCATTTGCACATTCCGTACACGTGTGCTGTGTGTGATGTGAGAGACTGAGCTGCGTCACATTTTTGGGGTGTTGGCGGGGGACACTCATACTGTGTTCCTTCACAGCAGCGTGAGACATCCTCCAAGAGTGACTGGGCTGGGTGTCCCCGGTCGGGGACCCACACACCTGCATGATATCACACCTGTATGCGGCACAGGGTCCTACCCACCACATCCTCTACTTCGCTATAGGTAGCGTCAAGAGTACATAAACCAGAGTGTGCAACTGTGCATATCAGATCTGAAACAGTGCAGTTCGTGCACTACGTCACCCCGATGAGGTCAGCCAAGCCGCGACTTGCGGACAGCTCAAATTTTCGTGTTTCATAGCCCGGAAATCAGCCAAGTTTGCTTGATTTTAGACGTCCTGTTTCAAGATTTCGGTGTTTTTGTGTGACTGTGTACGCTGCGTACATCCACCGACAAGTAAAGTCACCAGGCTATCCGTATCAAAAAACTGAAATCAGGACAAACTCAGTGACCTGCACCACCGTGACTGGTTACGCAACTTTTCACCGTACCTGTGGCTTACCATGCCGTCAGAAATGACGTACTGCACGAATTACGCTCCCACAGGAACCATCCCGAGTTGCACACTCTGGTTTATGTACTCTTGGTAGCGTGGATCCGATTTGACCCAGAAGTCGTTATTTGTCGTTATTTGTTGACTTTTGATGTCATCACTCGTACACTCGTGCTGCTAGCAGCAGCAGCAGCAGCAGAGTGCTTCAGTGGTGTGTTCGAATGGAAGTGTGTAACTGTTTGCCTGTCCATGTTGTGTGTGTGTGTGTGTGTATGTGTGATTCTGCACCGTCATGCAGCGCAAGCCGATTCCTTGGAGCCATCTGAGCGAAAAGCTTACGCCGAGAAGGTTAGTTACGGCTTTGGTGTGTCCGTGAACAGACTTGCTTGACGGTGCTTTATTTACCGTTAATTGCTTCTACAAGTAGAAATGTAAAGGCTTGCTTGACCCTGGAGGCACAGCCACCCTACCTACTATCACCCAGATATGACTGTAGAACAGCTAATTTTAGCGGGTAAAATTTAGCGTTTTCTGAATCTGGACCAATTCACGATGAAATATTAGCGATCCTAGTTTCAGACTGTACATGAAAAATTTCGATTAGCGTGGCAAAACTTTAGCGAAAAAACTCCTTTCAGTAAAATTACTACGATATCACCGGCGCTAAAATTAGCCGTTTTTAGTAATTTGTACTTTCTCCTGTTACAGACCAAGAAGGCCTTCAGGGCCACTGAGAAATTTGTGCTGTGCATTCAAGCTCCGGCTGTCGGCTTTCGTTTGGCGGTGAAGTTATCCTCACTCTCATTCCGATTGACCCAGCAGGAGTACTAGCCAATTGATCCCGCTGACTTAGGTATTGTGGGGTGGCTTGTTTTTGTGTTCCTGGCCTGGCTTCCTGGCCTGCCGCTGATTTCAGGTTGTGATGGCTTTCTGGCAAGCCATGGGTGGTGATGCTGATGAGATGGGTGACCTTGACGGCGAAGCGGACAGTGACTAGGACACTCTGCCTGCGCTCGCGCTCTTGGTGGCGAAAGATGTCGCATTGCAAGCCGATCACTCCATGTACTACGCCATGCACAATACGGCCGACGGGGCACAACTGTCCCGGTGCGAGGTTTTTTCTGGTCATCATTCACCCTGCCGTGGCACTGGCCATTTGGCTCGCGTTAGTGTGGTGACCTCTGCCATCCGTAATGACAGTAATGACAGTAATGACTCTAAGCAACCACTAGTAGTGTGGCAGGCAACAAGCATGTTCTGGGGCTGAGAACGGGGAAAGGAGTGAACCCACATCTACAGCCTCCATTATGCTGTTCTGCTCGCATGCATAACACGGCTAGTGCTTGTGTTTGGGCATTGCTGTTTAACCACCGGCTGGATGGGTGCTTGCTTGTCTGTCCATCGTCGTCCATCTTGTCGTGTAGCGGGCGGAACCCACTGGCTACTCATGCTGCCCTCTGTTGCCCCGGCATGCGTTCAACCAGATACAACAGCAACTCGTAACAGTATGAGACCAAGAACTTTCTCCTCTGAGATAAAACTGCAAGAACCAAAACTGTAAACTGCTTCCTACAGTTCAAAACTAACAACTAAAAAACTTCAAAGGCATGGAAGTATACATTCTAGAATGACCAAAGCGAGAGCGCAACCGCAGCCTGCGAGTATCCACAGGACTGTGCACAAATGCAAAGACGAGTGAATATATTACGACTAGATAGCATGGAGACAGCACATGCATCAAACGATACGCTACTTGAATCTCAGACAATGCAAAGGTTGAGACTGGCCTGCGGTAGCAATAGTCAATACATCAGGCGCCAGCAGCATGCACTAGAATAAAAGAAATGAAACCTGAGTACAATGAAAGGTCATGCAAGATTCACCACAAGCTGGGAATATTCCAGAACATATCCCCCTTCACTCACGAGCACAGGGTCAGCAAACAAACTGTGACGAGTAAGTACTACTACGGTACTGTATGATGAAAGAAAAACTTCATAGGTTGAGAGAGAGAGAGAGAGAGAGAGAGAGAGAGAGAGTACTGTCACAGGGCTGCCTGTAGCACTTCAGATACACAAGGCACAAACTACTCGGTGTCCAGAATAGGTACTAGATGGTGGATAGACCGTCGGTAGATCTTGTCGCCGATCTTAATATCCACTACTCGGACGAGCTTGTCTGCACCAGGATGCACTGCTGTGACTCTACCCATGGGCCATGTTCCACGGGGAGTGTTTGATGTAAGACACAGCATGATGTCACCTACGGCTACATTGCGACCTTGACGTTGCCACTTACGACGGACATTCAACAAGGGAACATACTCATCTCGCCACCTGTTCCACACGTCTGCTACAAGCCGCTGAACATACAACCAACGTTTGCGTGGGTCTCTGCTGGGGTGCTCGTCTGCTTTCACTTCCAGAGCCATTGGTGGGTCGAGTCGTCCGACGAGGAAATGTGCTGGTGTTAGAGGCTGCAAATCAGCTGCATCGGCACTTACAACTGTCAGCGGGCGCGAGTTCATCATGCCCTCAACCTGGCACATAGCAGTCACTAACTCTTCATCTGTGACGTCCGCTTTCCCAAGTACTGCTGTGAGTCCGCGCTTAGCCGTCTTGATGAGGGATTCGAATACGCCGCCGAAATGTGGTGCTCTAGGTGGGTTGAAGCGCCATCGCACGCCATCACTGACCAGTCGCTTCTCGATCTTCTCCTTGTCCATGGCCCGGACGGCCTCACGGAGTTCTCGCTCCGCGGCAGTGAAATTGGTCCCGTTGTCGCTGACCATTTCAAGCGGGACACCACGGCGCTTTGTGAATCTCTCAAATGCTAACAGGAATGACTCAGTGGAGAGGCCATAGGATACCTCTAGGTGACAGGCACGAGTCTCAAGGCATGTGAACAGGCACAGGTACCGCTTAGCCTGCGTCTTACCTCGGCCCTGCTTGGTCAGGAAGGGACCCGCGTAATCAACTCCTGTACGGCTGAACGGTTTCAACGAGCCTGCAACTCGGAAGTCTGGAATCTGGCCCATCATCTGGGACGCTGGCTCCGCACGGTTCTTACGGCAAGTGACGCAGTTGCTTCGAACGGCCTTGACTGTTGATGTTCCGTGAACAATCCAGTAGCGTTGTCGCAGATTGGCCAGAAGATGCTGTGGCCCAACTGCATGGAAGCACCGATGATCTTCCTGTTCGATTATCAGCTGGGTTACTCGGTGCTTTGCTGGTAGGATGACTGGGTGGCGTACGCCACTTGGCATGTTCTTTGTAGCTTGCAATCGACCTCCTACCGTCATCAGGGGTGACTCTGTTGCACTATCGAACTGGGGACAGAGAGGTGCCAGAGGGTCCGATTTCAACATCGGTTGCCTAGACTGTAGACGATGGTATGCTGTACCATGGCAATCCTTCTGGGCAGTTGCAATCCAGTGCCGCTCTGCTACTGATACTTCGTCAGTGCTGAGAACTGGAACACTGATGGAGCGGGTGCCGCCAAGCTGTACTGGCACTCTCACTGGCGTGCTGGACTGGCTGTCCGATGCGGCATCCCCCTTCGTGGACTTGCTGTCACTGACTGCCTGCCGACAGTTTGCCACAAATCGCTTGCACCATGCTGTCACGCGTACCAGTCGCGACCATGTGCTAAAGCGACCCAGGATCTCGGAGGGTGGAGGGACAACTGCAACTAGCGCCGTCTTGAGCTGACCAGGCAGCGAGGATGTGCTGACCTCCTTCATCTGAGGCCACTCATCTGGCTGCTGGCGAAGAAACTGTGGACCGGACCACCACACTGCGTCACGGCACAGTAATGCAGCAGACAAACCACGAGTACCTTTGTCTGCAGGGTTGTTCTTTCCGGGAACATGTCGCCACTGGTGTGCTCTCGTTGAGGTCTGGAGCTCAGAGATTCGGTTGCCAATGTCCACTTTGTAGCGCCGGCTGTGGCTTTGGACCCAGCCCAAGACGTTCATCGAGTCCGTCCAAAATGTGTGAGCTGACACTGGGATACCGATGGATTCAGCGACGAGATGACTAACGCGAACGCCAAGCACAGCTGCTCTCAGTTCAAGCTGCGGGATCGTCTGTCGCCTCACTGGTGCCGGCTTCGCTTTCGACATCGCTAGCGTTATTCGGGTGGTACCGTCTGGGTAGCTGGCTCTGACATACACAGCGGCTGCTATCGCCCGATCTGAGGCGTCGGAGAAGCAGTGCACGGAAAGACTGGCGTCTTCGGATGGCTGTTGTGGATCCTTGAAACAGCGGCTGATCTCCAGGTTACTCAGGTCTGGGAGGCCTTGGAACCAACCCTGCCACTTGACGACTTGTTCCTTTGGCAGCAGGTCGTCCCATCCCTGTCCCAGCAACCAGGCATCCTGCAGGAGTACCTTAGCCGTGATGACGTATGGCGAGATCAGGCCACGCGGATCGAATATGGAGGCCAGGCCGCGCAACACAGAGCGTCGGGTGAATGTCGTGATGTCCTTCATTTGATGCTGGAAGGTGAAGGCATCCTTCTCGGCGTTCCAACTGACGCCGAGAGTCTTGACAGTTGGGAGGCTGGTGTCACTGTCCACATCTCGGACGACATCAGGTGACCTATCTTCCTCTGGTATGGTGTTCATCACTTCAGCTTTGTTCGACAGCCATTTCCGCATGTGAAAACCGCCCTTGGCAAGTAGCTGCTGCGTTTGCTCTCTGGCCTGGATGGCACACTGTGTGGATGGTAGTGATGACAGCATGTCGTCAACGTAGAGGTCTTTGCTTAGGCTGTGTTTACATGAGAAATTTCAACCCGGGTCGAGTTCAGCCCGGGTTGAAAGTCTGTACGATAGACAAAAGAGGTGAGCGTTTACATGAAGACAGTTGACCCGGGTCAAATACTGATATGCCGCCAAAAGTCCACTTCTAGAGTCCTGTATGGTCACGTGAATCTGTTCGCGCGAAATTTGCATGTGCAGTCCTGTTCAAACCTGGCGCGAGATACGCACAGAAGTACGTTTGTACGATTTTCTTGACCCGGGTTGGTTTCAACCCTCCCCTTGGGGGGAGGGTTGAAATCAACCCGGGGCGAAATTTCAACCCGGGTCAAGCGCAATGCGTCATGTAAACGCGCCATTCACTTTGTGCACATGGCGGGTTGAAATCTGACCCGGGTCGAACTCAACCCGGGTTGAAACGCTTCATGTAAACACAGCCTTAGGCACTGCACGACGTCAGAGTCGTACTCATCACCGTGGTGCTTGATGACCTCTTTCACCGCTCGTCCTGCCAGATACGGTGACGCCTTAGCGCCGAAGAGCACACGGGTGAACTGATACACCTGCACTTGGCCATTGTCATCATACCACAGAAAGCGATGATAGCGCTGGTCACGTTCCGCCAGTTTGACTTGGAGGAACATCTCCGACACATCACCAACAAGCGCAACTGGTTCCAGTGAGAATCGGATCAACACACTGGTCATGTCGTTTTGAAGTGCAGGACCTGTAAACATCTCATCGTTGATGGAGTGTCCATCCCAGCGGGCTGCACCGTCAAATACTATTCTCACTTTTGACGTGGATTTATCTGAGCGTACTACCGGGAAATGGGGTAGGTACCACTGGTCGTTGCCGTCTTTGGCTACCTCATCCGGGTCCACGCGTCTCACGTAACCCTTGGCAATGTGTTTCTGCATAACGTCAGAGTACTGCTGCTTCACGGCTGGCCGTGACTGTAGCGAGCGTTGTAGACTGCGGAGCCGCTGCTCAGCCTGAGCTCTGTTGGACTTGACACGTGGCTTACCGCTGTCATTGACCCATGGGATTCGGACAGTTACCCGGTTGCCGTTGCAGCTGATTGATTGGCTCGTGAGCTCCTCGGCTCTTCTGTCATCGGGTGAAGGCGTCTCCTCTAGTGGGTTATCTGTGCCCGCCGACTCATCTCGCCAGAACTTCTCGACTAGCTCGGTCAGCCCATCAGTTAGCAGTGTGTCAGTAGCTGGTGTAGTAGCTGTGATTGCACGAGTGGTGTCGACTCCTGTACCAATGCACACCCACCCGAGAGGAGTTCGTCGAGCAATGGGCGCTCTTGCTGTTTCTACTCGCCGTTCTTCTAGAGTAGCATGAAGCTCGATGGCATTCAGGCCGATAAGCGCGTCGATCTGACTGCCCTTGATGGATGGGAAGTCAATATCACTGAGATGCGGCCAGCTGCTCTTGTTCTGATTCCAGTTCACTGCCGGTAATGGCACGGTGACGGTGGGCAGAACCCAAGCTTCAAGCTTGTTCATGGTCTTGTCGCCCAGAGCCGCCACTTGGATCTGTACATGCTCACGTCTTGCTGCGGTCTGCTTGCCGCCTACTCCGGAAGTGACGAGCTGCCGCTTGGGTCCACGCACATTGAGGGCTGTTGCCACGGACTGCTGGACATAACTCGTGGACGATGCTGGGTCCAGGAGTGCATTACCTTGGAGGCTCACACCATTGTGTCGGAATACAACAGGCACAACCATGAATGACTCACCACTGTCAATCTCTGGCTGATGACTTGCGCAATGTGTTGTAGCAATCTTGGCAGGACCGCCACTGCTGGCCGAAGCTGCGTTGGCCTTGATTGCGGCATTTGATGGGTCTGCAGCGGAATCCGAGCGTCGGATGTTGTAGTGTAGCATGTCATGATGCGTGCGGCTGCACTTTGAACAGGGTTGCTTGGTACAAGTCTTTGCGCGATGATTGAGACCGAAGCATAGGGCGCAGACATCTGGCTTGGACTTGATGACTTTCCATCGGTCCCTGACCTCCATCTTGATGAAATCGGGGCAGCGGTGGAGCTGATGCGCCTTGCCACACGAGGGGCAGCTTCTGTCGGCACCTGCATCCTTGCTAGTTGCCACAAATGTTCGTTCAGACTTTGTAGCACTCTGCTTCGACCATGATCTTGCTGGTGCTGGTGCTGAGGCAGTGACTTCTGTCGACCGGAGTCGTTCATCGGCACGGCGTAGTGTGTTGACGCGTCTGAGGAGCCACTGTGTTAGCTGGTAAATATCACAGTCAGCATCGTCATACTTCTCCATGTACCTAAGCAACAGCGATTTCGGCAACTTCTGCGTAACCGATAGGTACAACTCACGGCCCGGTGTTACTGCACACATCTCCATATTCATGAGCATCGTCCGGAGTCTGAGGACAAACTTGGCAAAGTTGTCGTCTGACTCTTTTAGCTTCGGCCACTGCAAAATCTCCTTCTCTTGGCGCTCAACAGTGCGATTGTCGCCGCCATACCATGCATCTAGCTCCCTAAGGATGGTGTGGTAGGCTCCTGGACCGTCAAGCACGCCATCAACAAGGTCGCTGGCCGTGCCATGCATGAGACACTCACGCAGTTGTGCAAGTTTGTACGCTTCAGTCGTTAGTGGATCTTCGTCAACAACGCGGCGGAAGTTCTGCTTCCACCGGTCGTAGTCACTAGTCTTGCCAGAGAACTTTGGTAGCTCCAGTGGCTTCACGTGAAAGCTGAAACTAGCAGGGTGTAGTGTCTGCAGTTGAGGTGGATAGGGCATGAAGGACTCTGCTTGCGGGTTTAGCACCTGCTTGGAGTGTTCTTGCACTGCCACTGGTGTTGGTGGCTGCTGTTTGGCCACTGCTGTATGCTTCTGTGGTGTATGCCATGGTGGTGTTGCATTCAGCATTGATACTGCCTTCTTGTTACTGCCAGGCAGTCTTGATTGTACTGCTGCACTGCTTATTGCTGGCTGTACAGGCACTGCATTACTAGCTGCCTGTATGGACACTGTAGTACGTCCTACAGGCGCACCACTGGCCATTGACTTCTTGGCTGGCACTACTGACAGCACTGTACTGGTCACAGACTTTTGAGCGGGCGCGCGCATGAATGCTTGCGCCACTGGCCCCAGGGCAGGCACGCCAAACGCATTGACACTACATGTACTTGACTGAGCTGGGCTGTCTTCCGCCACACCTAATACAGCCTCAGGTTGTGTGGGCGCATTCACAGTACGAAACGTACCTTGCAAACTCCTTGGCTTGCCGTGGTCGCGTTGTCCGTTCACTCCACCGACATCACTCATCGTTCTGAAGTGCTCACGCGGTGGTAATACGAATTTTCGACCAGGTCCGGCCAACTTGTCGTGCTCAGCAAGACTCTTGGCAGTCAATATTGCCCTGCCACTGGATGCAGCGTTTCCAGTCTCTGATTTGCGAGACGACACTTTGCTCCCTGACCCGGATCGTAGTGCAGCTGCAGATTCAGCCTCGGCTCTTCGAACCTCCAGTTCCCTCTGCACCAAACTTGTCTCACGAGCCAACTTGCGTGTCTCGGCTTCCTCCTCCAGCTCAGCGATTTGCCTTGCAGCCTCAAGTTCTACACGAAGCATCTCTGCACGAAGTGACGCCTGCGACGCAGCAGTTCCTGAAACTTTCGAGGGCGCATGTCCTGCAGAGCTCACGCTGTCCGGGACGTCACTCCAGTTATCAAACCCGTATCTGCTCGGCGGTCTCCCTTTGGTAGACCGCGAGCTCCGTCTACACTCAGCGCCTGGGACTTGCTCGTCGTCGCGCAGGACTTCTTGGATCTGGCTCTGAGATCCGGCTCGAATAGGACCACTATGGCTACTCATGCTGCCCTCTGTTGCCCCGGCATGCGTTCAACCAGATACAACAGCAACTCGTAACAGTATGAGACCAAGAACTTTCTCCTCTGAGATAAAACTGCAAGAACCAAAACTGTAAACTGCTTCCTACAGTTCAAAACTAACAACTAAAAAACTTCAAAGGCATGGAAGTATACATTCTAGAATGACCAAAGCGAGAGCGCAACCGCAGCCTGCGAGTATCCACAGGACTGTGCACAAATGCAAAGACGAGTGAATATATTACGACTAGATAGCATGGAGACAGCACATGCATCAAACGATACGCTACTTGAATCTCAGACAATGCAAAGGTTGAGACTGGCCTGCGGTAGCAATAGTCAATACATCAGGCGCCAGCAGCATGCACTAGAATAAAAGAAATGAAACCTGAGTACAATGAAAGGTCATGCAAGATTCACCACAAGCTGGGAATATTCCAGAACACCCACCATCAGGTGTCACCACTGTTCTGTACATGGTGATTGGTGGTATGATCATTGTGACGGGCTGTTTTCCACGTGTTGTGGCCATTTTTAGACAGACCCACTGTAACCATGACAAATACACTTTAACAATCCTCTCCCATCATTTCTATTACGGATCTTATTCAAACGGCTTTAAAAAAAACTGTTCTGGGCACTTGGATATTGTAGCTCAATAAAAATGTGTATGCGGCAGAGATTGCTGCTGGCTGTGTAGCATGTTGTGCGGTTGCAGATAACGTGTTGCTGTTGCACTGCTGCACTCTTACTAGACATGTCCTCTTGGCACGTATGCCATTCATTGGTCGCCGTGCAAGTAGAGCAGCCGCTGTCTGTGGTGCTGCACCTTGCACACTGCTGCAGCACACTACTGCGGCGGTTATCAGAGATTGCAGTAATGTATGGCGGGGTGGGCATACGACGGCAGCAGTAATATAAGCAACATTGGTTAAAAACTTAAAAATAGGTATAACCTATATAGGGTCTAGTAGGACAAGCAAGCAGCAGCCGAAACCGGCCCGGCTTTACTTTGGCCAGGCAATTTGGAACAGCAGTGCTAGCAGCAGTGCTAGCACTGCTGCTAAAGCTAGCACTGCTGCTAAACATCAGTGCTAGCAGCGGTGGAATGCATACACACACCAGCTGGCCCATTCTTATACTTGCAAGTACTCAAGAGTTTGAAGATTACCGCCGCGCATGCGCAGCACGTAAAAATTAATGGCTTAAAACACACACAGATCCTGTGCGCATCAGCCATTGCGGATGCGCTCCCTTATCCGACGGTCCACCTCTGGGTCTTCGTCGCTCGTGATAACGTTATGCTCGTCATTGCGTCGGTGAGATCTCTGTAGACACATGTTGCAACGAAGAGCACGCAAAAACGTGTGTGCGAGAGAGAGAGAGAGAGAGAGAGAGAGGGGAGGGGGGTAGGGAGAGAGAAGAGCAATTACACTGCAGACCACCAGCAGATTCCTGATTATGCCCTGCCAATATCCATGTACCACTAATGCTTTCTGACAAGGCCACTAACACTGTACATGTATCAGCACTAAATGCACGTACTGTAAGTCGAACAAATTTTCGGCGCATATTTATTTTTGGCTATTTTCGGCCTGATCACATTTGGCCGAAAATTTGTTGCAGGCGAAATTTTTTTGCAAGGTTCAGTGTGACAGTGTATACAGACAACAGCAGTACAGGCCGAAAATTTGTTGCAGTCGAAATGTGTTTTTAGCCCTGGGAGGCCGAAATTTGAATGGGCCGAAAATTTATCGACTTACAGTATGGAATACAAGAAAATGCAGTGACGAGAAAAGTGCGCCATCAAGTAAACACACTATTTCCAGCATACTGTGAATTCACATTGGGGCAAGGGGCACCCACCTCTTCAGGGTCATGGTCTTGTTCATGGTGATTGTCATGTGCATCAACATCCTAGTACAGTGCCAGTACACATACACACATATGCACACACACACACAAACACACAAACACACAAATACACACGTGCACAAACACACACATACACACACATACACATGCTCAATTACCCCCACTAGGCCTATGGATATTAATTTTGCATTGCGTGAAATTATGTTGCTCCATGGTGCATGGTTGGCTTTGCCCTGTCAGCAATGTTTCTCATCATTGCCCGGCATTCTGCCATGTCATGGCATAGCCAGATCAACACAAATACAAAAATACATAATGTATTTGAAGTTAGGTCACAACCTAGCACAAACACATTGTACAAGCTTTTCAACTGGGTTTCAACTTGAGTCTCAATTAGGTTTGGATAGAGTTTCAATTGGGTTTCACTGGGGACTTTCTTCCGAACAACAACACTGCCTTCAACTGTCACAAATAATGCAATAACATTTTTACGTGTGGAGAATCTGATACCCCAGCCCTTCCACTTCACTGCTCCCAGATGACAAAGAAATCGAAAGCATACAAATACATACAGGGGAGCCCAAAATTGTTATTAAATTTTATTTACACTTTACACAGTTTCCTCACATGAGTATGAGAATTACCCACTAATACCCAGGTGTGTGGGAGCAGGTGATCTAATGCAGGCCGGCCGGCATAGCCGCGACTGGGATTTCCGCTGCCAGTTCGGCAAATGGGATACATGTACTTGAATTTGAAACGAATAATATTGATGAAAAGCGCCGCTGTGCACAATTTGGGTGAGTCAACCTTTGCCGAATAAGGTCCGGCCAGACCGGGTGCTATGTCCCTGTCATATTAGAGTACATTTAGGTGGTTTGGAAAGCAGTGGGGCCGAGTGGAATGAAAGGACAAAAACGTTACATGTTGTACACGGTTGCCAACTAATATATTGCCAAGGCATGGAGAGCAATGCATTGGCGAACAACCATGCATAGCAAGACATCGTTTGGTCCATTCCTTCTTGCTTCCACGTGTCTGAATTAGTGAATTAGTGAATTCGGGGTTTGTTTGCTTTTTAAAGTACACTGTCAATGCCCATAGCACAAATGCCCATAGCACAAATGCCCATAGCACAAATGCCGATAGCACAAATGCCCATAGCACAAATGCCCATAGCACAAATGCCCATAGCACAGGCTGCACAGGCTGCACAGGTGATGCATGTACCGGATAGTACCGCCAGAGCGCCCCACCATCTCGGCCTTTCGTGGTCGTATTGTGGAGGTGGTCTCCTGTCTGTAGGTCATACGACATGAGCCTTGTACACATATAGTACGTTGTGAAGTCAATCCGTACTCAATTTACCTTCGAGTGAACACGAGCTCCACACCAAGGTTCTCACACCGTACCAACTTCGTAGCACGCTACCCGATGGTACGATTTTCATATCCCTGGCTGTAAAATCAAGGTGGTGCATTCTCGTGAGATGGGGCGCTCCGGCGGTACTTTACAGTACTATTAAACATTGCAGGTGCGTAGCACCGCCGTTTGAGGTGGTCCGGTTGGGGGGGGGGGGGGGTCTGGGGGGTTCTGCCGGGAAATTTTTGAAATGAGGGTGCAAAATCCTGCAGTCTGGGCACTTCTGGGCGAAAAAGTGGTCCGGCCAAAGCCGGACCGGCCGGACCGACTGCTACGCCACTGCATTGTAGATGCTGTGAAACTATCGTGCTAAGCCTGTGTCCATGTCCTCCAACGGCAAACACCTTTTTTCTTGTCTTTCATTACTACACGCACACAGCAAACTGTACTCACCTGTGCGTTCTCATCATGAATCTCTCCGTCTTGCTGGGATTTCTCCTCTTGACCTGCATTGTCCTCAGATTGGTTCTCTTCGCCAGGCGGTGGGCGGCCATCGTCACCTTCTTTAGAGTTCCCAGGAGCTGGAGGAACTGCACCACCATCATCTGCTGCTGCCTTTCCATCATGATCTTCATCTTGGTTGTCTGCAGCTGCACCCTCTTGGCTGTGCTGCTGATCGCCAGGAATGCGCTCATTATCTGAATCGTGATTGCGCAGTTCGTCAGGACTGTCCTTGCCACCAATATCCACTTGACTTTGCGTTCCATCGGAATCGTGAGCAGCTGCCATTGTACCAGCAGCGTCAGGGTTTGCGTCTCTATCGTGTGCACCGTTCTCTCGGCTGTCTGCCGCCGCACCATCTCGCTCTGAGTCGTGCTGCGACCGTTGGTCATCTTCGTGCTGCGACCGTTGGTCATCTTCGTCCTGCGAATCAGGACCATGTGGCGGCGGCGCCTGTTGGTGTGCAGGCTCATCAGGACGTGACATGGAGACATGGTGGCCGTCGCCCATACTCTGAGCATCGCCATGAACACCACCTGCATTCTCCTCAGTAGAATGAGATGTTGCCTTGTCGGCGGCATTGGCAGCGGCAGCAGCATTGCGTGACAGGTCCCCTTGGCTATCACCAGCACCGACGTCCTGTTTAGATGATAAGTCATGACGCGACAGCTCTGCATGGCGTGGTATCTCTCCACCGTCGTTCTTGCTGCCATGTTTGTGCATGTCATCTTCAGTGGCTACACTGTCATGTGATTGGGGTTCCTTGCTCATCGATAGCTGCTTGCCAGCATCTCCCTCACTTCTACTATTGCCAGCGTCGTCGTCGGCAGATTCCTTTGATCTTGTTCTACCCTGGACATGAGAGTCAGATTGTGCCGTTGCTGTAAAGTCCTCTTGGCCTGCAGCCATTCGTGGACCAGTAATATCAGCAACGATTCCCGTTGGTCTCTCGTTAGACTCCACCGTGCCCATACGCTGTTGCTCTTCCTCGTTTGTGTGCTGAGGACGAAAACGCTGTGGAAATTGAGAATCTTGAGCCTGCCTGTCCACGTCTTGCACAGCTGGATGCTGTTGCTGGGGATCCTCTTGCGGATCATGTTGTTGTGGCTCTTGTTGTTGCTGCTGTGGGTCTCCTTGCTGCTGGGGGTCTTGTTGCTGTGGGTCTTGTTGCTGTGGGTCTTGTTGCTGAGGGTCTTGTTGCTGTGGGTCTTGTTGCTGTGGGTCTTGTTGTTGCTGCTGTGGATCTTGTTGTTGTGGATCTTGCTGTTGCTGATGCTGCGGGTCTTGTTGCTGTTGTTGAGGATCTTGCTGCTGTGAGTCTTGTTGCTGAGGGTCTTGTTGTTGCTGTTGTGGATCTTGTTGTTGTGGATCTTGCTGTTGGTGATGCTGTGGGTCTTGCTGCTGTGAGTCTTGCTGCTGTTGTTGTGGGTCTTGCTGCTGTTGTTGTGGGTCTTGCTGCTGTTGTATCTCTTGGCCCATGTCTGGATGCGGCACGCGCATGCTGCTCCTGCGCCGGCCACCAGCACCAACCTGGCTGAAAGGCACGCCGCCGCCAAGTGAACCCTTCCGCCGTCGACCGGTAAGGTGCACCTTGCTGTACCCACGCCTGCCTGTCAGGACACACACAGCAAATGACCGCTATCATACAGCAAGTACTGGTGCAGATACTAAAGTAAAGATAGGTGCAAAACGTTGCTTTGGGATCAAGATGATAAGCCATGCAGTTAACCCTATTCTTCATCAGGTATAGAATCATACATGGAAACCAAATATTTGCTTAATTTAAAAAAGCATGATAATTGACTCTGGTCCGAGGTTTAAGCTCGAGCGGAGCCACAGGCCCCGAAAGCTGCGGTCAAAGCCCTGAAAACACATGCAAGCATGTAGTCACATGCAGTGCTACTGCTATTAGCATGGACACATACTCGACTAGCTGCATGCAAAGTGGGCTAGAAGCACACGTACATCTAAGGGCCTGCTTACACGAGAAAAATACGCCCGAGCTTATTTTTCAAACGCTTGTATGGCGGTTAACCGGTTGTACGGTGCTGAGTTCCGGTGGCTGACTGCAAATTCTGCGCGCATTTTATTTTTCAAATCACACATGAACGCAGCGGTCAAAGTTTGTGAATGATGAAATTTGGACCAAGAAATGCCTGCTCACGCTTCTACTGCCTTTCTGATTGTCACTTTTTTTCTTTCGAAAAGGCAAAGCCTTCACTGAAGAAAAAAAAAAAACAGAAGAAAAGCTGCGAAGAGCAGAAACAAAAGAGACTCACTGTTTTCGATGGAATTCTCTCAGGTTCACGAGGCAAAATTGAAAAATATGGAAACTCGCTGAAAAGCCCAGGGCTCATTTTCTTGACCGTTTACATGAGAAAAAAGCCCTGGGGATTCGATAAGCTCGGGGGTCTGGGGTAGGGCTAGTTCAGCTCAGGATGGGCTGAATAAGCCTACCACACCATGTAAACGATTGCTCCAAAATGACTGGGTGATAGATCAAGGTGGGGTAATCGTAAGCCTAGGGTTGCATAAGTCCGGGCTTGTTTTTTTCTCTCATGTGAACAGCCAACAATCATTGAGGACATGCGCACATATGCATACGCGCGCACAAATACACCATGTACACCCCCCCCCCACACACACACACACCATGTACACCCCCCCCCCCCCCCCCCCCACACACACACACATACCATGTACACCCCCCCCCCCCCCCCCCGCACACACACACACGCGCGCACAGAGTCAGACAGGCAGAGGCGTGTTTGAACCATGCAACAAGGCAGTAGCTGTGGATGGTTTGAGCACAATAAGCTGAGTATACGCCACACGTTACCTGTACTGTATTTGTTAAATAAGTAGAACTGACCTGATATCTGGAATTGCATATCGGCAACATGCAATCTCAAGCCTTTGTGCCTAGCTGCTACAATGAGTTAAAATGATATTTTAAAAAAATGAAGAAAGCAAAAACACATAACGGCTGCGCCCCCCCGCCCCCCCCCCCCCCTGATTAAAAGAGGGTACATCGGTAATGGGTAAGAGTAAAGAACAAGCCAAGATTAAGAACTGGAGGAGTAGTAACACACCAGGAGCAGCACAGGCAGCCCAAGGCGTTAAGACAAATACCAGCCATCACCGTCGCCGCCATCACTGCCGCCATGGTCGTGGCACACGGGGTTACGTACACAGTTAGAGTCAGTGTAGCCGGTGCCATCAACATACACAACAAGTACAACGGATCGACGTTTGGGACGAAACTGGGCTGAGACATCGGAAGTTCAAGTGACTTAGCACGTCTTCAGAATTAGCAGCAGTTGCTTGTTGCACACCAGTAACAGGCTATCTGCGGAGATTACTAGCTGTCGTCCTAGTGTGTTCAGACGGTACATCTTTTTCTTTCAAGGCTTCCATTGGCAGTGCATGGTCGGAGCGGAAGGCCCTGGAGAGACGGTGGCCGGAAAGGGCCTTGGAGAGTTTCTCCTTGAAGCTTAGTGACTCGTGCTCGTTACTGGGCAGGGCGTGCATCTGATGACGTGCCAGTTCAGGTACCTTGGCTAGAGCATCAGCCAGATCAGAATGGCTGGCTTTCAGTGCTGCCTCATTGGGATTACCTGCAGCAGCAGTCTCATCCCCGGCCCCCGCTGCTGCGCCATCCCGCTGCTTGCTCCCATCGTCTTGGCCACGAGCAGCAGCGACGGCGGCTCTGTCTCGAACATGGGCATCCACTTCAGCAGCATCAGCGTCACCGTTAGCTTCTGCTGCTGCTGCTGCGCCGTGCTCCTTGGTTTTCTCTGCAGCAGCGGCGTCATCACCAGGTGCTGCACGGTGCTCCTTGGTTTTATCCACATTCTCGGAATGACGCTGCTCCTTTGCGACATTGTGTCCATCTACACCACCGTCAGCCACTGCAGTAGTACGCTCAGCAGCAGCAGCAGCGTCATCATCTTTCTTTTCTCCCTCACGAGCTTTTCCGTCAATCACCCCCTCGCGCTTATCATCGTCGACTGCATTCTCCCCACCAATTTGAACAGCGGCGTCATTACGAGTGTCATCTTTTTTGTCGTCGCTCTGGCCATACTTTGGGAATCTGTCGGATACTTCAGTTCTGTGCACCTTGCCATTCTCGTTTTCAGCATCAGCAGCAGCAGTATCAGGAGAATGTGCTACTGGAGTATTCAGGCTCTTGGTGGCATAAGAACTAGGGACCGTTGGTTCCTCTTGCTTGGTGCTCTGTGCCTTCTCACCAGCAGCTGCATCATTTTCACTCTGAAAGCTTGGTTGCTGCTGCTGCACACCAGCGATAACTTCCTGTCCTTCAAGCTTCCCAGTGGAGTTTGGCTTCTGAGGTTCCTCAGCTTCATTTGACTTGGAATCGGCAGGAGGCTGCTGCTGCTGCTCTCTCTCGCGTTGTAGCTGGCCTAGTCGTTTGACAAGAGTGGACTCTAAGTGTTGGTAGCGCGATGGCACCCGCTCTCCACCATCACCACCCTCAGCACCAGCACCCGCGCCAGCACCACCTCGTGTCGCCTGTTGTCCAGGAGAGCTTAGAGAATGGAAGCCAGCTCGGGCATTTCCACGCCGCTGCCTGTGCTTCCTGGCAAAACCTGCACACAGTCACAACGCACGCACAAGAAAATAGTGACAGCAAACGTGAAACACGGCCGCAATCACATACGAGGAGTGCTCCACATGCACGCGTAGTCACATTTAACGCTGCAGGTTACATGCAAATTCTTCTTGCATAGCGGCGGTGGTATCTTGCACCAATCACCAGGCTCTATTTAACTGAACATGTTCAACATGCACGTCCAGTACAGCTCAATGAAATCCGGTCGTGTGAGTCAAGTTTGCTCCCAGCACCAGTTCACATCCCGGGTGTTCGCAGGTCTAAGGCTGCACAATACCCGGCGTGGCATTGACTCGCTCGCTCGGACTTCATTGAACAGCACTGTACAAACCATGGTCTAGTAGTGTCATTATAACCAGGGGCCGCCGCGCAGACACATGCAAGTGTTCCACAGCACAACACCATAAACTGAATAAAGTCCTGACCCTGTCGCCTCACCAGCAGACTATGACAGATCATCGTACCAGGACGTCAGTATAGTCACGTACCAGCTAGCCCAGCCACTGGTCAGCTCACATCATGTCTACATACAGCCTACAAGCACCAGCAAGGTCTAAACGTACAGCAGGCCGCCTGCTTTTGACAACATCGAAATCTTTACGATGTCACAGGAGCTCCAAACGACCATACGAACAGCGGAGAAAAAGACACCCAAATGTAGTTGCAAGCCAGTTGATTTGGTGTGGTTTGTCATGCAAGCACATGTACATGTACACAGGGGGGGGGGGGGGGGGGGGGGGGAGACGGGCATGGGCATGATTGTGCTGCTGGTCTGGAATGGTGTTAGGCAGGGCAAGTGAGTTGGCCAGGACAAGTCATGGCTGAGTGGAAATGGAAGCATTGACGTGACCATTGATAGAGCAGGGTTCTAGCCAGGTCAAAATAGTAGGGGGGTGGGCATGGGAAACAGTTACCCTATATCTCATTTTTCCACTTTCCAATATTGTCTTGCCACGCCAAATGCAACGTATATGGGGCGAATCCCTGACTTCACCCCAGACAAATGTGCCTTTAGGAACCCTCTATGCATGAAAAACACGAAAATCGGAAAATGAGTAGGGGGCGGCAATTTTTCACAGGGGGGGCGCTGCGCCCACCCTACCCCCCTTTGGCTAGAACCCTGTAGAGGGTGCATGGAATATCTACCAGAAACGCCAAGACAAGACAATGAGTGTGCATTCACCTTCTGTAATGCAATTACTTGGTACTGGGCCACACGCACAGCTCTCTCTCTCTCTCTCTCTCTCTCTCTCTCTCTCTCTCTCTCTCTCTCTCTCTCTCTCTCTCTCTCTCTCTCTCTCTCTCTCTCTCTCTCTCTGCACCACCATGTACCATCACATGCACATGCGCACACACACAGAAGCACGGGGATAAAACAACTCACCAGGCACATGATCTGGCAAAATGTGATGGTGATGACAAGAGGTGATGGCAGATGGTCAGTGACGGTGGCAGGTGGAAACACGTACAAAACAAACGGTACTCGAAAAAGATGCCAGTATTGATGGCGAAGACAAACTCAAAATCCAAATGCCAAGAGTTTGCCTGACGTGTGTGGATGCCTAGGAATAGGAGCATGGCGTGTTCATGAATGCGAAACAAAGGGTGGCAATAGGCAGACGTCAGGTGGATCGATACTGCCAGCACTTTTTTTTTTTTTGTCGTGGCACCAAGACTTGATGATGCAACCACCAACTCCAAAGTCATAACGTTTCCTATTCTCTTCTCTCTTTGCATCCTTCCCAGTCGTCACCAGCAGTTCACAGCGAATGCGGACTGATTTGGCCTCGAAAAGATGATTGTGTCCGAAAACGAACTCTTGTCCTCAATGATTTAAAAAATACATTGACTGGGAGCATTAAACGGGGGATTACATTGCATACTAGGGACCTTTCGCATCTGCTGCGAATCGAATGTGAAACGAAAGTTTGATTCGGCTCGTCCTCGTTTCGTTGAAAACAGATTCAGGTTTCGCAAGTCGTCATGCAAATGTCCATGGCAACTACGAATACGACCGGTAGCTTGGAGTACGCGTGTTTACACACACACACGTGCATGGATGATGGAATCAAGGGAAAAATGTGTGCCTGGCAAAACATGTGTACCTGGTAAAAACGTGTTCCTGACGGATTCGGAGCGCGCCACGAATGAAGAGGCTTCCATTCGTGAAAACAAGCTCTCCGCAGGGACAATGACGAATCCTCCAACCCAGGTGACGAATCAGCATTCGTTTGGTATCCGTACGCGTGGTGCGAAAGGTCCCTACTGTGAACCTTGCCCGTCCAAAGCATGAATGAAAGGTCCCTACTGTGAACCTTGCCCGTCCAAAGCATGAATGAAAGGTCCCTACTGTGAACCTTGCCCGTCCAAAGCATGAATGAAAGGTCCCTACTGTGAACCTTGCCCGTCCAAAGCATGAATACAGCTACACATGTAGTAACCTAATAAAAGCAGCATGATTCTGAAAGCAAGTACTGCCAGCTACCCGTCAGCAGCTGCACACTCTGAGGGAGTTATGCATTCATGCCAATACACAACGCCATGCTGAAGTGTCGACATACTTTTCACACTGCCCTGCTTCTATGCAAACTTCTTGGTTATTACTATACACATACAGGCCACTTTGGCAATCGAGCATCCTAGGCCATTTGAGTTGATTGCCATGCCACGAGTGAACATCGATACACTGGTATATACTCTTACGAGGAGGAGGCACAAGTCTTGCGAACGAGGAGTGTGGCCCGCGACAACCAATCGATAGCAGTAATAGGCCAGACGAGTCTGTCTCAGTGAACCATGTACATGAACAGATATCAGTTTTTAAAGTGATACATGTCCATCCTCTATTCAAACTGAGTTCTTTAAAAACAGCCCAGTTCAAATGGAGTTTTCCGCACCATCTTTGCCTTGCTGACAAGCCCGAAAAGCAAACTCAAAACCAAACAGCCAATATCGCAACAACTATAGCATCGGCACTGAGGGAGCGCTCCAAACAATAACCAAGACTATTGACTTACTGTGTAGTCCCATCCTAGTATCAGATACACAAACACACGCACACGCACAAAGTCAGAGCAGAGAGAGAGAGAGAGAGAGAGAGAGAGAGAGAGAGAGAGAGAGAGAGAGAGAGAGAGAGAGAGAGAGAGAGAGAGAGAGAGAGAGAGAGAGAGAGAGAGAGAGAGAGGAGAGAGAGAGAAACAGACAAGCACACATACACACAGTAATTAAGTACAAGAAACCTGGACAAATTCCAGAAATAATTCCTTCGCCATGTACATGCATTCAGGTACATATTACTTAATTATGCAAATCTCCAAAGGCAGCATGCACACATGCACACACACACACGAGCATGCACACACGAGCATGCACACACACACACACACATGCGCGTGCGAGCAAACAGACATGCACATGTACACACATGTACACACACACATACACACACGTTCCCGTAACGTAAAGAAAACTAGCTCTGCTCTGCGTTCACGCAAAGAAAACACGTGGGAAGGTGAACTGGGACTTTGCCGGTCCAACTTTGGTGGTTTTCTCACTAATTTTAACGATATACAGCAGATCTGTACGCACGTGCGTGTGCCACAACATAGAAAACCTCATCTCTCCGTAGAAATCTGGACTCCAAACACGTGAAGTGGTAGACTCTAACCTAGACACCTGTTCTCTACGTGATTTCTCTACCTTTCACGTACTTCAAAAAAAGTAGAGCAGAACTTCACTATCACAATGCTAACACAGCACACACACACTCGCCTTACCCGTCCGGACTATTTCCCTGCTCTTCCATACCACGTTCTTGTTGATAACCTGCAGCCAGTCAGGACAACAACGACAACACCACCACCAACAACCACACCAACAACAACAACATGTTACCTGTCAAGAAGTGACTGAATGAATATTTTATAACACCAGCAGCAGCAGCGACACATCATGAGGAAGGTGGGTGCATGGGTTTCAACAGACTATTCCTAATTCTACAAGTCAAGAGATACACGCTTCACCGTGTTTGAGTGTGGATTGTGCGTAGTACTAGTAGGGAAACAGGTCACAGCTAAATTTCCTCGGTTCCAGAAAGAGCGGACTTTTAAGTGTATTCAATAGTGTCCTCGAAAGCACACAAACATAACCATTCACTCTACATTTCTTAGTTTGAAACGCAGTGTGAGAAATGTACTGCAGCGACGGCCTCATTTGCGGCAAGACGTGTCTACTTGTAATGCATTCCTGTACCTTGCCCACCGTCCTGCGGCTGCTCCTGGGGTTGCTGCTGTTGCTGATATCCATCGTCCTGCGTGCGGTCTCCGAATTGGGGGTTCCTCCTGCGGTGGTTACTAGCACCCAGAGCGGCACGGACACGCTGTAGGTTCTGCAGCTCGTTCTAGAATAGACAAACACACACATATGCACATATACACACACACACACACACACACACACACACACACACACATACATACAAACATAGGCACACACACACACACACACACATGCACACACACATGCACATACAAACACAGGCACACACACACACGGTATGCTCGAGATGCATTAATGCATTACTGTGTCCGTGTCTCCACAGGACATCATGGCGCTGTGCTTAGGATTTGATATTTTAAAGTGGGTTGAAAGCAGATGCTAGAAAAGTGAAGAAAGATAGTCGAGTCTAAATAGTAAAACTCAGACTCCAACCACCTCGTTAAAGTGCCCACCTCGCGACTTGAACTGAACACTTGCTTGGTGCTAGTATGCTCTTCTTTTGACCAGACTAGACCACACAACAACCCTTGCAGATACCAGCCAAAAGGTTCACCAGTCCACCCACACCACTGCATGACAGCGAGTAGCTACTCCTGGCAAGCTTGCTTTGTTGCATCAAGATCACGAGAACTCCTCCGAGGAGATGCAGCTGTTGAATGATAAAGATGAACTAAAGAATGCTACTTTATACACAAGAAACTGATACAGGATGTGCACACTCAACTAACTCACACATGATGTGACAAACTAACACAAACGGGAAATTGAAGAATGGAGGTGTTATGGACCAGACCACAAGGCTACACAAGGCTACCCGGCACAACTACATGTACACTGTATCACAAGTGCAAAGTCAATCACGAGGAGAAAGAGAGATACACAGACAGGCTGCGCTATAAGCTACACGTCACAACGAATACTGGAGTGGTGGACAAAGATGTGTGCAAAGTAGAAGCCAGGTGGCAACTAACAACATCGTACTAGACATCTAACGCCATATCTGAATTTTGCCAACAGCACAAGACGAATATACTTCACGAACCTCACAAGTCAGAAACGGAAGGTAGAAAGGAAGGGGGCTGGGGTGTGATAGAATGGGGAGCTGTGCGCTGCCAAAGCGACGTATCCATCCAGATACTAACGGCAAGGTGTGGTGTCTAACGCTGTGATCCATCACAGTTCGCCATTATATCGTGGTGTTGGGGGGGGGGGATGGTGAACTGTTCGTGCTGGTATCTGCAAGCACTGTGTGGTCGACTCGTCTGGTCAAAAGAAGAACCTACGACTACTAATGGGTGGACGGACCGAGTGAAGATGGCATCAACAAATTATCACTTTGCTTGGTCCCGAATGTTGAGCACATATATCATGTTGAACCTCACGGTCTCCAACTACCTCAGAATTCCTATCACACTGTTCTGCTGCTACCACCGCTGAAGCGGCGTCGCTCAACATGACTTCCTTGGTAAAAGTTGATTTTCAAAAAATCTCTGTATACGTAAATGATTGTACAGACACAGTTACATACCAACATTGGATGTAGCTAGTTATTATTGATGGTATAGTACATACCAACATTGGATGTAGCTAGCTATTGATGGTATAGTGAGTCTCAGTCAGTGTACAAGTAGACGTTTGGGTAGGTCTGAGGATGTGGCTCTATCATGGTGATCCTTATTTCAAGTCAAGTCATGTGCCGGGACGGTCATTTCGACAAATCAGACAACCTCGGATATCAGCCCATTTCGGTCGGTCCCCGAGCGCAAATAGACAGCACCTATCGTGATGATCTCAAATCAACCCGTATGTATATTTTTGAAGTAGCATTATGAATGCTCAAGAACACGCGGCCATGCAATCGCCATGGTTCTCACACACACACACACACACACACACACACACACACACACACACACACACACGTGCACACATACACAGTAGCCCGTAAACGATACACAGTGCCAAAGCGTTTCGTCAGCATGCTGCTAACCTGCTGGGCGTCTAGGCGCTGATTTAAATTGTCCACTTCTTCCTTCAGCCTATCACGTTCACTGGACGCAGCCTGATGCTCGCTCTGTGATGCAATTTAGAATAGTAGAAGTGCGAATTTAGCAAGATTAGATCAGTATGCGATTGTCAGTCGGCATTCAGTGCTTTTAAGCAGTCTGGACATCAGCACATACGATCAGCAGTAAAGAAACTTTAATAAGCAGTTTAATTATTTAATTATTCAATTTTTTTTAACAAATAGGGGCATCACGTGCCAAGGGATCAATACATATAGATGCATGTATGTAGAGCCGAAGGATTTATTGCAATAATGAATTACATACCAGTATAAAAACCGAAGTCCCCGAGGTTTTTATAACTGGTATGTAATTGCAATAAATCCTGAGGCTACTACATTTACTATACATATGTTGACCTGCGCTTTCCCTAAAAAGGAGTATTTTATAAACAGTATTCATTGGCTTTTGAGTGCAGTGCTACATGGAAAAGTGCAGCGGCATTAATTGAGTGAAAGCACATTTATTCGAATTTGATACTGTTGATGGTGTGGTCACTAATGAGTGTGGGTATTTATCAAAGGTCAATATATAGTCCACTAACACCACCAGTTACTAAACAATCAGCTCATGCGATAACATTGCACGACACTGACCGACAAGATGTGGTAGAGCTGTTAGCCAGTTAGTTGTAGAACGTCAGTAGCACTGTACCGTCGGTCAGTGTCATGCAATGTTATCGCATGAGCTGATTGTTTAGTAACTGGTGGTGTTAGTGGACATTATAGTGCCCGGGTAATAGAACGGTCCTTTTTCGTCGCATGGATTTTCCTTCCATAAGCGTATATACAAATATGTGCGGATATGACGTACTCTGATAAGATGTACAACTCCTGCATGACGGACTTTTCAACAGGTCGCAACAGAGCTAGCCTCGCATACTACTACTATGTACTTTTTAGTGGTTCATGCACATTTACACATGACAGGTTTGCTTGGAAGGTACTTCAGTATGTTGACAGCGCGGAGGAGGCTGTTTGCAACGCAGGAAGCCTGGTTTGGAGGCACTAAACACGTTTACTATTTTCTGAGTGCATACCTGCCAAGTACTGAGAGTGCTTTTTCTGGACCGCCATGGCAAAATCGCGGGATTTGCCTTGGTTTTTCGGGATGTCATATTTTTACCCAAAAAAATTCTTTTTCAACTTTTGATGGCACCAACATTTCGAAAATAGATGATTGATGGTGATCATCGGATCACACACATGTTCAAGACTCAAAATCGGAGGTTTTTCAGAGACTGCTCATGGAAAGAGCACTAGTAGATCCACTGGTACTGCAGGCTATGGCGGTCCGGAATCAATAAGGACAACTACTGGCCTGTGACAAGTCATTTGAAGTGCTCCAAGTACAATATGAAGCTTGTTTCTTGTACAGTGAATTTCGGGATAATCGACAGGAATTTCGGGATCGCGGGAGTTCATCCTAAATTGCAGGATAATCCCGAAAAAATCTGGGTACTTGGCAGGTGTGCGAGTGCAATAAATAATTTCAAGCACCTTGACATACTGCACATGTATCGTGGTGGTGGGGCCACAGGAGTCAACTTTGGATAAGAAGTACCTTGAATACTAGGTACAAGTACTTTTTCCCACTCCCCAAAAGGGCGTACGTCTTAATTGAGTTCCACTGTACATGTAATTTAGAAGGCTTCCAGCAATGCCTAAAGTGGTCGAGATGACCCCCCCCCCCCCCAATGAATAGAGAACACCAAATGGTCTGACCTAGCTTGCTCATCTCCTGAAACGCATAACACAGAGGGGCACCTTGCGTACAGTCGCAAGGTGCCTGTCGCGGAAGTTGAAGAAAGTTGTCGAACTTTCTTCAACTTCCACATGACCATGCCATGCACGGAGACTTCTCGACTCTGTGCTTCGAAAATCCAGTGCCGTCCACGGCAAGACGACAAGCCAGGTTCATCCCGATGTTGATCAACCATACATGTACCTCAGTTTCATCGCAAGCAGCGATTTGCTCTCCAATTTCGTACATGTGGAGGTTTTGTGCTAGCGTATTGGTGCTGTTCACTTTTCACGCTTCATCATTTGCCGAGATTTCTCTGTCTCGTCCATTTGCGGATATAAACATAAAAATTATAGATATTTCGTACTGGCGTAGTGGCGTACTTGTGCTTCACTCTTCCCCTTTCATGATTCCTCCGTCTCGTCCAAATGAGTAATAGTCTCCCATTTGTGGATATAGCATAGAGATGTCCTAATGGCGTACTGGTGTATTGGCGTACTGGCTGGACATCACCACATGAACATGCTATTGCGCGGAGAAGAAAATTTGCGGACTTCATCCTTTCATCATCTAGTTAAGTCTTCCCGTTCTGTAGCTGCTGTTTCCTTCTCCTGTTCGATATTCGTTTTCCTGACCCATGTCGCAATGTCGTTCATTCTTTCCTCTCTATCGTCACAATCAACCATGGACTCCTCATCCACGGATACGGAGTCAGATGTTGCTCTACCCGCCCCTGAGTCCCAGGACTTGTGCGTGGACGTACCGGTGCTTTTTGATGACTCGCAAACAAGTAGCTGGGAAGAAGACTTTGTGGAAGAGGTCAAGCGGTATACATGTTTGTGGGATAGCTCGTCCCCTGACCATAAAGATAGGCATGTCCAATTTGTCAGAAGGATCCGTTCAGTTTTCTATTAGTATCCATTTGTAGGAGGAGACTGTGAAGTACATGTGCCCTACTGTCATCAAACAGTTTATGTTGGACATTGTTTTATCTCACTCCTGGTTGATGAGACGTGCCTGGGATCTCGTTGCAAAGTCAGAAGCAGCAAATATGTTGAACTTGACAAGTGTAGCGGCTTGCCAAAATGAGTTCAAAAATATCAGAGACACATTTGGCCGAATCAAGCGCGACCTCGACAAAAAGCAGCCACGCAGTGGCTCGGGGGCGTGGTATGCTTACCGATACCCTACTCATGGCGGCCCCTGTGGTCAGTGACACAATTTCTGAAGCCAACAATTGCAAGACGCCGCGAGACACCAAGCAATTTTACACAAGTACCGGTAACACTCCAAACGCAGACTATTGACTTGGATGCCGAGGTCACCGCCCAGCCCCTTCTACTGGTAGTGCCACCATTGGTGCCTCTAGCAGCAACAGACAATGATTCAGTGCCAGCAGGATCAACCGTCGCACCCAGCAGAGCTGCATCTCCTAATGCCACTGTCAATGTTTGTGTTGAGGCCGAAGAGAATGATGTGAAGCATGTGGTGCGGCCACAGGCCAAGAAAAGGAAGCCATCCAGACCCGCTTGAACAACAGCTGGTAGGCATGGCCCAGACGGTCATGTCTTCCGCAGCAGCACCGAAACCGGAGCCTACAGAGGATGAGCTTTGGTGCCGCTCACTCAGCCATACAATGGCATCATTGAGCAAGAGAAACCGAGCTGTGCTAAAACTAAAAGTCCAGAGCTGGATTGTGGACATGATACCAGAGTCACTTGAAGACCTAGTACCTGTCATTTGATCTGTCCATACGTTCGTACGTGAAATCTTCCATGCATGGGGCCCGCGACTTCGCAAAGCCCAAGTACTTTGTGAACACCGTGTGTCGCGGTCGCACATCGTTGCATTTGCCGCAAGTCGCGTGTCACGTCGCAAACATTTGTATTGTGAATCGCCAGAATCGGCCTTAATAGAATCCCAAATTCACTTAGCCAGCAACATTGCTGGTGTCAGTAAAAGCAAAGGCTGACCTTGGCAGATTGCAGCTGGTCTTGACTGTTCTTGTAGTCACCCTCCGTCTTCTCCAGTTTCACTGCAGAACACACAAGTAAACAAACAGTTACACACTAGTACCTGGTAGGCATAACACGGTATGCATGTCTACTTTACCCCCCTCCCCCACACACACCAGTATAATTATAGCACACACATAGCCACACATACACACGTACACACGCATACAGGCCAACCCTCCCGGTTTTCCAGGGAAAATCCCGGTAAATCAACATTACTTCCGGGATCCTGGGGATTTCAAGCAAACTCCCGGAAAATTCACATTTTTGTCTGATCCAGGTTTTCCTGAAAACTCCAGGGGCTCGCCTTCAATGTCCTGGTTTTTTCAAAAAATGTACGGTACACCCTCACACTTCGAACTGTGCACGGCACTTTCAAGACCAGGCTAGCCTAGCCTGCATGATCTGCACTGACAGGCGCGTGCTGACTGATCGCACTGCACTGCATGCAGGGTCGAACTGTGCTGTACGCAGAGTCGACTGGCCCTGTGACGAAGAACGTTTTTTTGGCGGGAAATGCTCTTTTTCACGTGTTTGGTGTCATTCATCCAGGGATTCGGCTTGTCTTGTCAAGGGATTGAGATTTTCTGGTTGGTCAGTACGCACACACATAAATCCAGGGTCCATGCCTTTGAAACAAGGGAAACACAGGCGAAACCTGCCAGGAATGGCCTACTTACAACAAGAAACAATCATCCATAGCAAACATGCTACTAGAGCATAGAAGGAATAAAAACCAACAGATTCACAGGTAGCTGCCAGGTCAAAGTCTACACCTTCGCTTCTCTAGACCAGCAACATGCTTTACCTCTCCCCAGGAGGAGTAAATAGCCATCAAAGCCAAAGGAGGAGTGAGTCTAGCAGAAACACTCAAAACATTACTCTCATCTCGTAGCATCCTCGCACCCTCCATGACCATGGACCAGGGTTCCTAAATCCTAATCCATTCTAGCTCAAAAGGATTAATATGAGAGAAAGGCAGACACATAGCCATTGCCAAACGTACGTTTCAGCTCTTGAAGTTCGGACTGAAGCTGGGAATGCTTATCGGCCGTGTCCTTCAGATCTGCCTCCACTTTCTCGTGACCTTCTTCCAGGACCTTCTTGTCATCGGACAGCTTCTTATGCTGGAATTCCAGGTCAGCGTGCTTTGACTGCAAACGGACAGATTCCACAAACAGTGTTCAGTGAAACAGGTGCAGGGATTCCAATACTAGCACGGTCTGTCACTCAGCAAAGGTTTGGTCAGACACGGGTCTAAGAACAAGCTGACTGCTCACCTAGTCCATTCAGGAAAAAGATGGACGTTTTGAGATTTGAAAACCAGATGTGGGTAGAATTCAAATATTTTTTTTAAATATCCGCCCTGATTACCGTACTTCCGCACATATAAATAAGCACACGGGCGTATGTCCGGACATAAGCGCACCCACCCCCCCCCCCCCCATTTACCCAATTATAAGCGCATGTGCTTTTATGTGAACACGATTGGTGATACACCTGGGAGCTGAGTATACCACTAAGCATTGTGATAACACCGTTGTCTAGGACACAAACCTGTATTGCACACATAAGCGCATTTGTCTACACAGCCAAACTCTTTTTTGCAGCATTTTTTGCTTATAAGCGCATGCGCTTATATGTGGGGAAGTACGGCATGTGAACCCTGGCCGAAAAAGCAAACTCCCTTATCTTCGGCTTTCCTGGCTTCAAACTTAAATAGGAAGAGATGCATGGCCATTCTGAAGAAGCTAATCAGAAAATGTTTTTATGGGTACACAAGAAGCTTCCTAATAAAGTTTAATAGTTGTGTGTTCTCAACACTATTGTACAGTGGCGGGTGGAAATGAGGATGTGCTGCAAACTTTACTTTTACTTTACTCAAGAAAACCCAAAGCCCATCTTTTGTTAGTCATGAGATACGCTCTTCTTTATTAGTTTGCGTTGAGTTCAACCAGTAGCAGCAGCAGCAGCGCATATGCACAAGTAGCAAAATGCACACATGCATCAGCATCAACATCGGCAGCATCAGCAGCAGCATTATCACAATCATCACATTCATCATCAGCAGCAGCAGCAGCATAAGCAGCACAAGTAGCAATGAGCAGTACCTGAAGTTCCGTGTGGCTTGTCTTGAGCGTCTGATATTGACCTTCAAGCTCACTCTGCACACAACAAAGTGAGAGCCAGACGACTGCAGCTTCAATTCACCGCTCAGTTTGTCAACATCAAGCCACAAGCACACATACAGACAGTAACTTCACTAGCAAGAACCCCCTGCCCTGGTTAGCACCGAATCATCATATCGGGCAATGGCTCCAGGCACGCCACTTGTACGCAATCGTACTTGCACAGCTGCATCTTTCCAGTATGAGAATACAGTGTAGAATGGGAGCTTGAACTGTATGGGAGCTGGCACTGAAGAACGCGTAGTACAAGTAGAAATCATGGTCAGTGTGCTGATATTGCAGGAGCTTTTGCTACAGCTAGGGGGGGGGGGTCAATAGTGTTGGGTGATTACTAGCAAGGCTGCGGTACGTCACACATGCCATGGTTGTTTGCCTGATCTTACACACCCTCACTCTCGTGCAACCGAAGCATAGTCACACACTGAGGTGGCCTTGCACGAGCTAATCGTGCTCCTAAACGCAGTTGTATAGACGGCCATAATGCGGATGTGTCAACTTTAATTTTTATTTCCATTTTTGACACAGTCAAAAAGGTCTTTCGCAACCTTTGGCAAGCACAGCCCATTTCAAACACAGTTATCATGGTTATGGATGACAAACAGCTGACTAACAGAATACAGTCAAATCTGCCGTTAGCGACCTCTGCTGTAGGCGACCATCTCCCGTTAGCGACCGATTTTCCGTGCACCGAAGGTTTCACATACAAACTGATCTGTCCAGAGCGACCATCTGCTGTGCGCGACCAGCGACCGCGATTTCATGCACGGTGGCTGCATTCAAATCTGCTGTAAGCGACCGCGACCCAGGTTCAGTCAGGTGCGAAACTGTAATTGCCAATGCGCTGTCAACTGCAAAGTGTGAAAATGCGCTGTCTTGCAAGTGCGATCGACTGGCGGCTGGCCTGTACCATGTGTACTGACTCTGAGGCTGTGCTGTAGCTCTCAAGTCCAGGCAGTGTCGATCTACTGCCGTGTCGCATACGCTTACTATGCGTATGGTCGTCGTTGAATATCCAATATAAAAATGATATTAAAAATCACATTATTCTCGTCGATTTGAGTACATGGAAGCATAATACCTGGTATGCCGGATTTACCATACATCTGCCGTAAGAGACCATCTGCCGTAAGCGACCGCTTTTTCTTGCACCAAGGGGCGGTCGCTTACGACAGATTTGACTGTACTATAAACCTGCTGCTCACCTTTAGGTCATTATACCGCTTCTCTAGCTCTGCAGCCTGGTCCTTGTGCATGGCAATAGCTATAGTACAGGCATCAGAAGAGCATCGCAACACACACACGCACGCACGCACGCACACACACACACACGCACACACATAACAATCGCATCAACTAATTACTACATGCGAAAAAGCCAAAGAGGAAATAATATATTATATCTAGCTAGCTAAGACAAACTATTGAAGTTACTAACTGCTAGTCATTACGGTACAGGCTAAGATCTAGGATTCCCACAACTCCCACAGCCGAAACACACAAAACCATGCCTAGAGAGAAACAGCTCAACTATAGAATCATGTACAGTCATGTACCTCTCTTGGACGACTCATGGGCTGATTGCTCTCTTCCGAAGTCCATCTCCACGCGCTGTTTGGACTCCAAAGCAACTGGAAGCAAGATCAAGCACAACACAACCGCGTCATAAAAATGTATACCAGTATACTAGATGCAAATTGAGAACACAAAATAATATTCATTTAATAGTTGAGGGAAAGGAAAGGCAAAAAAGTCGGAAGAAAAAACTGCCAATCACCGTCAGGATTCGAACCAGGGACATTGGCTTGACAAAACAATATCCACACCAATGTGCTCAGTCACCCTGTTACCATTCTAATCACCAGATAGCTAGAGGAACACTGAGGAAATTATCAACACACATATTATAGGTCTTTGTCATTGGTTTGAGGGAAAGATGCAAACGGGGAAAGTCTGAAGAAAAATTGACTGTCACCACCAGGACTCGAACCAGAGACCTTCGCTTGAGGCCAGCGATGCTAGTATCAAGAGTATAATCCCCCCAAGAGTGTGCAACTCTGCATATGGGGTCTCCGACGGCGAAAACTCACATCACGTGTCTCAGATGCATTCGTACTACGTACAAACGAAGGATAGCGTGCGCGCAATCCGAATTTCTGCCATAATCATGCTGGGGATTTGCATACCCGCAGTGAGTTTCTGTCAGAGAGAGCTTTTTTTATTACTCCGCTGCTCGCTAAAACGGGCTGGAAACGTAAAACCGCGACATTGCACCACGTGATGTGAGTTTTCGCCGTCGGCATACCTCATAGAAAGGGTATCAGAGTTGCACACTCTTGGGGGCTTATATACTCTTGCTAGTATGTATAGGTCTTTGTCATTCTCTTCCCCCCCCTCCCCCCCCCCCCCCCACCACCCTTCTCTCCTCTCCCCCCCCCCCCCTCCCCCAGCACCAGTTCAAGAAAAAAAAGGAACACCCCAGGGCGGCACTCTCGCTTACCATCACCTCAGGGTATGTATGATCATGGCAAGACCGCACGGATGTATACCGTAAAGTCGTGGATAAACGCCGGGCTTATAAGCACATAAGCTGCTTTCTGCATCAGGCTTTAATGCAAGCCTGACTTGTATGCAAACCATGCTTATACCGTATATTCTCTATTATAAGCACAGGTCTCCATTACTAGCACAGTCTCTAATACTAGCACACTGTGAGCACCTTTCGAAACATTATAAGCACGGTCTCTATTATTAGCACGGTCTTGGTGGAAATCAATGCTGCATGCATGATATCTAGCATGTATTTCTTCTCGCTCTGTATGGATGTATTGGTTGAAAAAATATAAGCACGGTCTCCAATATAAGCGCGGTCTCCAATATAAGTACGGGGTAGAGGGGTGTTGAAAAAATATAATAGAGAATATACGGGTATGCACCACTGATATTTTTGCCAGCCCTGTATGCACATAGAAGCCAGGCTTCTACGCGCAACACGCATAGATCTACCACTGACTACCGGTATGGCGGCAGTTTTACTATGCACCGTACATAGCGCATGCACTCTTGACCTACCCGATCCGCGCTTGCATAGAAGCCAGGCTTCTACGCGTGACAAGCATATATGCATTTGACCCGTTTGATTTTCAGGCTTCTATCCGCGATGTGCTTGTATGCAAACCCGGCTTTTATCCGCGACTTTACGGTAGTTGCGGCAAGACCATACAGGTCATGCATGATCGTGGCAAGGACATAACAAGATGGCTGTGAAAGACTATGACCTGCTCTCGTGTCGGACAGGATTTCGAATGAAAAGAATACGTGCAGGCTTCAAATTCCAACATGGAATCACCTGCGACGGGAATAACGCAAGATTTAAACGAACTTTTATATTTATAAAGTCGGGCTGAAACGATTATACCAATTACTCGGTAATTGATCTACTGTCGTGGACATGGAAATCCGGTCGCACATCTAGCGGCCCCAGAACGCTGGCCATGCAGCCGTGGGTAAGCAGTACACACATGCTGCAGCGCGTTGGTCGCATCGGATCAATACAAGCGCTGTTCTGTACGCGCTGAGGGCGCCGGCCCCGGTCAATCGACTGAATTTTCATGTCCACGACAGTACTATAAGTTTACTTTCTTGCCACCACCACCCGCAGATGCCCATCCACCCCCTCTCCCTCTCTGTATCTCTGTCTATGTCTCGGTCTGTGTGTGTGTGTGTGTGTGTGTGTGTGTGTGTGTGTGTGTGTGTGTGTGTGTGTGTGTGTGTGTGTGTGTGTGTGTGTGTGTGTGTGTATGTCTCTCTGCCTCTCTGTTTCTCTGTTTCTCTCTGTCCGATAGCCAATGTCATCTCTGTGCTGTGAGATGTCGACAAATAAATAAAAGTGCACAGCATATAAAGATGGGGAACAGTACATGCATATTTAAAAATCATCGACAACATATTGGCAAGCCGCCCTTAACACTCGTGCATGCAAACACCCGTATGTGCAATACAAATGTTTACGCAATAGGACAGAATGGATAGGCTTTACATCACGTTCTTCTTGTGCGACATGAAAATTCGAGTTGATAATGGCATTCGAACGTCAGATTCTAACGAGAGCTGCACTCCGATCGCGTTCGAATGCGAGATATTGGTGTTGACGTTGAAAGTGAAATGAACGCCGTGAAACATTTCTAATGTCCAACATGAGTCATTGAAATACCTCCAGTACAATGAGCTTTTGCTACAAATTTTGGAGACAAGTGTGTTTGATTGGCTCACAATTATTGTTTTCAGAGCTTCTCTCCTACAGTAGAGATCTGTTCAAGGAGACACTCTGTCAATTTGTTGACATGTTTCCTCAAGTAATTACAGGGTGTGGCTTGATATGGTCAATTTATTGAGCATGCAACATTATCAAAATACAATGCGCGATGCACCTACGCAAGCCGTACGTGCAATCTCCGAAAACTAACAGGTTTGTAGAATGAGATATGTAGTGGCTACAACCAGCTACTAATTGACACGTACCATTCAGCTGAGAAGTCAATGAGCTGTACTGCTTGCTCAGCTTCGCGAGCTTCGTTTCAGAAAAGCGAAGTTGCCTATTAGAGGTTCTATAAAGCATCGCGCAGTATATTAACCCACCAACTAGACATATCACTCCGAAAAGTGGGCCAAAATTGCCTCGCATTCTAGAAGACGATTGAGAATACATTTGTAAGATGGAATGGGCCCAGTGAAACAAAAAGTGCACCACCGAAGGAAACCCTTGGTGGGGACTCAGCCACAAAATTCAAGCAATGGCTCTCAAAAGAAATCTGGGACCATTCCACCTGATCTCAGGAACAGCAGCACCTTAGAGACAGTCTACATTGATGGCTTCAACAAAGCCAAAAGATAATGAAACAGACATAACAATAATTGCAAGGCCTTGCATGAAAGGCTACACATAGAATCTACGCCTCGACAGCATGGTGTCGATGCATGGATGGCGCGAGTCTGTCGCTAGCCTTTGTACTTGTAGTTAGCTATGGTGCTAGCGGTTGGTGTGACACGCATCGCCTGACATGACACACGTAGATCTACACGGAGTTGCACGTTGACGAGTAGATCTACGTAGAGCTAGCTGGCCAACTCACCCATAATATTATTGGGCCATATGGCCAGGCCAAGTATTTTTAGTAGGACAGCTGAGTAGTCAGACGTCAGCAGACTGCCATACCATGCACTGATGCAACGCAGGGAGCCTCGGTCGTACCCACAATATGAGAGTACAGTAGTGTACTACTAGTAGTACTAGTAGTAGTGCCAGGGCGCAGGTATTTATAGTTTTTTTATTAGTTATTATAAGTAGTGCCTACTACTATAGTATTGGCGAGTTAGAGCAAGAGTACATAATCATGTACTCTTGGTTAGAGTGGTGCGTTAAGAAAAGAAAGTCACACACACACACACACACACACACACACACACACACACACACACACACGCGCGCGCGCGCACATGCGTATACACACACACGCACGCGCGCGTGCACACATGCACGCGCGTGTACACACACATGCACATGTGTACGTACACACATACACACACACACACCACACACACACATACACACACACACACACACACCACACACACACACACACACACCACACACACACATACACACACACACACACACACACCACACACTCAGACTCAGACCGGCATGCCCATCGCGTAAGCGATGATAGCGAACAACTATGTTAGACATAGACATAGCAACTTACTTGTGCTGGGATTACACCATTCAACACCCACACACCCACAGACATACGATGTGATGTGTGCAGTCGCATGAGAGGTTTTCTTATCATAATAGTTTTAAACACCAGTCAACTGAATTCTGAAACAAGTTGACAAAGTTCTCCTGAGTTTGTCCGGCGGTGCAAAGGCGACAATGGATATGCCGAGACTGCCGCAGTGGCATTAGTCACCCCGGTGGGCCAGCAGTCCCGATCAGTCCACGACGCCAGCCGCTGATAATAGTGACTGTTACATGTCAGCGATGATGGTTAGAGGTTATGCTGGTACATGGTATACCTGATAAGCAGACCGGGGTACATGTATACACACTGTACATTGATCTTGTGGAGGATCTAATCTGCCTTCAAGTCAGCTAATAACATGTTCTTTAATCATGTATTCTAGTATTACCACATCACTCACTTCCACTACCACTTCGTATTTTGCAACATGCGTGTATATGCCACTGAGAATCAAATACAACTACTTCAAAGTACATGTAGATATTTCAGTATAGTGTCATAAAAGAAATGAGGACGCAAAGGATTATGCTAAAATACGAGAAGCACACGGTACTGTATGATTCTATACCAGTGTCTGCTCCAGGGGTGGGTCAGCCGGGTCAGCCACCCGGTTGGGGTGCTTGGACCCGCGTGCCGGAAAAAAAGAACACCCGGTTGGGAGTATACATGTCAGGCTGCAGGCGTGTGCAGACGCCAACGCGCGGATAGAGTGCCCAGGTCCAGGCCAGTAAGCATTGTTCATACTCAAGTACATCAGAGAGTCGTAAAGTGTTTACGACTCCCTGTACATGCTGCAGTAGGCGCACTTGAACGTACCGGGCTCTGACCCGGTTGCAAGAGGTGTACCATGTGCACGGTGTACCCAGTTGGTTGGAAATCCTAGAGCAGACACTGTACACGGCACTGGAGTGCACTTGCGATAGAAAATATACGGCACGGAAGATTGCCGGGTATGTACATGACTGGAAGACAGCAAAACAAACGCAATGCCTTACAACCCGACATCAGGCACCAGTGCGTGGGTATGGCTGATACGGCACTATGACGACTGTAAGTGGCCACGGAGCATAGCAACACTGCATGGCTGTATGATCGCATAGACATGAACAAGGACAATCGACAATGCGGCCGGCAATGCGGCCGGCGAATGCAACACAACCCTGCAGCAGCTGTCAGCACGCGGCCATCACGTGCCTTGGGCATGGTGAATTTGCCGCATTCGTGAGATGATCACATCCCAGTCCATGTATCCACCGTGAAGACACCGCTCCGCAGCACCGACAGCATCCAGCTCTGAGCGGCCGTGGAACAAGCGGTGGTTATCAAGGAACAGCATCTCGCCAGGCTCGAGTCGCACTGGCCGTCTGTAACGTGCGTCGCACGCCATACGCGATATTGTCTGCATGGCCGCATAGAATGTGGGCACTCGGCTGGCATCCAAATGCAGCCAACTACTGCGCACTTGATTCAGTCGCACAGCCTTCAAGTTACCACGTCGATCTAGCCTGGGAATGAGAACATGTGAGAAGTGTGTACACATGCATACACACGGATACACACACGGATACACACATGCACACAGACACATTGTGTCATCCCCGGAAAGAACTCAGTCATTCGGGGGGGGGGGAGCCATAATCGCAAGTTGACCAACACTATACATGTGCATGTTAATCTATATGCATGTAACGTGCATCGTCCAGTAAAGCAAGCTGTTTTAATGGGGGGGGGGGGGGCAGAGTACAAAATATACGATGTTCATTTCTCACTTCTTTTCCAGTCATTCAACAACTCAACCTTCTCTGATGCGGCCTTTTAATGATCGAAACGGCTGTCAGAAGAAATAAAATTTAAAGGAACCTCTTGTTGCTGTTATGGGCAAGTGCATATGGTCGGCCACAGAGCGCAACGGTGGTGGTGATGAAGTCAATGCAGGAGTTCATTTAGGGACGACAACAACTTCGTTGACAACATTTTACAACGCACTACTTACTCGATGACAGGTTGGTCACCCTCCAAACAATAGTCCATGCCCGACTCGAGGTCAGTACCATTCGCTGACCACGTCACCGGCACTTCGCACAGCACTCGGAATGTCTCTGGTTCGTCCCGCCGCAACTTGTGAGCTATCCTGAAGCCGTCCGTGCAGTAGGTGAAGCCGCCATCGGGTGCCTGACTCATGCAATGCAGCATTACAATCTGACCGTGGTAGATTGAAAACAAGAAAAGTGCCAGGTACACCAGCGCAATATAATTATAGAGTCAACCATAAGAACGGGGATACCATGGTGATCACAAACGTGCGTGTGTGCGTGTGTGTGTGTGTGTGTGTGTGTGTGTGTGTGTGTGTGTGTGTGTGGTGTATGTGTTTAACTAATACTTAGTACCATAATTACTAGCGTGCGGCTAGTACAGTGTAGATCACTTTCTGATTCCAAGGGAAATATTCCCCTGTCCCCAAGCATTCAGGTTCCTGTTAGGGCGCGTTCAGACTACCGATAAAAAGTGACCGATTGGGAAAGTCGCCAAGGTGATTTGATCACGTGACGTTACTGGCACGTTACCGGTGGGAAAGTTTTACTGCCGCGGCTGCTGCGGCAGTAAACTTTTACCGGCAGTAAAAAAGTGCTCAGGCTGCATGCGCGCTGGGAAAAAAGGGAAAATCCCTTGTCAGTGGCGCGGTGAGAGCCGAAAACTTCACGGTAACGTTAGTTTGTTATCGGTGAATGTCCTTCACGGTTTATCGGCATTCACGGTTTGACGGGGTTCACGGTAGTCTGAACGCGCCCTTAGCAGAAATTGTCCAAGATCTACCCAATCTCCGGACACCGGCTAGCTGTTTCAACCGCGTGCTCAGAGTGACTGGCCAAACAGATCGCAATGAGGTCTGAGTCAACAACAAAGCATGTCGACATCATCGGCTCAAAGCATCAAAGTTAGAGTGCTCTCTAACTGTGAGAAACACAGCCAGCTTAGCATCAGGGAACCCTTTGTATATGTCCATCAGGGAAACCTTTTTATATGTCCATTAGGGAAACCTTTGTATATGTCCATCAGGGAAACCTTTGTATATGTCCATCAGGGAAACCTTTGTATATGTCCATCAGGGAAACCTTTTTACATGTCCATCAGGGAAACCTTTGTATATGTCCATCAGGGAAACCTTTGTATATGTCCATCAGGGAAACCTTTGCATATGTCCATCAGGGAAACCTTTCAGTGTATATGTCCATCAGGGAAACCTTTGTATATGTCCATCAGGGAAACCTTTGTATATGTCCATCAGGGAAACCTTTGTATATGTCCAACAGGGAAACCTTTGTATATGTCCATCAGGGAAACCTTTGTATATGTCCATCAGGGAAACCTTTGCATATGTCCATCAGGGAAACCTTTGTATATGTCCATCAGGGAAACCTTTGTATATGTCCATCAGGGAAACCTTTGTATATGTCCATCAGGGAAACCTTTGTATATGTCCAACAGGGACACCTTTGTATATGTCCATCAGGGAAACCAAAAAGTATATGTCTATCAGGGAAACCTTTGTATATGTCCGTTTGCTCTTAGGATTTCAGGGTGAAGCCGTGCTCTTCTTTCCAATACGCATGTTGTGTGAAAGCCATAGTTTTGGCCTCTGCTGTCCTGATTTCTCCAAGTCACACGATGATTGCACGTTAGCACACCACTACTTTTGACCTGAGCGCCCCCCCCCCCCCACCCCACTCCACCCTCACAGTAAAGTATGCAATGTACTAGAAATGATCACTACTTTTCGATGTGCATGCACCTGTCTCTTCTTCTGCCTCCCTAGTTGCTGCCGAAGCTGGCACTTCCCGTCATTAATTTTGTAGTCTTTAGTTCTTTATTATTTGCCATGGCGACCCCGTAAGCCCAAATTGCTGGCAGGGCAGGGTTGGGCCTTTTCTTTTGCTTCACATGTGTAGCATTTTCACGGTTTCTGCTTTTGACTGATTTAGGGCGTGTTTGGTTGGTACGAACTAGAACCGGATTCACCAGAAATGATCACTACAGTGGAGTGTTAGTATGTCGGTCTCACCCCAGGCGGTGTGCTGAGATATGGCATGTCAACATGCATGGGCAGCTCCAGCGATGCGTAGGTCATAGTGTTAGCGTTGGGTTGAACACGGGCCAGCCATGACGTGCTGCTGGTACGACAGAAACAGACAGCCGAGAGAGGGAAGGAGAGAGAGAGAGAGAGAGAGAGAGAGAGAGAGAGAGAGAGAGAGAGAGAGAGAGAGAGAGAGAGAGAGAGAGAGAGAGAGAGAGAGAGAGAGGGGGAGAGAGACAGAGTGAGCGAGACAGACAGACAGATGGGTTTTAGCAGCTGGTTAGTTTTGGCACAGTCATTGGCTACTGACAACCCTGATGCCTGCTGGTCTTACAGAGTGGCCGGTATGTATGCACTGCGGTAGATGCGATGCATGCACGGCAGGCCGTGCACAAAAAGCTGATCACAATCAACTAGATGCGACAACTTTGTGATAGGTAGAGCTCTATTTCCAGTAGTGAACTCTTCAACTCACCCATACACCGTTTGTCTCAGAAACCCAATCCTGTTGGCAAGCTCCTCGAGTGGGCCTTTGTGAGTTCCGCTCTCTCGTACGATAGCCACACCATGGCTATAGAAACCCCGAAGAAACTCCAGCAGTCTCTTCTGATCCTTAAGAAGCGATGAATGTGTGAAACTTGTGTCACTCGGAAACCTGTCGGCCTCCCAATGCTTGCGTTCCGGCAGGGTAAAGCGGTTTCCCTGAGACTGTTTCTCAGCCTCCGAAGACAAGCGATGAGAGAGAAGCCACTCGGCCGAGAAGATGCTGACATGATCATCGCCCCACTCGACTTGCACAGCATTATCATCATCAATGCTCTGGGGGTGGCACAGAATATGGAATAGCTAGCCACCTTAGAACTTACAAGTAGATCAACGGATATACAGTATCAACATTGTATGCGAGCATGTATCACACTGCAATTTATCACACTGCAAGTCATTTATCACACTGCAATTTATCACACTGCAAGTCATTTATCATACTGCAAGTCATTTATCACACTGAAAGTCATTTATCACACTGCAGTTTATCACACTGCAGTTTTTATCACACTGCAGTTTTTATCACACTGCAGTTTTTATCACACTGCAGTTTTTATCACACTGCAGTTTTTATCACACTGCAGTTTTTATCACACTGCAGTTTTTATCACACTGCAGTTTTTATCACACTGCAGTTTTTATCACACTGCAGTTTTTATCACACTGCAGTTTTTATCACACTGCAGTTTTTATCACACTGCAGTTTTTATCACACTGCAGTTTTTATCACACTGCAGTTTTTATCACACTGCAGTTTTTATCACACTGCAGTTTTTATCACACTGCAGTTTTTATCACACTGCAGTTTTTATCACACTGCAGTTTTTATCACACTGCAGTTTTTATCACACTGCAGTTTTTATCACACTGCAGTTTTTATCACACTGCAGTTTTTATCACACTGCAGTTTTTATCACACTGCAGTTTTTATCACACTGCAGTTTTTATCACACTGCAGTGTATCACACTGCAGTTTATCACACTGCAGTTTATCACACTGCAGTTTATCACACTGCAAGTCATAATTTTATCACACTGCAAGTCATAATTTTATCACACTGCAAGTCACCTGCACTTCTAGTACAGTATAAGCACAAAATTTAGCCGGTGAATAATTTCGTCCAACTCCAAAGAAAGGCAGTTTGTCTGTGGGGAAATTTCGTCCATTGTTGTCTCCAGTGAAAGGCTAGACAAATGAAATCAACCCTAATTCTACTCCTGCATTAATTAAAGTTAGCCCGAAAGTCCTTTGAACGAAATGACAAACTTTTAAAATTGCCGTAAGTTTCATCAATCACCATGGTAGTCTTGTATAGTAATGATCAGGTCATTTGTGCTCTCGGGTAATACCTGTGCTTACTTGAACATTCTTGATGCTGGTCATCTTGTCAATGACACTCGGTTCCCACATGACCATTTCCCTGGCCCGTATACCACTGGTGTGTAGACAAGTTGGACATGTGCAGTTATCACGCAGGTAAATACCCGGGTATGTGTAGACTGTGCTGCTGGGTGACTCACCCAACTGGACGCTGATCATTCTCTCATTGGCGTCAAAACTTGACGATGTTATCAGCTTAGGCTGTGTGGCCGTGTTGGCACTACTGGCTGCTGTTCTTTCCCATAGTACACTGCTGCAGCATTTCCCAGAAACGGAACTCAATGGGCGAGTGGGCAAGCGCTGTTTAACACCACTACACGCCACGCTATGGTACTGTGTGACGGACGGACAAGGTGTTGTATTGCAACTGGGTAACGCCTGCCGTAGGCCTAGTTGACAGGGCCGATGTACTTTCATTGCAATGGCAGACATGTTGACTCAGTGTCGGCATCGCTGGGGAGCTTAAAAAGCAGTCACAGCATTATATCTGCAGGTAAATGTAACAGATCCACAACAAAATACAGATAAAGTGGATAGTCTCACTCAGGAGTCAGGACAAGGACAGAAAACATCGGTGTCAACAAGTTTATCATGCAGACTGCTGATTCAACGAATTACTCGGCACACAGTAATATTCCGTGACACAGTCACATTGACGGAGCCGCTGAATGGTACAGTTTACATGATGACTGCCAGGTATTGCTTGTGGGCGGCATGGTCTGACCAGTTCTCGGTTTCCAAGCACTGGCCTTAACCTTGGGTACATAGCATGCCAATTCAGTACCTGGGAGATTTCAAACACCCAGTGCAAGCCCGGCCGGCGATGTCCATCACTCACAAGAGTGTAAGCAATACACGTCATGCAGTTGATAACAACCCGGACAGAGAGTATCCCCCATCCCCCCCCCCCCCCCCCCCCCCCCCACCATGCACACATATCGGAGCTGTCGGTTGTCATCAGGTTTCTTTGCACGCGTAATGGTCAGCACAAAATCATTACATGACCCCTGCAATGTTTATTTTGTATGGTCATGTATATTAGGTAAATCCCTTCTTTGCTGAAATTGGGTTTGTTCTTTACTTGATTACATGTATAGAGGCTACGTGATGGCACATCATCAGTTGAGATGCTTTGGCAAAGTCGCGGCACAGCGATGCACTAGCGACTCACCATCATGAAATCATTCGCATAACCTCTAGTATTATAACCTTGAAGATGCTTTGAGCAGCTAGCAAGCCGAGCATACTGACACAAATTGTGCCCTAATATCGTCACTGCTCTTTGCCTGCACGAGACGCTTAGGTTTGGATAGCACTCAGTAGGCCGGCGGGTGTATTCAAAAATTAATGGTATCACCGTATCATGGGCCGGGCCTGCTGAACACTATTGACTGTTCCTAAAATTCAACTCAGTGGGAACACTGAAGTATAGGATGAAACGTCAGGTGAGGTATTTTACTAAATACTTCCCGGGTTGACATGACATGCGAACTGTACTAGTTGAACTGTAACTATTATTATTATTATTATTATTATTCCCGGATTCGTGCACACAACTGGCGGAAAACTGATGCCCTGAGCCGTACGTTCTGACCAGATCCAGCGTGCAAGCTACATGTAGTACAGTGCTGTATCCTGTACGTGTGTGAAAAAAGGGCTACATGCATATTTTACTGCTACTTGTATGAGTTTCGGACATAGTGCTCCATTTTGCGAGTGTTGTTATTTCAATATTCGCCATGGGGCCCATGGCTACCCCAGAAATAGTGATATTGACACAAAACTGAGTACACAGAACAGCATGGCACAAGGCCAGTTTGTTGCAACCCTGAGTTTCACGCTATGCAACCATCAGGCACCATGCAGATGCTGTTGGCCATGCTACTGCTGTCCAACTGGTATGAAGACAATAGTCATAGTGGAGAAGCCCACCTGTACGTAGAGTCTACGATGTTGCAGCCCAGACTACAGCTCCTCCGATGCCAACGGCTTCTACTGGCGTTGTGATCACTCCTACAAACGCTAACACTAACAGTCACTACTGACCTGTAGCTGCACCGATAACCTCCCTCCTCTCTGAAATCGCTAGCGTACTCGTACCAATGCTTCACTCAGTGTAGCTACAATGATTATGTAGGCGCTAGGCTGCCTTGGTCAGTCTACCAAGTAGATCTACCAAGTGTTATCTGGTAATCATCAGAACATGCCACGGTGTAGGTGGTTCGGAGGTGTGTGGCAGTTCGATGGAGTGGAGCTGGAGCAGTCTGTCATCATCAGATTCTCTTGACTTGTTGTGTGTGACAGCCATGCAAGGCACGAGCTCGTTCACCCTCATGAGCTCATGACATGTCCATGATTCAGTGGACCGCATGCACGGTGAGTCGGTGACCACTGTCACTGACCAGCAAGTGACAAAGGTTATTGTAGTACACTACTACTAGTCAGTACTGACAGTAGTACTAGTACTAGTACTTTTAAAAATCTGTTTCTGGTTACTTTTTCTAGAGGTGTGACTGTCATAGTACAAGCGGTCCGAATAAAAACAAGCTCTCTGATCCGAAAGCGACTGTTGTAGAGTTACCAACCATCGCTCGACCTTTGACTGGTGGAACGTCTAGAATTAGTAGACGTCTGGGTTTGACTGGTCGAGGAGATTTTTAGTTTGCTACACGTCCAGGCAGTAGATCTACGAGTTTTACTGCAAGAGTAGTCATGGTAGTAGATCTACAATGACTATGACATATTGTAGTGGCTAGCATGGCTCGTCTTTATTGCCGTACATGTATCTGCAATAGTAGCTGTCGCTTTGCTCATGAACTGCACTACAACAATACAAAACTTGTGACTTCACTCAGTGCCGTCTTCAGTTGCGATTTGAGTCGTTCAAGTATTCTCGGATCCGCGCAGCAGGTATCCAAGTGACGCAAGAACTAGAACTAGAAGTCGTTGTAGAATCTTCCCTTCCCGGCCGCATATCAGATATTGCGGAACTTATTTGCGGATCAGTGGAGCTCGAGCTAGCGTGTTACTTTGCTTGAAAGGTACAGTACATGTATTATTGCTGATACAGTGATACAGTGATAGACTACAGTCATTATTATGAGACTCAGAGAGGAACCAAAAGTCCGTAAAAAGCGTTCCAGGTTCTCGAACAAAACCATGCGGGTTTGAGATTTTCCGCGACAATGATAGGATACACAGTGTAGCCTAACCTTTGTGCGGCATGATTGTGCAGCTGCTGTCACGGTACTCGGTAGCACATAGTCGTCTTGTTTCAATGAGCTCGGCACAGTAGTGTCAGTGGTGCCCATTTTCTCTCCCTCGTCACCTGTACACCATCTCCTTTGCCTCCCTAGCCATGCTAACTGAAGCCGCCGGGCAGGTACGCCGTCCCAGGTGTGTCTGCTGCGGGGGGGGGGGGGGGGGAATAGTCCAAAGTGATGAGGGTTTCACAGTGAGTGCGTTCGATTATGCCCGCGAATCCATTCTTGCATCCATTCTAAATTTCTTGCATCCATTCATGCATCACCCCTGGTTATTCACATCCGTGACCCCATGTGAATAGGGTGAATGGATTCCGAATCGATTCCAGGGCTCATGACATGAAATCGAACGGCGAGATTCCATCGATTCTTCGAGTGCGTAATCAAACACGCTCAGTGTTACTCCAATTCAATATTTCTGTCACTACTGACGTGTGCTTGTGCTGCCGCTGCAGGTAATACTGCTAACATGTCTGCCTTTGCCCCAGTAAGTCTGTGTAGAAGCTGGCAGCGAGCTATACGTCACCACGGGTCCGCTGTGGCAGCGTGCACCCGTACCCCCGGTGTGGCAGCAACGTACCATAGCGTGGCGTGTAGTGGTGTTAAACAGCGCTTGCCCGCTCGCCCGTTGAGTTCCGTTTCTGGGAAATGCTGCAGCAGTGTACGGTGGAAAAGAACAGTGGCTAGTAGTGCCAACACGGCCACACAGCCTAAGCTGATAACATCGTCAAGTTTTGACGCCAATGAGAGAATGATCAGCGTCCAGTTGGGTGAGTCACCCAGCAGCACAGTCTACACATACCCGGGTATTTACCTGCGTGATAACTGCACATGTCCAACTTGTCTACACACCAGTGGTATACGGGCCAGGGAAATGGTCATGTGGGAACCGAGTGTCATTGACAAGATGACCAGCATCAAGAATGTTCAAGTAAGGAAACATGGCCATAGCTTGGCATTAATTAACCGCTTCAATCATACCAATATCTGCCAATGTGCATTTCAACACACATATACATGTATACACACACACAGACACACGCACAGACACACACTACTACTATTATAGCATGGCCGCCCCATAGGCCACGTCACTCCCTTGTGACAGGGAGCCAGAGTCAGGGTAAGAGAGCCACACACACACACACCACACACACACACACACACACACACACACACACACACACACACACACATGTAGTGTTAGCCCAGGGCTGGAAGGGCTAAGAGCAAAATGAATGACAAAGAGTGGCTGATCTACTGAACACATGCGTGGGGGGGGGGGGGAGAGAGAGAGAGAGAGAGAGAGAGAGAGAGAGAGAGAGAGAGAGAGAGAGAGAGAGAGAAACTCGGGGGGGGGGGGGGGGGGGGCATTGAAGCTCAAAGGTTTTTAAGAACAGTGCATACGGCAGGTGTTTCGGAAATGTTGTGGATCTATATTCTAATCCGGTGAAGTACAATTAAAGCATTGCCAATGTGGTACTGTACTCATGTTGTTTTGGTCTTCCAATTCCATCATCACTGCGTTAGACTGTGGAGGGCGGTAGCGCCATGCAGATCAAGTGGGGTGATGAACATGTCAGCACCTATCCTGCAGACTGGCTTCGTGCCCATCGACTCACTGCTGCCGACGCAAACAACCAGATCAGCACTAGTCACTTTGTGTTGCCAGCCCGCAAGCACTGGCAGGCGGATGGGTTTCCTCGCGACACAAACTTCTCCCTGCCGTCGCTGCTGAAGAGTGAGGAGAAGCTGCAGGAGTTCCTGTTGAGTATGCACGAGTATGGCGTCGCGCTTGTACGTGATTGTGGCACCGATGAAGGTGCTGTGAAGCAGCTGGCAGAGAAAGTAGCGTTCCTTCGGCACACCGTGTTTGGGTAGGTCGGCTAGTTACTAATAGTGTATAATTATGTACATGATGACTTGTTGGTTAGTTTAAATCTCGCAAGTTCTATGCATAACACTACTGTTATTTCAACTACGCGGATGGTCAGTGAAATCCAACACTAGGAATATAGCTGAGCAGCCAACACTGCACACTCCATTGTTCATATAGGTCTGCCAGAGTCACCGGCCAGAACCTTTGTATTTGAGAGCCCTGCTGGATTTCATGTACTGAAGTACCACTACTGTAGTACTCAGTGCCTTACTTAGAACCTAATTCCTGGCTTACATCTGTTGTGCTTGCTAGTTTGCCAGGCATGACACATACCAGCTTTGTCACAAGGTGGAGGCCACACTGTAGTACTGACAGCGTAGGGCCACTGTCCTGACTGTGCATGTGTGTATGATAACACTGGACAGACCAGAGGCACTGTCCTGACTGTGCATGTGTGTATGATAACACTGGACAGACCAGAGGCACTGTCCTGACTGTGCATGTGTGTATGATAACACTGGACAGACCAGAGGCACTGTCCTGACTGTGCATGTGTGTATGATAACACTGGACAGACCAGAGGCACTGTCCTGACTGTGCATGTGTGTATGATAACACTGGACAGACCAGAGGCACTGTCCTGACTGTGCATGTGTGTATGATAACACTGGACAGACCAGAGGCACTGTCCTGACTGTGCATGTGTGTATGATAACACTGGACAGACCAGAGGCACTGTCCTGACTGTGCATGTGTGTATGATAACACTGGACAGACCAGAGGCACTGTCCTGACTGTGCATGTGTGTATGATCACACTGGACAGACCAGAGGCACTGTCCTGACTGTGCATGTGTGTATGATCACACTGGACAGACCAGAGGCACTGTCCTGACTGTGCATGTGTGTATGATCACACTGGACAGACCAGAGGCACTGTCCTAAAGCCAGTACATACTCGTACATGTGTGGTCGCACAGACCAAGGCCCTAGGCGCAACCCCGGTGTTTGGTTGTAGTCAGGCGCACAGACCAAGGCCCTAGCCGGCGCAACCCCGGTGTTTGGTGTTTGGTTGTAGTCAGGCGCCCTGTCTATTACAGTGTGCCCAGGAAACTTGTGAATGAAGTTACCTTTCAGCCTTCAGGAAACTTGTGAATGAAGTTACCTTTCAGCCTTCAGGAAACTTGTGAATGAAGTTACCTTTCAGCCTTCAGGAAACTTGTGAATGAAGTTACCTTTCAGCCTTCAGGAAACTTGTGAATGAAGTTACCTTTCAGCCTTCAGGAAACTTGTGCAATGAAGTTACCTTTCAGCCTTCAGGAAACTTGTGCAATGAAGTTACCTTTCAGCCTTCAGGAAACTTGTGAATGAAGTTACCTTTCAGCCTTCAGGAAACTTGTGAATGAAGTTACCTTTCAGCCTTCAGGAAACTTGTGAATGAAGTTACCTTTCAGCCTTCAGGAAACTTGTGAATGAAGTTACCTTTCAGCCTTCAGGAAACTTGTGCAATGAAGTTACCTTTCAGCCTTCAGGAAACTTGTGAATGAAGTTACCTTTCAGCCTTCAGGAAACTTGTGAATGAAGTTACCTTTCAGCCTTCAGGAAACTTGTGAATGAAGTTACCTTTCAGCCTTCAGGAAACTTGTGAATGAAGTTACCTTTCAGCCTTCAGGAAACTTGTGCAATGAAGTTACCTTTCAGCCTTCAGGAAACTTGTGAATGAAGTTACCTTTCAGCCTTCAGGAAACTTGTGAATGAAGTTACCTTTCAGCCTTCAGGAAACTTGTGAATGAAGTTACCTTTCAGCCTTCAGGAAACTTGTGAATGAAGTTACCTTTCAGCCTTCAGGAAACTTGTGAATGAAGTTACCTTTCAGCCTTCAGGAAACTTGTGCAATGAAGTTACCTTTCAGCCTTCAGGAAACTTGTGAATGAAGTTACCTTTCAGCCTTCAGGAAACTTGTGAATGAAGTTACCTTTCAGCCTTCAGGAAACTTGTGAATGAAGTTACCTTTCAGCCTTCAGGAAACTTGTGAATGAAGTTACCTTTCAGCCTTCAGGAAACTTGTGCAATGAAGTTACCTTTCAGCCTTCAGGAAACTTGTGAATGAAGTTACCTTTCAGCCTTCAGGAAACTTGTGAATGAAGTTACCTTTCAGCCTTCAGGAAACTTGTGAATGAAGTTACCTTTCAGCCTTCAGGAAACTTGTGAATGAAGTTACCTTTCAGCCTTCAGGAAACTTGTGAATGAAGTTACCTTTCAGCCTTCAGGAAACTTGTGCAATGAAGTTACCTTTCAGCCTTCAGGAAACTTGTGAATGAAGTTACCTTTCAGCCTTCAGGAAACTTGTGAATGAAGTTACCTTTCAGCCTTCAGGAAACTTGTGAATGAAGTTACCTTTCAGCCTTCAGGAAACTTGTGAATGAAGTTACCTTTCAGCCTTCAGGAAACTTGTGCAATGAAGTTACCTTTCAGCCTTCAGGAAACTTGTGAATGAAGTTACCTTTCAGCCTTCAGGAAACTTGTGAATGAAGTTACCTTTCAGCCTTCAGGAAACTTGTGCAATGAAGTTACCTTTCAGCCTTCAGGAAACTTGTGCAATGAAGTTACCTTTCAGCCTTCAGGAAACTTGTGAATGAAGTTACCTTTCAGCCTTCAGGAAACTTGTGAATGAAGTTACCTTTCAGCCTTCAGGAAACTTGTGAATGAAGTTACCTTTCAGCCTTCAGGAAACTTGTGAATGAAGTTACCTTTCAGCCTTCAGGAAACTTGTGCAATGAAGTTACCTTTCAGCCTTCAGGAAACTTGTGAATGAAGTTACCTTTCAGCCTTCAGGAAACTTGTGAATGAAGTTACCTTTCAGCCTTCAGGAAACTTGTGAATGAAGTTACCTTTCAGCCTTCAGGAAACTTGTGAATGAAGTTACCTTTCAGCCTTCAGGAAACTTGTGAATGAAGTTACCTTTCAGCCTTCAGGAAACTTGTGAATGAAGTTACCTTTCAGCCTTCAGGAAACTTGTGCAATGAAGTTACCTTTCAGCCTTCAGGAAACTTGTGAATGAAGTTACCTTTCAGCCTTCAGGAAACTTGTGAATGAAGTTACCTTTCAGCCTTCAGGAAACTTGTGAATGAAGTTACCTTTCAGCCTTCAGGAAACTTGTGAATGAAGTTACCTTTCAGCCTTCAGGAAACTTGTGCAATGAAGTTACCTTTCAGCCTTCAGGAAACTTGTGAATGAAGTTACCTTTCAGCCTTCAGGAAACTTGTGAATGAAGTTACCTTTCAGCCTTCAGGAAACTTGTGAATGAAGTTACCTTTCAGCCTTCAGGAAACTTGTGCAATGAAGTTACCTTTCAGCCTTCAGGAAACTTGTGAATGAAGTTACCTTTCAGCCTTCAGGAAACTTGTGAATGAAGTTACCTTTCAGCCTTCAGGAAACTTGTGAATGAAGTTACCTTTCAGCCTTCAGGAAACTTGTGAATGAAGTTACCTTTCAGCCTTCAGGAAACTTGTGAATGAAGTTACCTTTCAGCCTTCAGGAAACTTGTGCAATGAAGTTACCTTTCAGCCTTCAGGAAACTTGTGAATGAAGTTACCTTTCAGCCTTCAGGAAACTTGTGAATGAAGTTACCTTTCAGCCTTCAGGAAACTTGTGCAATGAAGTTACCTTTCAGCCTTCAGGAAACTTGTGAATGAAGTTACCTTTCAGCCTTCAGGAAACTTGTGAATGAAGTTACCTTTCAGCCTTCAGGAAACTTGTGAATGAAGTTACCTTTCAGCCTTCAGGAAACTTGTGAATGAAGTTACCTTTCAGCCTTCAGGAAACTTGTGAATGAAGTTACCTTTCAGCCTTCAGGAAACTTGTGAATGAAGTTACCTTTCAGCCTTCAGGAAACTTGTGAATGAAGTTACCTTTCAGCCTTCAGGAAACTTGTGAATGAAGTTACCTTTCAGCCTTCAGGAAACTTGTGAATGAAGTTACCTTTCAGCCTTCAGGAAACTTGTGAATGAAGTTACCTTTCAGCCTTCAGGAAACTTGTGAATGAAGTTACCTTTCAGCCTTCAGGAAACTTGTGAATGAAGTTACCTTTCAGCCTTCAGGAAACTTGTGCAATGAAGTTACCTTTCAGCCTTCAGGAAACTTGTGAATGAAGTTACCTTTCAGCCTTCAGGAAACTTGTGAATGAAGTTACCTTTCAGCCTTCAGGAAACTTGTGAATGAAGTTACCTTTCAGCCTTCAGGAAACTTGTGAATGAAGTTACCTTTCAGCCTTCAGGAAACTTGTTGAATGAAGTTACCTTTCAGCCTTCAGGAAACTTGTGAATGAAGTTACCTTTCAGCCTTCAGGAAACTTGTGAATGAAGTTACCTTTCAGCCTTCAGGAAACTTGTGCAATGAAGTTACCTTTCAGCCTTCAGGAAACTTGTGCAATGAAGTTACCTTTCAGCCTTCAGGAAACTTGTGAATGAAGTTACCTTTCAGCCTTCAGGAAACTTGTGAATGAAGTTACCTTTCAGCCTTCAGGAAACTTGTGCAATGAAGTTACCTTTCAGCCTTCAGGAAACTTGTGAATGAAGTTACCTTTCAGCCTTCAGGAAACTTGTGAATGAAGTTACCTTTCAGCCTTCAGGAAACTTGTGAATGAAGTTACCTTTCAGCCTTCAGGAAACTTGTGAATGAAGTTACCTTTCAGCCTTCAGGAAACTTGTGAATGAAGTTACCTTTCAGCCTTCAGGAAACTTGTGCAATGAAGTTACCTTTCAGCCTTCAGGAAACTTGTGAATGAAGTTACCTTTCAGCCTTCAGGAAACTTGTGAATGAAGTTACCTTTCAGCCTTCAGGAAACTTGTGCAATGAAGTTACCTTTCAGCCTTCAGGAAACTTGTGAATGAAGTTACCTTTCAGCCTTCAGGAAACTTGTGAATGAAGTTACCTTTCAGCCTTCAGGAAACTTGTGAATGAAGTTACCTTTCAGCCTTCAGGAAACTTGTGAATGAAG